GCTGTATTTTAAATGTACAATTATTAAGGGGTTTCGAAATTATATCACTCTTCTTTTCAGTTTGACAAAATATTTCATATTGTAGGGTGTAATATTAAATTTGTTCTTTACTGAAGTAGAGTTATTATTTCGACGCCACCATATGTGAGTATTTTAAGGAAAAGATGAGGGAACAAATATATATACAATACAATTGACTAGTCAATGACAATACATGCTCATATCCTGTGTACAGTCGGGAAACGGTCCTTACTAGACCTAGACAATTTGAATAGTACAGTACTGAATATACATAATATACTAAAAGTACAGTACGCCGTTGGAAGGCTCACGCTCACATCGTTGGGTAAGCTTTTATGATATCAATGGTATTTCCGCTCGGGCATTGTGTAGTGCTGGAGAGATAGACAGCAATTGAGATAAGGCTTGTCTGAGTTGTTTCGGCTTCTCTAATGTATAAAATGTAAAAATAATCAAAAATATATAATTCTGAGCAATGTACAGACTAAACTCTAATTTAATTTATGAAGATTTATTGTTTGTTTGTTTAGGCCTACTCTATTACCTTTGACTCACGATATTTAATAGTGCTTTGAAATAATAAGCGCTTCTTGTAAAAATATTTTAGCATTTTTTGGACCCGGCCTTATTTTTTTGTGTTTTCCACAAATGTTTCCCGAATTAAAGCTGTTACCAATAAACATTTCTTGCGCGTATTTATTTGATCTGACTAAAGATTACCTTGGTGACAGATTGTTACCACTGTGACAACATGATGTGTATATTCTTCATGGTTTTTTTTCAGTTGCTTAATATATCTGGCAAAAATGATTCATCTCCCGAAGTATGATTGTGTACCTGGATTTACTGTGAGACCAGGCATCTCCTCTTTAATACGTATAATATTTCCTATTAATTGTCTCCTCCTCCTGTTTTCAATATTTCTCCTTTAAACTCCAGAAATTTTCTGTTCTTCCAGCAAAACTGATTGACTGTTTAGATTCGTCTATAACCGCAATCAAGAATCAAGAACTTTTATTTCCACAAAATGGCATTTTGAAAATGCAGTTATATTACTGGAAAACGTCAGTACAACTACAGCTAAAATAAAAACTAAAATAAGAGAATGGTACAAGGTTTCTTACCAATATCCTATCCTATACTCTAATATGAACAATGTTTGCTTGTATGTATGTATGCATGCTTGCACCAAGATCTCAAAAACGACTCCGACGATTTTCTTCAAATGTTGTAAATAGTTTATTACTGGCCTAAAAACGAGTTTACTGCAGTCAGAACTGCCAACAAAAATCTAACTACGTAGAAAAATGAAACTGAAAGTCACATTTTTTAAATATTAGTCTTATGGGTTGCTTAGTAACCATCTTGGCTGAATTAAATAACGAGGAAAAAGTAAACAAAAGACTTGTAAGTAGTCTATCCACAGTACTAGCAATTACAAAATACAGTAAAAAAGGAAAAACATCAGTTGTTACTATTAAGCAAAGATTACTGAAGATTACTCGATACATTGTAGTCAAGGGTAGCAGTGTGGAGTGTGAGATCTGTTTATGACGATTAGATTGCGGTATCTGCAATCATTAAATGCTATGGAAAGGGAGGGAAACAGGTCAGCGACTAGGAAGTGGTGAAGGAAATAGTAAAGGCGAGCAGTCCGGAGTGTGGGAACTGTTTATGACGATTAGATTAAGGTATCTTCAATCCTCAAATGCTATGGTAAGGGAGGGAAATAGGTCCGCGACGTAGGAAGTGGTGAAGGAAGTAGTCTAGGTGAGCAGTCCGGAGTGTGGGAACCGTTTATGACGATTATATTAAGGTATCTGCAATCCTAAAATGCTATGTAGAAAAGGTGAGCAATGTGGAGTGTGGGAACTGGAAACAGTTTGTAGCAGTTAAGCCTGGTTTACACGGGTCGAGTACGGCGGGCGAGTCAGTGTGCGAGTTGCCACTCACTCTTTAGCTCGCTTGGTGTAGACATGCAGGCGAGTCGAGCAACGGGCCAGTTGATAAAAAGAGGTCAGTTGAGAGCGAGTCGAGTGATTTAGTTGAAAACCGAGTTGCTCGGCCCAGTAGCTACCCCTACCACCACGATTTGCCCACAAAACATCTGTTTACTGCTCTCAAGTGAGTCCAGCGACCACAGAATAAAAATATTTTTTTTATTTTGTGGTCGCTGACAATGAGTCGATCACAACGATCAGTGTTTTTGCACCCTCAATACTAAATGGTTCAGTTGAACAGTTGGCCCTGTGTTGCATTGTCTTGCTGTTCGTAAATCTACTCACTCTTATAAAATTCAGTTTAGAAGAATCCTTATAAATAAATCAGCTGATTGAATTACTTAAAATGTGAAGAATATTTGTTGGAGACCGCTCGGGGAAAATCATTAGTTTACTCTAAAAGCAGTCTTAGTATTGCAGATATGAATCCATTCCCAGACAATCTGCACTGCTAGCCTTTACTAATTCTTTCCCCATTTCCTGTGTTGTGGACATGTTTCCATCCCTTCTCATAGCATTTCAGTATTGCAAATACATTATTCTAAAGCCTGGTTTACACGGGTCGAGTATGTCAGACGAGTTATTCGGCCCAGTTACTAGGCCCAGTTGTTGATATGTTCAACTCGCCCGGTACTTGACTAGACTGTCTACACGCATTCCTAAACAAACTGGAAGTGTGAAGAATCTTCTTTTGTAAAGTAGCTCCATGAGTAATATTTATAAAATTTATATATTACTATCTATCTATCTATATATTAATAGGCAAGCATGTTTCTTTAAAACCTTTTTTCTCAGCTCGTGTGCATCGTAGGGAAAATCTACGCATACCGTTAGAAAGCTATTTTCCTGTAGGTGTGCAGAATCCCTTTATAAATTTAAATAGGCTCAAAGATAAGCGCAAAAAATGAGTTTAAAAATTTGAAAAAATTTACATGGATCTTATGCGTTGCCATGCTGGTGACGAAATAACAACGAAATATAAACAGAAAATCAAAACAAATGGAAGAAACTCCAATCACATGTTTTATTTACAGTGTGGGGTGAAACATTAACATAAGTGAGTGTAGGAACATATAGGTATAAGTGAGTACATTACATATTTTTGGTCGAGTTTCGACCACTGGACATTACTCGTTCCATATTATTCTATAGACTACTAGCATAGACTAAGCATGATTTATCTATGCTACTAGCTGTTGTACCCGTGCTTTGTAACGGGAAGAGGATACAGAACAGAAACATTTTAATCTTTACATCTGTTGCATATAATAGTTACACATCCCCCAATGCTTTTAGAAACAAAATTCAACGTTTAGAAACATTTAGGTTATGACTTTTAAATCTGGTAAGTAGTGGATACCACCATTTTGGTTTTGATTAATTTTAAATCTTGTGTTGGCTGATATGCGGAAAACTGACCAAATCCTCGAATAAAACTTTGACATACATTATTTACCTTCATCTCCCTTAGTTACATATATCTTTTAATTTATTATTGACATTTTCAATTTCAACTTTGAAGTTGCAAAAAACTAATTATTAGATTTAAATGACAATTTTTTTAAATTTAACTCTTCTTTATATTAAATCACAAATCCTTCCATCTTCAGTTTCTTCTCTCACAATAAATCATTAGCAAAACTAAGTAAGCTGTTATAAACTTTAGAAATATTGCTGTGCCTTATCAATACAGTCTTTTGAAATATTAAAGAAACTATATCTATAGGCACTATAAAAAATGTTAAACAAATAATTTAGTGTTAAAGACAGCAGACAAATTAATATGATTATCAAAGCATCAAGGACTAAAAAATGTAATAGCAAATACAGTATATGTTTCACTGCATCTCTGATTCTACTCTAAAAATATCAAAACCAACTTAATATACAAACCAGTTCTTTTAATCAGTTCCATCATCCATTGCCTTTACATTTTCACACCTACCATTAAGTAAACATAGTAACAGATATTTCATAGATTTTAGAAACAAAAGAACACTGTGTACTGCAGTTTTATGATACCAGTATTTTCCTTGGTTTAATTTAATCAGTGTTGTTGCAAAACACTAATAATAAATGTATCAAATAAAGTAAATATGAGCTGAAAGCTATGCTAAGATAAAATAAGAGTATGTTGTATTATTAAATTCAAATTGTAAATATTTCATTTCAACCAAGTCAGTAAATGTTTGTAGCAAACTGTTAAACTAGCAAACTTAATTGACTGTTTAGAATTAATTATCATATGTTCTTCTTCTCACTTTTAATTTTTGACAACGGCTGGAGTTTCATAACAATATTTGTTTCCCATGTTAATCTTATGGAGAAATACAAAACTATTGTCACAAAAAACCTGCTTGCGTATTAAATAAGTACTAGTGTCCCTGTTGCTCGAATTCGAGCAATTGCTTAGTATTACAGGCGTTATTTTAAAACGAACTTCAACCAAGTCAGCAAATATTTGTAGCAAACTGTTTTATTAGCAAACTTATTGACTGTTTACAATTAACCTATGCTCTTCTTCTCACTTTTGATTTCTGACAACAGCTGGAGTTTCATAACAATTTTTGTTTCCCATGTTAATCTTATGGAGAAATAAGAAACTTTAAAGGGCTCCAGGGCCTCACTCTCTCATTATTTCCCTAAAAAGAAAGTTTCCTGCACAACTTCACGCTACGCTCTTTCCAATGACACCAAAAACATGACAATCGGTTCAGTAGTTTCGGAGGAGTAATTGTCACAAAAGATCTGCTTGCGTATTAAATAAGTATATATAGATAGATAGATATAGATAGACTTTAAAAAATTAGGAAGATCAATCTCCTCAAAACCAAATCACCACAAATCCTTCAACCACTCAAAAGTCACAATACAATAAATCATTAATAAAAACACAAACATCAGCTGTTATAAACTTTAGAATATTGTTATGCCTTATCAATAGTTTTTCATCAGAATATATAAAAAACAACATTTAATTTCATATAATTTTATTCATTTCAGTACATCAATACAGAAATAGCGATCTATACTATATAAAGTTGGAAATGATTAATTTACCAAATATCGAAATATAAGAAGGTTTCAACTGACTTATACGATCCCCACCCATAGATAGAACAGGCACCCTGCTAGTTAAATATCAAGATATCTCTTTTCACCCAAGACAAGGTCCATAAGTGGAAGTAATCATCTTAACAAACATAATAAACAGTTTTGTTTTTTACCAGGCAGAAGTACAAACAAATATTAAAAATTTAAGAAAACATCTTTATAAAAATAATAAAATTTTCTTAATTAAATAATCTAAATGGGAAAAAAATGTAAATAAAAGTATACTGGTATTCAAAATAAATGTTAAACTAATCATTATAATGAATCTAAACTGATTTGTCTTCACTTCTTCAGCCTTCTCTCCCCCAACCTCCATGACTCCATCGACATCCACCCTGTCATCAGGCCTGGAATATAACAGAACAAAAATTAATACAGTCTAACCTTGATATAACGAACCAACCTCGATATAACAAATTCCTTGATATAACAAATTTTTTTTAATCCCCTAGAACTCTCCATAAGACACAATGTATATTTTACCTCTACATAACGAACAAACAATGACAACGACAACGATTTTGATGAAATTTGGTACAAAAGTGTAAACCTACGTTTATTTGAACGAGTTCGCGATCCAGCATGATCGGACCATGGGAACGGGGGTTTACGGGGGGTTTTATGGGGTAAAAATAGGGTTTTCCCATTTTTGACCCAAAAAACATAAAATTTAGCAATTTCTTTCCAAGCCATATTGTAGAGCTTAAAAAAACAAATAATTTAGTATATTGAAGCGTTATTATGCGCCTAATGGTTACGGAGAAAATTCCAAAAAATTGTAAATTTAAAATTCCCATGTTATTCTTATGGAGAATAAGTAAACTGTTGTAGTTTGCTTGTTTATGAAGATATTTTTATCAAATTTGGAAAATGTTTTAATTTTTTACTAACTATTAACGTTTTACAAAAAAACAGTTTTACCCTCCCTGATGCAGCAAACCTAAGTACTTGTTAAACTAATTCTATTTAAATCGGGAATAAATGTTATATTTGTAAGTAGACATTTCAGTGTAAATCAAATCAGTCAAATGGAAATTCGCTTAATCTGCAGGTTTGCTGCGGTGGGGGTATTTTATTGTTGCTTTTAAATTGAAATATTTGTATATCAGCTTAGAATTAGGAAATTTAATGTCATCAAACAATGTTTATGTCGAGGGTAGGTTAAGTTAAGAGGAACTTGGTTGAAAATATACATATCATGACCATGAAACGCTCATAAAAAGTTATTCATTGAATAGAATGTGAAATCTACAGAAAGTGTCAAAAGTTATAATATAGATAGGTAGTAGCTACCTCTGGATTAGAAAACATCATAACTAATCTATGGGTAGTAATATGAAATTAGGATTTAAAAATTTGTTAAAAGGCAAATGGTGTAAACAATATTTCTCTCAAAATGGCAAAAATATACAATTAATTATCTCCTTGAGAAAAAGTTTCAATTTTTAAGGTGTGTACCCTACTCTTAACACAATATGTTAATTGTTCAAAAATTTTAAAATGATTCAAGTAAATGTGAACTTTATAATTTCACTAATTTTTACACCAAAATCTTTCAATACAATTAATCACATTAGCGAAATTTTTAATAATTAATTAGGGTTGGATACAACAACAGATATACAATCTCACTTATTTCATAAAATCAATAATCAATGAACCATCAAATATAAGAATAAATAAACATGTCACATTTTATTTATATTCGTTACAGACAGTTAATGAATCTAATCAAAAGAATAGTCCCTGCTCGTATTGATTCATTGTACTTGTTTACTGCCGATGAAATAACCAATATTTATACAATCAATATTCAAAAGTAGGCCTAAAAAGCAGATATTCTGATAATGTCTTTGAATATTAGCTTTGTATTCTACAAGCAGAAAGACAACAATTAATGTGCGGGAGACTACCTGACTGAGGGTAGAACGAAACTTGTTCGCAAACGGGACTCCTTCCCAGGTACCTCACCCCACAGCCAAAAATTTATTTGCAAACGGGACGACACCATTCCCACCACCCTCCAACACTCACTCGCTTGACAGGATGGCAAAGAAAACCGTTAAATAATTTTGTTTGTCAAACGCCCTGAATGACCTTTTTTATTTCTTAAGATAACAAATTGACCTGGTGGGCAACGTTTTATGTCAAATGATGAGGTCATCACTGAAAAAGAAGAGTATTTTGAAGGCTTTTCATGTTTGTAGGGTGCTATTTATTTGGACAGCATTTGAAGGAGGTTTTGCGAAACTTTAAGATAAGTGTATAGAGCTAAATAAAAGGAGATTATAACAAAATAAATCGAATTTATCACAAAAAATTGTGTTATTATATAAATATTTTTCTAAGGTCTTATTGAACCACGCTCGTACTAAATACCTTATTGATGTATGAGAATTTTTCTACTTGTTTCAACTGCTTCTGTTGACAGGGCTTTTCCATTTGTCTTAAAATTATTGCTGTTTCAGTACTAACCAAATGTAAACACAATGACATATTCAAAATAATTATAATTACTGTATGGTGTCAAAAAAACCATTCCCACCACCCTCCAACACTCACTCGCTTGACAGGATGGCAAAGAAAACCGTCAAATAATTTTGTTTGTCAAACGCCCTGAATGACCTTTTTTATTTCTTAAGATAACAAATTGACCTGGTGGGCAACGTTTTATGTCAAATGATGAGGTCATAACTGAAAAAGAAGAGTATTTTGAAGGCTTTTCATGTTTGTAGGGTGCTATTTATTTGGACAGCATTTGAAGGAGGTTTTGCGAAACTTTAAGATAAGTGTATAGAGCTAAATAAAAGGAGATTATAACAAAATAAATCGAATTTATCACAAAAAATTGTGTTATTATATAAATATTTTTCTAAGGTCTTATTGAACCACGCTCGTACTAAATACCTTATTGATGTATGAGAATTTTTCTACTTGTTTCAACTGCTTCTGTTGACAGGGCTTTTCCATTTGTCTTAAAATTATTGCTGTTTCAGTACTAACCAAATGTAAACACAATGACATATTCAAAATAATTATAATTACTGTATGGTGTCAAAAAATATAGCCTACATTTCCTAAAAAACAAAAGCAAATTTTTTGGGCACCTCCCCAGTTAAAATGCTGGTTAAATACTAGTAATTCAGGAGGGTTATGCGACATAGGCTTCGGGGCAATGGACACGGCCCTGGATTTATAAGTATTAAATTTAAGTAAATGGCAAAACTTACCATAAGTTAGTTTTCTTCAATCTTAGTCTTAAACTGGCCCCATCCTCCATCTGCTCTTCCTCTGACACCTCTCCCCTGTATCCTCCAGTGTCGGAGGATATTAATTGCAACACCCCCATTTTACTGGTAGGCTTCAACTCTGTACAGAAATATTGCAAAAAAATAGTGTTAAACAAATAATTTTAGTCTAACAAATAATACAAGTGTGTACACTCCTTTCTATATTTGCGATATTCAAATAGGTACACAGCTAATAAGAAAATGTTTGAGCAAATCTGGGTCAAGTTAGTACAAATATTAGAATTTGTAACAATAATTTGGTTTAGACAAAATAAATTGCTTCAAATATTAATTCATTGTTATTTCCCAATTTGCAAAAATGCAAGCTATAGCCTAATTAAGTAATTTCCAAACAACATGTTTCGAGATGTAATCCAAATAAATTTTAAGTAGGGGCCTGGATTTAACACATTCACTGCTAATGATATGTAATACTTTTATAAATGGCTAAAAAACATTAACATTAACATGATCATGTTAATTGAGTGACAATATATCTTTAATTAAATAAATTTCATACTATAAATTGTGGATTAAAATATATTATGTAATTATATACATCATGTATTATATATCTGCTAATATACTTATGACGCACAAGTGCGTCATTAGCAGTGAACGTGTTAAATTGTTATAAAAAACTATAAATTTGCATACAGATTATATATTATCCCCATGTTCCACCAAAAACTATAGTAACTAGTGGGCGAAGTGGCACTTTGCTACACATGAGAGAAATGTTTAAACGCACGAGCCGTAGGCGAGTGTGGATAGTATCTCGAGTGCAGCAAAGGCAGTTTGCACTTGTGTTACAAATTAATTTTTCTTACAGTTATTATAAAACATATAAATAATTAGTCTTTCAAACTCTGTTCAACACGTTTATAGGTTAGGTTAAATCCAAACATTGGTGAAATGGTAAGCTGTACCAGTTGATCGTAGTCGTAATATCTTGAATGGGTAGCCAACTTATTTTCAAGTCTACGTATGTATTATACGTGTCTAATAAAACCACGCTGTTTTGTGTTGTTTGGTTGGAATACAGGAGTGCGGCAAAAAAAGAGCGCGGTAAAAGTAAGTAAATGCAGCAATTAGCAACTTTCTGTGCTATAATAAGTGCAAGGAAGGCCACTTTGTCAGGTGACAGTTGGAAAAATAATTCACATGCGCTTCATTTTGAAAACTGTGAATGACTGACTTAAACAACCTTTTTATTATTACTGATGTTAAAATGTGTAATTTTGCGCACAGGCCGCCTAGTTATTAGTTTATAACTAATGTGATAACTGTATACACACATTTTTTTGTCCTAGGACGCTACAGGCACTAGTCCGGAATTTTAATTCACATTTCACACTTCAGCCTAGGTCTAGGGCTGTGGTGTTCACAAAAAAATAATGAGCGAAGACAGAATCATATTTATTAAATTAAGTTGTCACTTCCAATTGCTTGGTGTTGAAAACAATCAGCTGTAGGCTTCAGTTACTTCACCCACAGTTCATTCCACTTGTTAATGTAATCCACTCTACCTTGACTATTCAAACATTTTGAGCGGTGATTTATTCCGTTTCAGTAATATTCATCTGCAGTGAAAAATAGTGGTCTTTGGATTCAGTACGTAAAAATCTACGCAGAGGATACGGGTCCGGTAACCGGACGTGGATTAGGCATCCGGCAGTTACTGTCATAACCTTAACCAACCAAACTTGCTGATAATGAAAAAAATCGAATTAAGGTTAAATTCTGTCCATAAAATAAATTTATAAACACAAAAAAATCAAACAAAAGATATTGTACAGTTAAGAATAAACCCACCCAAACCAGGACAGTTGGCCTAGGACATAAAAATGTTCTTTCCATGATAACCCAACCTAACATAACTCAACCGCCGCAAAGCGCTGTATATCTGTAGCCTCCGGATAATACTTACCAAAGTACCGATTTGAACTTTGAATTACTTAGTTAACAAACAGCCTAGAATCTATCCCAAAGGGGAAAGAATATTGACTCACCTCACTTAAGTTATGGTTAGACCAAGGAACATTATCACAGCAGTATGGTAATTGCCTCCAGGGTACACAACTTTGGTCTCTCTTTCTCTCTCATCTGCAGTGATGTCGATGGCAATGTCGTCCAGAAAAGTTAGTCCTCTTAACTTATTGGTTCAAGACAATATTTAAAAAAGAGACCAATTTGGGTTCAGGTTAAATTACAGCCTTTGCTCCAGGATCATCTATAAAACTAACATTGAAGTCATCAGCAATGAATGATATAATCCTTGTCTAGTCTTACACCAAATACAAACAGCTCTAGAATATTTGACAGCACTTAAGTTTACGTCCTACACTCATTCCAATGAATGTATTACTTTAATAGGCCTACTTTCTTTCTTATTACTTGGCAACCATACAAAGTAGGTATTTTAAGCCAAGTATAAATGGAGATGAGTGTAGGATGAGTGGAGCGATCTTGTAGTCTTGTTAGTGACTAAGTCTGACATTCCTTAGACACAGCTGTTAATTAATAGCCCAAACAGCTAATGGCAACTAAGGGACATACAGTTTATAGTGGAATCCGAACCACATTAAGTTATTGCCTTGGTATAGGCATAGACTAACCAACACAAGTAGACTTCTCATCCCATTGTAAATTTTGAAGCACGTTTTTCGTGTCTAGTTCATGTACGCCACACTGGGCACTAGTGTCGACGAAACTTTGTTTCTATTATTTTAGGGTTAATTTCTTGATTTGTGCTTTACTGTTTGGTTATATAACTAGGGGACAGGTTATTGTTTATGATTAGATCGTATTATTTGGTTAAACGAGGTTGTAAATGGCTGTAATAGCGGGAAACAAATTGTAAACAAAACACGACCTCTACAGAAAACCGTACAGAACTAACAATAAAGTTGTCTTCAGCTGTTCCATAAGGATGAGAAATCTACTAAGGGAGTATGTTTTATCTATGGTATAGACCTATACGAATTGGTCTAATTATCAGGATAGTACTGGGGAGAGTCGTAGTAAGTACTCACTCGTGCGGACGTTAATCCACACCAGGGAGAGTCGAATCCACAGTGCATGCCTATAAATATCCACAATTCGTGACCTCCTAGTAGCTGGATTACAGGACGACGCCACCCGTCCCAGTCATATTGATTATTTCATTTGATAAACTTAGGCCTAGGCCTATATCAAGTTTGGTTAGTTAGGGTAAAACCTAACCTAACTAAAGGAATGAAATATTCAAATTGGATTAGTAAACCTTCATGCGATTTAAGTGCAGCCGGCTGCACTTTACTTGACGTCCTACACTCATTCAATTGTTTTTTCGATTCGATATTTTCATTCGATATATCGTTTGGTTACTTAGGTAGGTTAACCTTACCTAACTAACCAAACGATATATCGAATGAAACAATCGATTAATCGATATATCGATCGATATTTTCATTCGAATGAGTGTAGGACGTCAAGTAAAGTGCAGCCGTGCAGCCAAATATTTTTACATAACTTAAACAAATTCTTAAAGTTGACACTGGGTCAGTGGGAAAAAGAGACGGGTACAGTTTCTTAACTGGGCTATGCTAATATCGATTGAAACTATCGAATTGAAAATAGGGATTGATTAATAATCGATATTTTTAAATATATTTATTATCAAATTAAACTATCTTAACCTAACCTAACCAACCAAACTTGCTGATGGTGAAAAAATCGCATGAAGGTTTACTAATCGAATCGATAGTTTCAATTGATATTAGCATAGCCCAGTTAAGAAACTGTACCCAAAGAGGCTATCCTATAGCCTAGGGATAATGCCTATTCAAACTATTAACTATTGCTTGATGATCCAGAATTAGCCTACGAATAAGCTGTATCTTAGGTTCTTGTTGGTGACTTACCTAAGTTAGTGTCTGGTAGAACTAATGTTATTAAGTTATCATGTAGATTAAGTTTTTTATCCTATAAAAATTAACTTATTTCACATTATTCCTTAAAAACTATAGTTTGGAACACTCGAGTCATCTATTTTCTTGTAAACAAGGAAAGAAATAAACAAGATAAATATTTACAACATAAAAGTTCTTAGTCAATAAATGTAGATGTCCGTCGGACGGAATTCGGAATCAAATATTGCGACTCGTGAGTTGAGGAACTGAACGATGAATTAGAACAACTCCTTTTCAAGAGTAGCTCCGAAGAACGGGTGCTTGTCGATATACTGGGACTATTTCAGTGTCGACAAAATGAAACTATTTCATTGTCGACAATATGGGATGTCGACAATTTGTGGTGTCGATCATTTGCGACGTCGGTTATTTGGGATGTCGGTTAAGTGGGAATATTCCAGTGTCGACAAACTGGGAATAATTCAGTTTCGATCAATTTCTACGATTGTCGATATTATGGAACCCACCCGACCTGTACGTACACGTCAACCCACCACCTCGGGTTTTTTGTGGTAGCGGGTTGACGCCTCTGACCAAAACACCGAGGTGGCGGTTTGACGTGGTGGCGGATTGACAGCACCCGTCCAACTTCGACATCGTCCCACGATGAGTTTACATTTACACTTTACTAATAGCTTGTGTTGGTTAGTCTATGCTAATAGCCTGTATAATAGAAAATATATAAGAGAGAAGAAGCAGAAAGTATATCGTTCTTCTTTTTCTTCTCTTCTTTTGAGTGAGCGGGAACTTGGGTTAGTGCTAGTTAGTTTAGTTGGTTCTGGTTCGGTTGTTATTTGGTAATGTCAATGTTGTGAAATGTGTCGTAAGTTACATTACATTGAAATCGGCCATTCGCTTCTGGATTTGTAATAAAAGTGTTAGTAATATTTCAATTTCCAGTATTCGTTCCGACATACCGTACCTATTATGGCATCGAGAATGAGTGATGACACCTTTGTTGAGGAAGTACCCAAATTCGTAAAACTAATTGAATCCAGTACAGGTTGGTTGGTCCTACAGAGTCTATGATGGTAGTATTATGGTAGGCTTGTAAAATGTAAGACTGGTTAACCCTTTTAAATTGTACAAATACTGTAGCCTAATTTACAAATTGCATAGGTAGCCTACATAAGCCCAGAGCCCACTGATTAGATATTAGGATAGGTCTAGGCTAGTCGTAGTGCAATAGTATTTTATCTCCATTTCCAAACCAAACCTCTAAATTTCCTGTAATATAATTCAAGGGCTAACTTATTATTTTGTACTTGTACTTCACTTTAATATTAATAACCATATAAGTTTAAGCAACAATTCTGGGTTATGCCAACTACAGCACAGTTCTTATCCCTGAAAGTGTATGCCACTTGGTTTACTGAGTTTTCATTACTGATTTCCATTACAGCCAAAGGTAGCTTAGCCTCGACCATCAAAGAAATAATAAGCGATGTCTTCAATGTATCAGTTGAACGAGGGCTTAACGACGAGGAGTGCTCCATGTTGCTTAATTTATTCTGCAAAGGATCCATAAGTAAGTTAATGTAGGTAGCTTAATTGAAACAAATTTTCTATAGACTATGTTAAGCAGGGTGTAGCGTGAAAAACCTTTTTACTAAGCACAAATGACTCGACTAAATGATTTAACTTGTTGAAATTTTTTCGCTGATCACACACAGACAGTTAAGGCAAAAGAAGTCAAATGCCTGATTTGAATCGCAAGCCAGACAAAGCTCTGCCACATTATGAATTGCATTCCAGACTAAAAAAAAGGCAGAATTCCAACCTGAATTTGTGGATCCTGGCAGGAGAGAACCTTTCAGACCACTTGGCCATTGATCAGATGTAATGGTCTAAGACTGATCAAGTTCAAAGCTTGACTTTCAGGCTGCAGCACTTGTTTAATACAACTTTCAGCTGTTTTCTTTGAGTTATACCTTGTTATACTCACATAAAACTTGAAGTTGAGGCCTAAGTGGAAGTTTTGTTACATTAGTCTTACGTCCGATAAATCAGCTTTTGAAGCTCAAAGAGTTAAATCATAAGTTGCCCTATATTGAAGATCTTGGACACACGCACAAGAACTTTAACATGAACTACGATGTTATATTACCTTTCCACTTTCCAATACTGTAGTAAAGACCAGGAAAGGAATCATTAATAACAGAAGCATCCGTTTGTGTTTTTACTAATTTACAATGCAATGTTAAGAAATATTTCTACATAAAAACAAAGTTAAACTCGACCCAATGATTGACTTGCGATGCCTATTGAGCTGTGGTAGGCCTACTTAACCCTTAGAGTGCCAGGTGAGAAATAAAAGTAACGCTCAAAAAATGCCGATGATTTTTCCCGAAGGTCGCGCTAAAAATGCCAAGCGCGATCTGGCGATTTTTAGGTTAAAATTTCGTAAAAATCGAATTTTTGATATTTCGACCAACGAAAATTGATGTAGGCCTATCGCATCTAGTAACTTTCGACTCAATGTTAATATATGGGTTAAAAGAATCCGAGTATCCATTCGGTTGTTACGGCAACTGTTCGATCATTACGAAACGTCCGGTCAGCCGGACGTTGGCACTTTTGGCTTGTTCTAAAAACGTCCGGTCGGCCGGACGTCGGCACTTTTGGCTCGTTTTAAAAACGTCCGGTTCCCCGGACGTTGGCACTCAAAGGGTTAAATTTACAAAATATTCTTCTTCCCTGGTTTTTAATCAGCTGAGTAAAAATAATTTTTTTGCTAGCCTAATTATATAAAATGCTATGTGAAATAATCACTTTATTTCTCTCAATAATGAATTTGAAGGCCTGTGGCGAATCTCTACGTCAAAATATCAAACATACTGCTGGTTGAAAAGGCATTTCAGTAGTTTCATTGAATAGAAGGATGAACAGATGTATCACCTTATCAAACAGTTATTATTGAGGGACACATGGTGGAGGCCAAATATAACCGTTATCTTCCTAAATTTATTAGCTATTCAAGAAAAGCATTGTTTAGGTAGATTTCTAATTTTTCTTTCTCTTGTAGTTAGTGAATTCCATAACACTTTTTTGATTTCTGCTTTCAGGTATGAGTGACAAATTTAAGCTTCTACAAAATATTGTTCCTAAGAAGCAAATTCCAGACGCAGCTACTCGACAGTTCATGGTCTGGTTCATCTCACGTTTTAGACGTGACGAGAATTTCAGTTTTGCTCCAAGTGCACGAATTCTTCAATGGATCATTGGTATGTTTATTTTGAGTTTAGCTTATCTTTGTAGCAATTTACTAAAGATAACTAGGCGTTAACTGTAAATAAGATCAAATCAACAACATTTGATTTAAAAGAAAAACAATAATGCATGTAGGACAGTTTTCAAAAAATTGTTTGTCCCCACAGAACGCAAACCTAAAACAAGTTAGGCTAAGTGTTAACTCGGTTGGTTAACACAATGTTAACATTGTGACCGAGTTAACACCAGTCATTAACATAGTCTTAGAACCTAATTAACTACCAATATAATAATCTATTTACTAATAGATTTGTCAAGGCCTATTGGGTCTGATGATGATTTGGACTGTTCAATCAAAATCTATCACAATTTTCATTTCACATTTCTTCTATACAGGGTGCGGCAAAAAATCCGAACCATTTTCTGCAGCGCACTGTTCAGCGACATGTCGTCTGAGGGTGATGGGAGTAGGCTCGTTGGAAAGCCTATACAATGCCATTTTTTGTAGTCATAGAGCAGTGGTCGTATGAGCTACGTGCGGTTGTTATCGAGTCGTTTCTTAAAGTAATGATATAGTCATTGCAACTCAGCGGCAGTTCCGTGCTTTTATTCAATTAGGTTGAGATAGAGAGGTTCCGTCGGGGTCATCTGAATTGATGATTACCAAATTATACAGATTATTATTCTAATCCATAGGGATGAAAATTCTCAAGATTTGTGTAACTGAGCGGTCAGACATGTTCAAGGCAGCCGCTTGTTTTCGGGCTGGCCTACGAGGACTGTTTTCCACAGCAGCACGAACTCTATAGAATGTTTGTTTTCTGGCATCCGATTTGACTTTGGAAGGCCTGTCAACTTCTTTTTCAACGCAGAAGCCGTTGTGTTAAAGTAAGTAACCCACCGCATTATTGTGCTACGCAACGGAAATTCTCCTTGTCGCTGTTGCCTTAATTGAAAGAATGCATGAAACTGCCGCTGAGTAGCATTGAATGAATTCACTATTTTATAAAAACGACTCCATAACAACCGCACTAGCTCAGGCGACCACTGCTCTATGACTACAAAAATGGCATTGTGTAGGCTTTCCAACGAGCCTACTCCCACCACTCTCGGACAACCTGTCGCTGAACAGTGCGCTGCAGAAAATAGATCGATTTATTGCCCCACCCTGTATATATTTACTGTCTTGTTTCAAACAGTATAAATGTAAATATATATGTTTCAAGTGTTTAAGATGTATCTTTTTTTACTCCCCTAATATTAATAACACATATTATGCTGATTAATACGTTGCCTACCGGCCGTCCAACTCGGTTGTATGAGGGGCATTGTGAGACGTGGTAGTGAAGGGGTTAACACGTTGCCTACCGGCCGTCCAACTCGGTTGTATGAGGGGCATTGTGAGACATGGTAGTGAAGGGGTTAACACGTTTCCTACCGGCCGTCCATTTCAGTTGTATGAGGGGCATTGTGAGACATGGTAGTGAAGGGGTTAACACGTTTCCTACCGGCCGTCCATTTCAGTTGTATGAGGGGCATTGTGAGACGTGGTAGTGAAGGGGTTAACACGTTGCCTACCGGCCGTCCAACTCGGTTGTATGAGGGGCATTGTGAGACATGGTAGTGAAGGGGTTAACACGTTGCCTACCGGCCGTCCATTTCAGTTGTATGAGGGGCTTTGTGAGACGTGGTAGTGAAGGGATTAACACGTTGCCTACCGGCCGTCCAACTCGGTTGTATGAGGGGCATTGTGAGACGTGGTAGTGAAGGGGTTAACACGTTGCCTACCGGCCGTCCAACTCGGTTGTATGAGGGGCATTGTGAGACATGGTAGTGAAGGGGTTAACACGTTTCCTACCGGCCGTCCATTTCAGTTGTATGAGGGGCATTGTGAGACGTGGTAGTGAAGGGATTAACACGTTGCCTACCGGCCGTCCAACTCGGTTGTATGAGGGGCATTGTGAGACATGGTAGTGAAGGGATTAACACGTTGCCTACCGGCCGTCCAACTCGGTTGTATGAGGGGCATTGTGAGACATGGTAGTGAAGGGGTTAACACGTTTCCTACCGGCCGTCCATTTCAGTTGTATGAGGGGCATTGTGAGACGTGGTAGTGAAGGGATTAACACGTTGCCTACCGGCCGTCCAACTCGGTTGTATGAGGGGCATTGTGAGACGTGGTAGTGAAGGGGTTAACACTTACCGGCCGTCCAACTCGGTTGTATGAGGGGCATTGTGAGACGTGGTAATGAAGGGGTTAACACGTTGCCTACCGGCCGTCCAACTCGGTTGTATGAGGGGAATTGTGAGACGTGGTAATGAAGGGGTTAACACGTTGCCTACCGGCCGTCCAACTCGGTTGTATGAGGGGCATTGTGAGACGTGGTAGTGAAGGGGTTAACACTTACCGGCCGTCCAACTCGGTTGTATGAGGGGCATTGTGAGACGTGGTAATGAAGGGGTTAATACGTTGCCTACCGGCCGTCCAACTCGGTTGTATGAGGGGCATTGTGAGACGTGGTAATGAAGGGGTTAACACGTTGCCTACCGGCCGTCCAACTCGGTTGTATGAGGGGAATTGTGAGACGTGGTAGTGAAGGGGTTAACACGTTGCCTACCGGCCGTCACACTCAGTTGTATGAGGGGCATTGTGAGTTGTGGTAGTGAAGGGGTTAACATGTTGCCTACCGGCCGTCCAACTCGGCTGTATGAGAGGTATTATGAGACGTGGTAGTGAAGGGGTTGAGAAGTTAATATAAAATAATAATAATACATAGTTGTCCCTGGGAGTTGAAACCATTCCTCTCTCCTACAAACAGGCACAACCCAATGCAATTGTTGACTCACTACAAGACCAAAAACTCAAAAAGGTGGCTAGTAGCCCCAAATGGGACGTTAAACTCTGTCCCTGCGTCCCAGTAGCGAGCCGACTCTCTCCCACTCACTCGTTCTCTCTCATTCTCTCTCACTCTTTGAGCTGTACTACGTGCCACCGTGACTGTGCAAAGGCCACTTTTAGCGGGCCATGTTATCATATGGGGCTTATTAAGCGATGCAAATGGCGACAGTTGGCGCACGTGTACCCTCGCTAGTATTCACGAGCCCACGCGACTGTCTCGCCACCAGTGTGCGATGTTCTCATATGCTTCTTATTACGCGCAGCCACGGTCGTGGGCCACAGCACACACCCACTCCCAACCTCATCAAAGTCACGATTTTTGTGATAAAATGTTATTGTATTATATCGTTATAATTATGTTTGTATTATTGTAAAAACTATTATATTTAATTAAAGGTAGGCCTAAGTGCTAGCCTCTTCTTAGCTGAAATTAAAAAAATCAACATTCTTGCGGGGTACAGATAAATTCACAATGTCTTATTTTTTAAAGTAGTTCATCAAAAGAACATTGGAACATCCTGAAACCTAAAGTAAACACTAATTTTTATCCTGTCTGAGATCGTTACGTGTGAAAAATACTACTTTTAAAGATCTTTCTTTTAGCAACGGATGGACACCAATATATTTGTTTTGCCTGCGTTTATGGTGCTTAAGTAAAAGCGGAAGATATAGTCCATCTTCTTCACTTGACGGTCAGATGTGCTACCTCGCCACACTTGTTGCTACCCCTTGTCACACAGATACACTACCTATATTTGGACACAAGATAGTGATGAATACCGCCGATTTCCACTAACTATTTGTCCGCAAAATTGTTTAATATTTGTAAACTGCAAGGCTAGGGACAATTAAAACAATTAGGTAATTTTGAGAACATTATTATTGTAATGTGTTTAGGAGAAGTTTAAAACTACATTTTGTGTTATAATGTATTTTATTTTTCAGGACTTCTAGAACACAACCTAGTGAATTCAAAAGAGATTTACATTTTTTACTTGGATTTCTTTGATATGCTCCGGCCACCTTTGGTAAGAGTTTACTTCAGTGTAAATTAGATGATAGGCTAAAAATAACTCACCTTACATCAAATTTAAGTGTGATACCCATCTAGAGATAATTTTTGGTCAAGTTGCAATCTAGGCTACATCACACCACCATGTAACGGTACAATATCGTAGGATTTTCAATAAACGGCATTGGCTACAAAACATTGCCTGATCTCTCCACCTACGTCATAAAACGGTCCATGTCCGACTGACTTTTCATTACAGCAAACTCCAGCAGTCTCCAACCCAAACAACCAGTGTTTGGTCGTGTCATAATGTAAACTTTGTCGTTATACCATCCACCCGAGTCTGAATAATGTTTTAAGTGTGTGTAAACCACAACACTAGACAAATAGAATAGAATAGAAATCTTTATTTGCCATTGACATTATACATGTATTAGCAACCGTCAAGAATATAACTAGTCAAAGGTAATTCTATTATTCTAAAGGTCAATTGACTTTAACATTCCATTCCATTTCCATTTTGTGCTGCATTATATCACAAGAACAGGCCAGTATGGAATTGAACCCTCAATCTCCTGGTTATCTCCTGGTCAGGGTATTTATTTTAGTTTTGACACCATGTAGACGAGAGACAATGTACTGTGTGTACTGAAATAACACTTTTAGGGAAAGCAGTACAAACCCATATGTGTTGTGGATGTGCCAGGAATCGAACCTCTCCCTCCCCCACCGAGGTCCGGAACGCTAACCGCTAAGCTAGCAACAAACATCCTACGACCACCCAGCTTGCCACACTAACACCTTGATAAATAAGTAAATATACAAATACACAGTTGAAAAAGTATCTAAAATATATTTTATATGTCGGTCTAAGTATCATTTAACAAATTACAGTATATGTTATATATTCTTGATAATTTATATATGAATGTGTGTTTGTAAGTTGTACTTAAGGTATTTCCATTGATTCCAGATTCCATACGTTTCAAAACTGTTGTGCATCCTTACCAAACCAGATGATGTGACTAGTCAGACAGTATTGACGTTGTGGGATCATATCGGTGATGAAAGTAACAAATACCTTCTTGCTGTTGTCAAGTAAGTATTGCTATAACAAGATTATAGGTAAGGTGAATATTATTTGGGAGGAGGGGCTTACAACAACTGGGAGTTATGATTTTGAGGGGGGTTGAATTGGGTGCTAAAACACAGTTAATTTTGTGTCTAATAAATTAAAACACTTCAATTGAGTTCCTACAAATGTCTATCTAGTATTAGGCTATAGATACGGTTTATAAATTGAAATAATTAGTCTAATGTTAGGCCACAGGGTGTCTAGTGTTGGGAAAAGTCGGGGATTAGTATTAAATCTCAAAATGGTCTTAAAAAGACTGGATTTAGTTTTTATTTCAATGTCAAATCCAGAAATTTTTGTGATTTTGCCACGATTGCACAAGACGTTTCCATGATCGTGGGAGACGTCGATGATGTCTACACGGCAGTGGGAAATGTTCATGATTTTGCCTCAATCGCAGATGACGTCGATGATGTTTCCGTGACCGCTGCCGTTAATGATGATGTCTACACGGCCGCAAAAGATTTTCATGATCCAAAAAACCCAAATTGGCTAGTAAGAATTGTTCATTGCTGTATTGTTTTCTTTACTTGAAAAACCCTATAGCCTATAGTATAAATAATACCTAATACTTAATGACGTTGGTGTAGTATAACCAAATTATTTACAAAATTTGGTTAAACTATAAAAATAGGTATAATTATCAAGAATTGAGAATCGATACATTTTGGTATCGACACACCACTTATTGTTAAAAAAACTAGTCTTGAAAAATCTGGAAGTAGCCTTGAAAAGTCAGGAATTAGTCTTCAATTTTAAAGTGGAAATGAACTAGAGGCTGTAAGACAAAAACTATAAGTTCTAGACAACTACTAACATCTTTGACATCAACGTCTTTGACATCAACAAACTGTCCTAGACAACAACTGACAGCAGTGGCGTAGCCAAGGGGGGGGGGTTTTGGGGGTCATAACCCCCCCCCCCTTGCCAAAAGGATTTTGCCCATAAAAAAAACCCATAAAAACTCCTAATACTGTATAAATAGACATTATTGTGATGATTAATTTGCTTTTCACAATTAAAATACAATTGCAGTAGTATTGCGCAATCATAATAGGTTGTCATTAACTCTTGATTCAGTAATAAAAACTGTTAAGTTTAAAATCATAGCTAACTCAAAGTTACTCAAACAAACAAATTTCCAAACACTGTACTGTACATTTAGTCCCCTGTCAAATGTACATATACAGGCTCCCGTGTGCTCCTTCATGAGGCAGGTGTGGGAGTAGTCTTAATCTCTTCGTTTGACCTTGGAGAAATACAATTTCGATGGTGGCACTCTTGAAAATTGTGCGTTTGAACGCCGAATGGTAAAAAACAAAATGGCCGCCATCGCAAACTTGTTTTCTTACTTATATCAGTAACCGTTAGGGTTACAAAAGAATTGTTGATACCAAAATGCAAATGATGTGCAAAAATAAGTCAAAAATGTTGTATAAATTTGTTTCGATTTCGGCTTAGTTTAGCCGTAATCCGCCATTTTGAATTTTTTTTAAATAACTCATAACTCAAAAGCCCTTGAAGATATTTTTATGAAACTTGGTATAAACTTTAAGTCTACAACTATAAACATTCTCCGAAAAGATCTTTGATCGGGCTCATCGAATTTCAAAATGGCGGCCATTAAAAGTTTTTAAAGTCAAATTCCATGAAAACCAGCGATTAAAACAAAACTTTGAAACACAATATGTAAAGTCCTTTTTATTACAAATCGAACGACACTTTATTTGCGAAAATCGGATAATAAATAAAAAAGTTATGTAACTTTTATATAATGTTTTTGTCACTAGTTTCTATGGAATTTAACTTTGTGGTGTTAAAATGACTGCCATTTTGATAATTAGCATTAATAACAAAAGTTACATAACTTTTTTATTTATTATCCGATTTTCGCAAATAAAGTGTCGTTCGATTTGGAATAAAAAGGACTTTAAATAATGTGTTGCAAAACTTTATTTTAATAGCTGGTTTTCACGGAATTTGACTTAAAACATTTTAAATGGCGGCCATTTTGTTTTTTACCCACAGCGTTCAAACGCACAATTTTCAAGAGTGCCACCATCGAAATTGTATTTCTCAAAGGTCAAACGAAGAGATTAAGACTACTCCCACACCTGCCTCACCAAGGAGCACACGGGTGTACATTTGACAGTGGACTAATTATTGAATCGCGTAAAGAACAGAAAAATAGATAGTCTAGTAAGTTACTCATAGGCTTACTGCTAGTCATAGGCTACTGCTACGTGCTGTTTTAGGACACAATAAGTGTTTTCTGTCGATCTGTGACATAGCGCACAGCAGACAGACCGATGTGTAAGGAGCAGACGACTGTCAGTGCAAGCGCATAGCTTAATTTGACCATGAAGCTATCAGCCGATTCTTTGTTTTGTTATGCTTCCATTTTATTTTTGTCAAATAAACTGTGATGTTTCAAAAACAATAATGTGAGAACCTACTGCATATAAATAATAATGGTAACAAACTAGTTAAATTAAATATACAATGCATTTCAACACGTTTGACTGAAAAAACACAATTAATAAAATGTTCTTGGTATTGGATAATGAGGTTATGTAGGCCTAGCATAATTTTAGAAGCATTTATATTGACCACTCTGGTTAATCGAGGTTCTTAATAGACAATAGATGATGTAGCTACTGAAAAAAAAACGACCTCACTGCTATTTAGCTTATCATGTTTAGTTCTCAAGTGGAACTGTGCAAATGAGGAATATTAAAAAATCGGTACTTACGTATTAAACGGAGGCCACATTTTGTCAGCGCGCTGCGGCGGTTATGTTAGGTTGGGTTATCGTAAATATTATGTGTGTTGGACTTTCCTCGCTTCGTTATGAATTGATACCAGACGAGTTATACTTTCTATTATGATAACCCAACCTAACATAACCACCGCAGCGCGCTGACAAAATGTGGCCTCCGTTTAATACGTAAGTACCAAAAAATCAAAAGTACTTTAGGGTATACATAGTTTGATATGATACATACATGACATCTAATATCATGTGATGTATTAGATCACATCTTACACTTGTTTTTTTATGGCCATTAGTTATTTTTTAAATGGTTCTAAACAAACCTTATTATTTCTTTTCTACGGTTATGGCTGTGGGCCTCAAACCCCCCCCCCCCCCCCCTCCTCCAGATCAGTTATGTGAAACCCCCCCCCCCCCCTTGACATAATCCTGGCTACGCTACTGACTGTATGTTTTCAGTATGGTCATATGTTGTTGACAGAGTTTTCAAAGGCTACAAGCCACACTTGATGGTGGAAGATGTAAAGGATGTGGATGTTGTGAAAGTGCTCAAGTCTGTACCTCAATCCATGGACTCTATCATGCGAGTAAGGGAGATCAACTCCCGGGGACCCTGCATGCCAAAGAGCACTCTCGGGCTCCGTGAAGTACCTACTAGCAACCATTCGGTGAGTGGTGCAAAAATATTTTAAGCAGGGTTTCTTTAAGGACTCTTTCTCTTTAAAATACTAAAAATCACGTTTTTACAATGTTTTGGTATCTGAAATCTGATTCCACCTTTAGATGAGTACTTGTAATATAAAATTGAATGAATGAATTATCTCTTTATTCCAACAAAGTATTTACAGAATATGTACACAAATATTTAAAGGAAGAAAAAAACATAAGTGAATTTAAAAGAATAAAATAAAACTAACCTTTGCATTACATCTATGTTTAAGAAAGCGTACATGTTAATAAGAAATAAGCCGACATGGGCAGCGAGCCTGTGCGTTGACTGTAGTTGCGTCCAAACATAACATTATTTATGAAATGCAATAAATAAATAAATGACAGAAGATATGATGAGGTGAAAATATTATGTAAATGGAGTTACAAGAACAAATTGGGAGATGAAAACTATGTGAAAAATATTAGGTGGCATAACTAAGTTTAAATAAAAATTAGTAGGCTACACTAATATACAAATCTATCTGAAAAATACCTATAAGCCGCATATAGAAAACCTTTGTTAGTGAAGTAGTAAGTAGTAAAACATAAATAAACAATATCATCGATTTCTTATTCAAACCATGACCTGAGATCTACAAAACCTAAAAATATGTTATTTTTCATGCTATTGTGATGTGTAACAAACGTGATGATCCACTGAGATTTTGTGCCGTTTAAGGTTCAATCTATTGCAGCAGCAATAATGTAGGTATTAATTTTCTCTTTTTTAATACCATACTTTGACTCTAGTTTAACTTGCATACATGTTTTAACTACAGCAAAATGGTCAATAATAATGTTTTTGACTATTGATAGAACTATGGATAGGTCAGTGTCCAAAGTCAATGCTAATATGCATATGCTACTATTTGATACTTACTACTCAAAATGCCTTTTCCTTTCTTAATTTATTTGCTTTCAGTTTTATCCATCCCAAATTTCAAAACCCAGCAAACCTCTTCTTAATGTGTTTAGTGGACACTATTATGTAATTAATTCTGATTCAGTTACTAATAAAATCGTGTTTTTTCAGTATTTCAATGACGAAAATAAAATCAGCTCGTTGATTCCTCTGCCAACATACAACTTTGAAGGAATCGACAAGTTTAAAGCATGCTATCCGGATAGGTAAGTTGACAATTATTGGAACATTGACAATTTTGCCTCTGAACTGTTTAAATGTACATTGTTTCAATATCATATGTTTTACTTTTTATATTAAGCTGTGTTCATGTTTATGTTTGTGTAATCAAAATAAAAGTGTGAATTCCTTTCTTTAATATAATTTGTTTCTCATTAATTTAAAAGTTTATTCTTATAAGTAATCAAGAGAAAGAATGCCTTGGACAAGTACGTATCAATAGGTTATGGGCTATTCTACAAACAAGGTTTTTTTTTTTAATTACTTTTAAAGAAGCTATATAATTATTTTCTTCATTGTTTTGCAATTGTAACTGTTGACTTTTTTCTTGGAACAAGTATAAAATTGGTTAGACATTATGGCAAATTCAAATGAAAAAATATATATAGAGAAACTTTTGGGTGCAAGTAACTGGACTAAATGGAAGATGCTTATCCAGTTGTTGTTAAGACAACAAGGCTTGTTAAATTTCATAATGGGATCTGAAGTAAGACCTATTACTAACATCTCTGGATCTGAGCAAAATGCTATTGCAGATTGGGACAGAAAAGATGCTTCTGCTATGTTATACCTTATGTCATCTCTAGGCGATGAACCATCTACACTGGTTTTGACTTGCTCGACTTCTAAAGAAGTTTGGGATTGTTTAATATCTGTGTATGAACAGTCTAGTGAACAACGGCTAGATCGTTTGCTAGAAGAGTTTTTTACGTGGGATCGGGATCCTAATGAGGACATAGCTACCCATGTTGCAAAGCTTCAAAAACATTTTGCCGAATTAAATGATGCACTTGAGAAACAAAAGGAATCAAAGCTTAGTGATAGAGTTTTAATTGCAAGAATTTTATCTACTTTGGGGCCAAGCTTTCGTGAATTCAGAAATGTATGGGAAGATATGCCATCTAAGGATAGAACAATTAAAACACTAGTTGAAAAGCTTTGCACCATAGAGCAGCGTGATAACGTGGAGTTACTTAAAACTGCTTTATATGTTTCAAAACCCATGGGTACAAGGGTTAAAACAGAAAAACAAGGGCAGAGTAATCAGAATCAAAAGCAGGTAACTAAGATATTTTGTTTTAAGTGTAAACAAAAAGGGCATAAGGTTCCTGATTGTCCACTTAAAAAGAAGTCTACATCTGATAAGAAGGATGTGTCTGCAAAACATAGTTTTATGAGCGGGAATGAGTTAACTTTTGCAAATCGGGACGTTTGGATTGCGGATTGTGGTGCTACTCATCATGTAACGTGGTGTAAAGAATATTTTACAGAGTATTCACAATTTTCAGAACCACAACTTATGTCTGGCTTCAGTGATAATGCTTCTGATAAAAAGTGTTATGCCGAGGGATCTGGGATCATTGTTGTTGAAACTAAAGTTGGTAAGGAGCTAATTCAAACGACTGTAGAAAACGTTTTGTATGTACCTAATTCTAGAGCTCATCTGTTGTCAGTCAGCAAGGCAGCGAAGAAGAACCATGTGTTTTCTGCTGACAATCTTGGATGTAAATTTACCCTAAATGGTATTGTTACATTGACTGGACGTTTGCATGGGGATTTATATTTTCTTAACATGCGTGCTATTTGTCCTATACAACCCACTGTACAACTTGCATGTAAGAAAGATTCTTTACAGCTATGGCACGAACGGCTAGGTCATCAGAATCAACGCCATGTTAAACAAGTTTTGAAGATGAATGGAATTAATGTGACTGGAGACATGGGTCTGTGTAATGGATGTGTTCTTGATAAATCTCATCGTGGTCCATTTCATTCTCGTCCAACTTGTCCTGAGGTGGTTGGTGAACTGATCAGTACAGATGTCTGCGGACCTATGGAGGTCACTTCTCTTGGAGGTAACCGCTATTTTGTATTGTTTAAAGACTACTACAGTAAGTATCGCCAAGTATTTTTCATAAAGAATAAAAGTGAAGTAGCTGATTGTATGCGCATCTTTCTTGCAGAAGCAAAACAAGGTGGAAAGATCATAAAAGAAATGTTGTTTGATAACGGGTCTGAATTCCTATCAAAGGAAACTACGAGAATCATTCAGGAGTATGGTATTAAGATACGTACAACTTCTCCCTACTGTCCTGAACAGAATGGTTCTGTTGAGAGGGATAATCGAACGATTGTGGAGTCTGCTCGTTCTATGCTTCAGAGGAAAGGCTTGCCGAAGTTTCTTTGGGGTGAGGCTTGTAATACTGCAGTTTACCTCCTTAATCTTACAGGACCAAGTCCTGTAGATGGCAAATCACCACTGCAATTGTGGTCGGGTAAGAGTGTTCCAGGTCTGCAACACCTCAGAGTATTTGGAACTAACTGCTTTGTACATCAGCCGAAGCAAAAGCGGAAAAAGTGGGATGCTAAAAGCATTGACGGAATCTTTGTTGGGTATCATGGTTTGAGAGATGGATACAGAGTGTATGTACCAAGCAAACGGCAAACTGTTATTAGCCATGATGTTATATTTCAATCTGAGATATCCCAAGGAAGTACTGCTCCTGATAATGAGCCATTTTCGAGCGATGTAGTTCATTTTGACATCACTTCAAAAACAACAGAAGTGGAAACTGACAAAGCGGCACCTCCTATTGTTTTGGAGGGAGGTGAGCAGTGTGATGTATTGTCTCAAAATGAAACCACGGAAGTGGAAACTGATGAAGTGGCAACTCCTACTGTTTTGGAGGGAGGTGAGCAAGACGAGTGTGTTGTATTGTCTAAAAATGAAACCACAAAAGACGTGTTGCGACAAGGAAAACGAGTGAAAAATGTACCAAGTTGGATGAGCAGTGGAAATTTTGATCTGATGCTGGTTCAATCAGAAACACAGATGTTTCCAAGGTCTTACAAGGAAGCAATGGTGTTAGATGATGCATCTGACTGGAAGGCTGCTATGGGCGATGAAATAAAATCCATTCATGAAAATAAAACTTGGATTTTGGTGGATAAACCAGAAGGAGCTCGTGTCCTGGGAAGTTAAGTATTACTTCGTCAGAGAAAGATTCTTGGAAGGACTTGTTGATATCTACAACATATCAACTTGCCAACATCCTTACTAAACCTCTCAATCGAGTAACGTTTACACAGCTTAAAGTAAACATTGGACTTTGTGACATTTAGTTTCAAAATTGTGAAGGGAGTATTGGAACATTGACAATTTTGCCTCTGAACTGTTTAAATGTACATTGTTTCAATATCATATGTTTTACTTTTTATATTAAGCTGTGTTCATGTTTATGTTTGTGTAATCAAAATAAAAGTGTGAATTCCTTTCTTTGATATAATTTGTTTCTCATTAATTTAAAAGTTTATTCTTATAAGTAATCAAGAGAAAGAATGCCTTGGACAAGTACGTATCAATAACAATCACGTGTATACACCTTAAGATATTGTGACACGAATACTAGGGTAACATTTAGTTAAAGTAAATTCAAAACCCCTACTTGTTCTAAAGCACCACACTCCTCTAACCATAACTATTTGGCATCATATGTTTGCAGTGTCGAGCAAGCTGGCAGAAGGTTCAGCAAAGTACCCATCCCACAGAACGTCATGGCTCTTCTGCACAATGATGTCGGCTTCTTTACTTTAATGTATCAAGGAATCGAACTACAGTTTCGGTTACAAAACATCCTTCTACAGACACTACAGAATGGTAAGATAAGATAATGAAAAAGATTCAAGATGTATTAACTATAAACAGTTTATGCAATTGCATTGCAATGCTCTACATGCAATGAATAATCAATGCAATGAATAATTGCAATGAATGCAATGAATAATGAATGCAATGAATAATTGCAATGAATGCAATGAATAATGAATGCAATGAATAATGAATGCAATGTAATGATTTATGTGGATAGCTTTTGAAAAGCATAAAATAAATTAAAAGTAATTCAATACATGACATTGAGGTCTCCTCCCCAACAGCACAATGGGCTTGCTGGGAACTTGTTCCAAGTCCATTGGCCCAAGTCCCCAAGCCTGGTTTAGACTCAGGGACCAAAGTCTGTAGGCTTGGTTTTGACTTGTTTTAGAGACCGAAGTTGGCAGTTGTTCAACTTGTTATGGGTTTGGCTCCCCAAGTCCAACCCAAGTCCCAACCCCAAACCTACAGTGAACTCATGGGCACAAACCCACTCTAAGCTTGGAATGATGGATACAAAACGGGTCTGGTGGATTAAGCAGGCTCATTATGGACTTGTTCGGGACTTGGGGACCCAAGCCCAATTTTAGTAGGCTCATATTGGACTTGGCTTAGACTCATATTGGAATTGGTTTTAGCACATTTTAGACTTGGGCAAACAAGCTCACACTGATAAATTAAACAGGCTCATTATGGACTTGGAGACCCAAGCCCACTTTTAGTAGGCTCATATTGGACTTGGCCTAGACTCATATTGGAATTGGTTTTAGCACATTTTAGACTTGGGCAAACAAGCTCACACCTATAGACTCACTCAGAACTTGGTACGAAGTTTTATATACTTCAATTACTGTCATGATCAGAGATAATAATAATAATTATTATAATAGGCTATAGTAATCTATCTATCTATACTATTATAAAGAAGAGGTGGTGTCTGTGTGTGTGTGTGTGTTTGTATGAGGTAATCTCAAAAACTACTGAACCGACTGGGCTCAAATTGCACACAAATGAAGCTACAGCTCCGAGGATACATATAGAACTATTCCCGCTTCAATATTGTCCTAGGGCTCTGCCCCGTGGGCTTTCAAAAAATTGAGGTGAGAGATTTAAAAGTAAACTAGTGAACCTGTGCGGCTCAATGCCCCGCAAAAACATATGAATTTAGAAAAGGTGCTTTCATAACTGCCAACTCAAAATACACCCATAAGTAAAAAAGAATCAAGTTATTGGTTAAAAAAACTATGTTTGTGTAAAAACATTAGTCACATGAAGTAGATGATTTGTTTGATTTCTCGATCAGCTGTTTCGTTTCTAATGAATTAATAATGTCAAAGATTTGTGATTTTAAATACATCAATTATTATAGTAACATTTTCTAAATATGGTAACTTATTCTCAACTAAATTTTACTATTCCCAGCATGAAAATAAAGTAGTGAGATCCATTTTGAGTAAAGTTTAAGGCACACAATCCTTGATTGAAATGTAGTATACATTAACAGTCATAATACACAGCAATTATTATGTAGTAGACTTTGACTATTTTCAAGTAACAAACATATGTTTCTGTAAATAAAAATTATCTCCCTTGTTATCCTTATGGAGAAATACGAAACTTTAAAGGGCCCCAGGGCCTCACTCTTTAATTATTTCCTTAAAAAGAAGGTTTCCTGCACAACTTCACGTTACGCTCTTTCCAATGACACCAAAAACATGTCAATCGGTTCAGTAGTTTCGGAGGAGTAATTGTCACAAAAATCGTGCTTGCGTATTAAATAAGTACTAGAGGTCGTCCAGCGGTCGAAAACTCGACCAAAAATATGTAAATGAAATTAAATGAAAAAATTAAAATTATATGAAATGAAAAATTATGTATTTATTCAGACAAAGTTAGGGCCACATGGCCGTTTCTTACACTATGTAATGTACAGTGTAAACCCCACACTGTAAATAAAACATGTGATAGGAATTTGTTTTAATTTTCTGTTTATATTTTGTTGTTATTTCGTCACCAACATGGCAACCCATAACTCCCATGTTATTTTTTTTAAGTTTACAAATTCATTTTTTGTGCTTATTTTTGAGCCTATTTTAATTTATAAAGGGATTCTGCACATCTACAGGAAAATATCTTTCCAACAGTATGCGTAGATTTTCCCTGCGATGCACACGAGCTGAGAAAAAAGGTTTTAAAGAAACATGCTTGCCTATTAATATATAGACGAGAGGTCGTCCAGTGGTCGAAACTCGACCAAAAATATGTAATGTACTCACTTATCTATTTTCACCCCACACTGTAAATAAAACATGTGATTGGAGTTTCCTCCATTTGTTTTGATTTTCTGTTTATATTTCGTTGTTATTTCGTAACCAGCATAGCAACGCATAAGATCCATGTTAATTTTTTCAAATTTTTAAACTCATTTTTTGTGCTTATCTTTGAGCCTATTTAAATTTATAAAGGGATTCTGCACACCTACAGGAAAATAGCTTTCCAACGGTATGCGTAGATTTTCCCTACGACTCACACGAGCTGAGAAAAAAGGTTTTAAAGAAACATGCTTGCCTATTAATATATAGATAGATAGATAGAATAGATATTGATTGATGGTATCCATGGTAACAAAGAACAAACCTACAAAGTTTAAAAATATAAACAAGCAGAACTAACTGTCAAATGAATGTTAATTTCATAATTCCACACAGCTGGTTCAAACATATTAAATACTGCACGAATATTAGAACAGAGAGGGTAAGGATTATAAATTTAAAATAATGATGTCACTAGCCTGAATGTAAACATTATTTGACATTACTTAAATGGAGCTGTCAAACCATATGTTAATGTAATTTTCTTAAACCGTGTCCTCTCCCATAACTACAATAAGCATTTATACTTATATGCCAACCCCGTACGAAGGACGGGTACTCTGCTAGTAGTAATATAATTTATACCTATTTGACATATAAGCTGTTTCACACCATTCATTTGCTAGCCCACATTTTTTCTTATAATTTGTTTTTTACCAAGAAAGATTTATGATAAAATGAAGCCTATTTTATGAGTGATCTTGAAAAAATATTGGTTATATTTGAGGTTTAGAAATCAAGACATTCACATTTCAAGACAATTTATTAATATAATAAATACAATGCCCACTATCTTCCACTTCACCTTCACCTTCAACTTCTTTTCTGAACCCATCAACTCCACCGCCTGCTTCAGAAGATCTATAAAAAATACAATTGCATTAGAATTATTTGGTTTATTAAAATTTATTATTAAAATCATTTTTCATTATTTTTATTTGTTATAATTATTTGATTATTTGGAATTTGTTGGTGTTGCAAACACAGGGTGTTAACTTACCTTTGTTTTTAAAATTGTTATCGAACTTTTATTTCTTACTATTTTACTTTTATAATGATTACAGCGTGTGATGGAACTTACACATCAATAAGGCTACTGAATACAAACAACGTAATAATGGTTTAGGTTAAACACAAATTTTGGCACTGTTCTGTTGAGTTCAGCAGTAGACTATAGAGTATAGTATATTGAGTGACGTCGATTCAGTGAAGCGCTGAGTATGTCAAAGGTTAAAGCACAAAAGATTTAGGCTATAAACAAAATTTTACGGGTTCTTGATGCTATGAAATTAATTGTTTGCTTAACTTAGCTTACTTATATCATCATAGACTAACCAACACAAGTATATTTTTTTATCAATGGAGTTTAAATCTTACCTTTACAGGAATCCCTTAATTCTTCTTTGATTCGTCTTGGTATCAAAACCATAAACAAAACTCACAACTATATAGTAACGAAACGAGTAACTCACAACACCAGAACTAGATAAGTGAGAACTGACAACTGAGAGTGAGGAGGAAGTCTAAATCCAACAAAAATGGTGGTTCAGCACAAAGAAACAGGTTTTAGGAGCGTTCTGGGTAGGGGTGGAGGGAAAATTCTTTTGTCATATGGCACTGCTCACTTTAGACTCACATGAACAAGCTTGTCGTGGGTCTGGTTAGGTGTTTAAATTATGGACTTGGCCAACCAGGTTATATATGTAAATAAAACAAGTTTAGTTTTGGTGCATTCACACAAGTTCACTTAACCAAAGCTGTTTTAAATTTGTAGTGGGTTCCAAACTCCAAGTTTGTCATAGCAATTCAGAAATATGTAAAAACCAAGTTTAGTCCAAGCTCACGTGCTGTCTGGGCTGGCTGGGGGTAAAAATAAAATGGACAATTTCACTAAAGTGCAACCACAATTATTCTAAATTTAACTCCTAGGTTGCAGCACATGTCAAGTACATGCAGTTTAACTTCCAGTCGTTTCTTCCCACTAATACTGCATAGGTGGTTGAATTTGGAAGTCAGGTTATGCTAGTCTTGCACCCAATGTATGACATTTTTATCCCCATCCTGAAAATGAAATTTCGGCCCACAAACTAGTTCAAAATGAAAATGTGTTCAAATAATAACTAACCTTGGAAACATGTACTGTCAGATTGATAACTTTTTGCTTCCAGTTTTGATTTACAAAGAATTCAAAAGTACCGAAGAAGATGCTGAGCTGCTGTTGAGAAGGGTTTGTTGTCTCGAGACTTTCTTACAACAAGGGTTGCCTGCTGTGACATTGTTCTTGAGTGGGTATGTTTTGCATTACGATGAGATTAGATTTGTATGACATCACTGTGTATGTTTCTAGTAAATTGTAGATGTAGAATTAATGATACCAAGCTCACACAATGACAAGAGACATGTCATTCCCACCTTAAAGGTGTAGCCAGTTTTGGAAGTATTTGAATTAAGCCATTGATGGAGTTTCCACAATCAATTACTTATTCCTGTCAAATACAACGAATCACCAAATTTTTAACTTTGTCATTCTAAATGTATAGCTTAATATTTACAGCAGTGTCTTTTATGTCACATCATTGTTGAGTTTAAAATAAAGTGACATGTCAATGGAATTTCGACCCACTCTGGAAGAGACTCACATTCAGTCAACTATGTATTCGGTTTGATTAAAATTCCGCTACAGCTGGTCAATTTAAATGGGATGTACTTCAGTATTCAAAAGTTAATGCTAAGATCAGCTGGTTCCTTTAGCCAGGATTTTTTATTTGTCAAAAACATAGGTGACTAGATACCTTTTATTTACTTGGTGAGAACACTGTTGATCACAGTTAAAATTGTATATAGTGAAAACGAAATGACCGAGGAATAAGTTAGATGCAGTGCTCGATTTGAGGCAGAACATGGTGGATCGACGTTCCGGTACCTCTCTTTCGGAACGACAAAAATTTTGGAATAAATAGGTACTAATCACGTTAAAATAGGTTACAGTTCCGGCACCTCATTTTTAGAGTTTTAGTCAGACCATACAACAAGGAGAATAAAGATAAAAAAACTATTGCCTCCTATTTATTTTTGGCTAAAAACTTTTTATTTAACTATTAAAAAGTTCTTCTTAAGGGAGTCACAAAACACATATGAGTTTTTCAAGCTATTCCTGAGTAGGTAATCATCTAACATAATGTGATTTTTTAAAGATACCTTTTGAACTGGGATGGAGTGGATCACAGGCACAGCATAATGAATCTTATTGAATGGGCTACGTTTCATTCGTTTAAAGGTCAGTTGGATTTCATGAAACTCAAAAACAGTATCTACGATGCCTAAAAAAATACTTATCTGTAGAGCATGCATCTTAACATATAAATCTAATCTTTGTATATTGATATACAAATTATGATTGTTATTGAATTATTATTGATGTCAGCTATTTCCGGATTAGGGCTCTGAAGATGTACAACGATCTCCCCCTTATAGGTCCTAGCTGGGCGACAACAGCGATGTGACCAACTGTTGCTACTGACAGCGGCAAAATGTGTCCACAATGAGTGGCGTGACAAGGCAACCTGCCACGGGCTAAGGCAGCTGTGGTGGATGCCGCTCCGTCGCGTCACTCTTGCTGCTCAGCTAGAACACTCCAATTACTTACTATGTTTTTGTATCTTGTCGGTCGTGTCACTCTTGCCGCCCAGCTAGGACGGGGCCTTAGACAGGTTTCCAAAAACAGTCAAAGCCTGGCTTTTCGACTGACCCCTGTACTCAATCGATGAATACTTTGATGCATTGCACCAAGTATAGGCTCAACGCCATCTGACTAAAACATTGTGAATAGTGTATATAGTTTTTTTTTAGTTTTTATCCTTGACACCAGTCTATCCAGAAATTTTGGTCATCGACATCACAGGAGGAATTAAGATTTACTAACATAGCCGATGTAATGTAAATTATTACAGTGTTAAAAAAATAAATACAATGAAGTGTTTGAAGAATAAATATATACTGTTGTGCAAGTCCCAAAAATAGATTCAAAGAATAATTTATAATCTTTCTGTGAAATATCAATCTGTTTCAGAGCTTATACAGCCTTAATCTAATCATGTTTTCTTAATTGATTAACCTTTTGATTAATTGATATCACCTCCTAATTGATTGTTCACTGATACTTCTCCAATTTAATCTATTTTTTTTACAGCTTGTGCAGCCACTTGACCAATTTCATGTATTGAACTGTTTCAGAGCTTGCTTGCAACATTTTGCGTCCGCTGCACGTTCTGTTTGTTACCAACACTGTCAACATGCGAAAGAAAATCATTCAGATGTTGACTAACCTCATCAGAAACATGGTAGGCATGTTGTTAGCAAGTGTGTTCACCATTAGTAATGGATCAACATACATGAAACTTCACTTACTTTATTATGATTTATGTATTACCTATATAGCAAGATTGCAAGTTCTAAATGTCATCAAAACCTGTTTTTATAGTCCCATAAAACACAAATCCATGGTGTTTAGTATGCATTTTTGTGTTTTCAGTTTGCTGATGTCTATAGGGTTCAGCAGGGTATTCCGTTCCCTTTCCTTAAGCGAGGTCCCAAATGGACCAATGAGCCGGAGACTATGCTGCAATCGTTGGTGTCGTGGACGGAGAACCTGATCATGCTGGGACTCACTTTGGAGCGTGATTCCTCATCTCTGCTGATGGAGTCTATACAATTCTATGAAATGGTACGTAATAAGAGTTATCGCTCAAAGATACTATTTGAAATACAAATTATTCGTAATAAGACCAGTACATGCAATTAAAAAGTCATTGGTACACATAAAGTATCAGAGTAACAAGGTATTCAAAAGTGTACAAATTTGAAAAAGGTATATTCCATTCTACCTATTTTAACGTATCCATTCATTTCTGTGTCAACATTTAACTGGATTTTTTTTATGTTCATACATAAGTCCAGTGCCCAGGTACTGTAGACCAAACACTAAACAATTGTTATTTCTGTTTTCAGATCAACGTGCTAGAGGCGGCCAGTGGTTTACCATTGTTTACTGTGGTTTCAGAGGGAGTCGTACTGCAAAGCTTGCTAAGTCAAAACCCCAACACTATCATAAGCATATGTCGGCTCTTGCTCAGGTAAACAATATTGCCACTTCTATACCTTGCTGCATCATTAGTTTTGTATTATTATCATTTTTTTTTTTTTTTTTTTTTTGGAAGAATTTGAAAACCTTGTGTCACTAAAAACAGTCCATGCACTTAGCACAAATGTTGTTAGCGAATTTCCCATTTAGGGAATAAGCTACTGTAGGTTGCATGGTAAGACCTTGACCCGGGCCCAATTTACATTTTCATTTTGATGTCCCCAGTGTATTATAAATATATACACAGTTATATGAAAAACGGGTCGCCTCGCACAACTACTTCTCATGTAAAAATAACTCAAGTAGAAATCATCTGATTGTGATGAAATTCAGTACAAACGTCAAAACGTGTAAATCTACGTTTATTCCAACGAGTCTGCAAACTAGCAAGATCAGACTATGGGTATAGTAACCCTGGTTTTTTGGTGTTTTTTTTTACCCTTAAAATTTCTCCCTAAACTACCATATTTTGTAAAGCTTAAAAAAATATACTATGTTGAAGCGTTGGTGTGTGCTAAAATGGTCACACAGAAGAAGAAAAAAATTGTAATTTCAAATTCCCATTTTATTTTTATGGATAGGCCTAATTAACAGAGTACCCGTCCTTTGTACGGGATTGGCATATAAGTATAAAATGCTTATTGCAGTTATACTCAAGCTTTGAGGACACAGTTTGATCAAATTTGCTTCTTTAAATTTACAGTATTCTATAGTTACACATCTACCATAGCCATAATGTTCTACCACTTCACCTAAACAATAGGGAAAAATAAATTATTAAAAATCCGCAAAATATCACAAATCATTCATGAAATTCAAAACATAAACATAACTGTAAACAACCCTACTTTGACAGTTCTCCTCATTGCGTATCACGGTTTTTTGTTGCTGCTTAGTTCAAATTAGCTGTTTTCATAAATGCAAAAAAATAATAGTGCTGCACCCTGTTGGTAAATCTTATAACTTTTTAATACTTTTGCATATCATAGAACCAACTTTTTTAGTTGAAACAGCTGACTAAATTCTTTAATTCCTTTTAAATATGAATACTCATAAGGTTAACATGGGAACTACAGAGCCACTGGGGCGGAGCCCGAAAGGATTTTTGAGATAAGAATATGCCTATATGTTAATCGGCAATGTGAGCTATCATCATGCGAAATTTCAGCCCAATTCGTCCAGTAGTTAATGCGTGATTGAACTTCAAACAAACAAACACCCAATGGGAACATGGGAACACTGGAATGGGAAATACTGCTCCAGCTGATTGTAGTCGTAGTATCTTATTTTCAAGAGTACTCGTTTAAACAGTAATAATCAGCAAAAACGGAATAAACAAGTAGATTATTCTGCAAAATATGCCAATAAAAATTTTTCTGACAATTTTGTAACTTTCTTACTTACGCTCCAAGAATAAAACAGTTTGTATGCTCGTTCATACTTCTTTCTTGATTTTTCAGGTAACAGGTTTAATGAAACATGTTTTGCAGTTTCTGCTATTTCTTCTGGTGTACACATATATTACCAATCACTTTCACTGAGTTCATTATTTTTAAACATGTTAGGTCCACTTAAAATTATTCTTTCAAATACTACACTTTAGGTTACGTTATATTCAAACCAAGCGTTGAACAAAAGTAGAATATAAACATGAAATGACAGGTTAAAGCAGAATATCAATAGTCAATCAGCTGATCATAGTAGTAGTATCTTCAATGTTGCCAACCTATTTCCAAGCGTACACAGATTATGTGCATAATAAAACCACGCTATTTTGTGTTCTCTGGTTGGAATACTGGTGTGCGCCAAAGTATAAACCGTGCGACAAAGTAAGTAAATGCAGCTTTCTGTACTATAATCAGTGCAAGGAAGCCAACTTTGTCGGGTGACTGTAAAATAATATTTGCTAAAATATTAAACGTAGAACTTTTACTTCCACCTCAGTTGCTGGTGCATTGTCTATGAAAGAATAAGTTGAAGTTCCTTACCTTTTAAGTTTAAATGAGTCAAATAAAATCAAATTGCCTTTATTCTTTGTGTACAAGTAATGTAAATGAGTAGTGTAATGTCAAACTACACAAATGTAAATAGTAAAACTACAAGCGATTTCAGGTATCATAAAGAGTTTCTGCCAAAACTAAGAGTGGAACAGCCTCGTTTCTACAAACATTGCGAAGATAAAATTGAACTCACAGCTAACTATGCACAGAGAATTATCTACTTTCTGCAAAATGGCCAGGTATTTTCCTACTGTAACTTTATTAGTAGTATTAAGTAAAAACTTGGGACTCCTGTAAGGAATAATTCATGTGCGGTGTATCAAAACTCATTGTTGTATATTGAGCTGTTGAAGCATGTAGCTGGGTGGTTTATTGCTCACATAGTAATCAAAAAGGTTGTCGGTTTGATCCTAAGAAAAGTCAGTAGCTTTTTGTTGGTTTGAATCAAAACTGAACCCAGCTGTCAGCTGTGTTGATCATTACACAAGCAACAGTGTACAGTGGACCAGCTGTCGTTGATCATTACACAGGCAACATTCTCGTCATTCTCTTATGTTGTTGAACATTCTCCTGTAAACTCTCCCCACATTATTCCTTTTTAGGCTAGGCCTATTCTATAAATATTTAAAGTTATAGAATATGTCATATACCGGGTGTCCAGCCTAAAGTTTTCCAATAGCTAACTTTTTAATTTTAAATCTGACAAACAACTTCATATGGGGGACTTCCCTTTATTTTTTATTCTGCATTTTGGGGTGATTTCGAAATTTTTCTAAATGGCCGCCATTTTCCAATATGGCGGACAACTTTGGTTTTTCTTATGGAACACCCTGTATTTTATGGTGTTTTTGGATACTACAGGTTATTTTAAGACATTTTTGTTCTTAGGTATTTTTTCATAAAACCAATGGTTAAGGAGATATGAACGGTTAAAGTTTATTTTCCGCCATAAGAAATGCCTTAAGTTTTCCAAGAAGAGTTTGCTATTGGAAAACTTAAGGCATTTCTTATGGCGGAAAATAAACTTTAACCGTTCATATCTCCTTAACCATTGGTTTTATGAAAAAATACCTAAGAACAAAAATGTCTTAAAATAACCTGTAGTATCCAAAAACACCATAAAATACAGGGTGTTCCATAAGAAAAACCAAAGTTGTCCGCCATATTGGAAAATGGCGGCCATTTAGAAAAATTTCGAAATCACCCCAAAATGCAGAATAAAAAATAAAGGGAAGTCCCCCATATGAAGTTGTTTGTCAGATTTAAAATTAAAAAGTTAGCTATTGGAAAACTTTAGGCTGGACACCCGGTATAATGTTTAAAGTTATATACAAAAGATATACGAATTACAAAAGGTGTTTTATTGAAACAAATGAACACACATGCAACGAAACTTAAAAGGCTATGTTACCTTATAATGAAAGGACTGACAATGGAGTGTGGGCTGAAGTTATAATAAAATAGAAGATTAATTTTAAATAAAGGTTCAAATTTACAATAGTATAATTTACATGGGCTATATCTCAGGATAGGGTGTCGTGCTGGCTTGAATGCAAAGCATTTATTAATTAAATATTGTCCAAATAATTAATGTGTTTTACTTACAACATCCCAACAATGCCAACGATGTGTTTCCCTGACCACGGCAGACGATGATGATGTCTACACGGCCGCGGGAAATATTCATGAATTTGCTGCGATCGAGGACGACCACGATGACGTTTCCGTGACCGCGGGAGTCAATGATGATGTCTACATGGCCGCGGAAGATGTTTATGATTTTGCCGCAATCGCGGACGACGGCGATGACAATTCTGTGACCGCGAAAGATGACGATGATAATGTCTACACTGCCGCGAAGGATGTTTATGATTTTGCTGCGATTGCAGACTACGACGATGACGTTTCCGTGACCGCGGGTATCAATGATGATGTGTACACGACCGCGAAGGATGCTCATGATTTTGCCGCATTCGTGGACTACGACGATGACGTTTCCGAGACCGCGGGTGTCAATGATGATGTCTACACGGCCGTAGATTTTCGTGATTTACCGCGATCGCGGATGACAATAATGGACGTTCAGTGGCCACGGGAGACGACAATAATGTCTAAATACCGCACGTGATGTCTAGGATTTCGCCACGATTATAGATGACTGTGATGACGTTTACTTAACCCTTGGAGGGGACCGCTGGAGATATACAGGATTTTGCTACCAATGATAATGTGTTCATGAACAATGAAGATTAGTCATTTGTCTTTCTTGTTTATTGTTTTTATGTTTAGATTTCGAATGAGACCATTGTGTTTTTACTAGTATTGTTTATATCTATCTGATCGGTCTGTGTATACATTAAATTTGTAAGTAAAGGAACCTCAACCACAAGCTTTGCCTAATGAGGCCCTAATTATTTTCTCAGATTCAAAAATTCAAAGGTCACTTTTAATGTACCGGTACATACATTATGGTTTTTTTGTGCTTCAGATCACTTAGTGTAACTTGTCTTTTGTCAGCCTGGTGAGAACAACGGACTTTTTATTTCATTTCATTGATGATAATGAAAATTATAGTTTAAGCATTGTCAATTAAACAATCTTAAAAGAAAAATAAATAATTTCATTGATCACGATTTTAGTTAGTAGCTCTATCCATGCTTCCCAAATCCTTGAGAAAATGTAACACACTCACACTCTGGGATTATTGTAAGACTGGATTTAAAAGACTCTTTTACTTACAGGTGGTGCTTCCAAGAAAACAGAATGGTGCGGTAGTTAGAGATGTTGTAGACATGAATTTATCAGAAGGAGTTGAATCTCTATGTCTCACATCTCACCTGTGTTTTCTCACAACCTACGTATCGTTCGAGACTAAGAAAAACTTTTTGAGCCTCTCACATCCAGGAGATAGAAAAGTAAGTCTGGTGACGTAAGAGCTTGTTTTGTGACATTACTACTTTAAGGTAACGTTTGAGGGAAAGCCAAGGGGCTGACAGAGGAGTATCTTTTAAGAGGGATAAGGTATATAATAGCTCCTCTTGTATATACACAATACAGTTTTACGTGTTCACAAAACAGTACCTGGGGGCCAAGCCATGGTTTGGTACTACAACTATCCGCAGTACTATCCTGATAATTAGACCAACTCGTAAAATACAAGGCAACAATTTCTTGCCAAATTTAATGTGGGTTCGGATTCCATTAGAAATTGTAGGTCCCTTAGTTGCCATTGGCTGTATGGGCTATTAATTAACTGTCCTGTCTAAGATACATGTCGGCCTTAGTCAGTAACAAAACAAGACTACAAGGTCATCCTACACTAATATCCATCCATACAATACCTACCTTTGTATGGTTGCCATTAAAAGTATTAAAGTATCATAGTTTATTTCCATTGTACCCCAATATCGAGTAATCTTCAGTGTAATTTTTGCTCAATAGTTACAACTGATGTTTTCCCCCTGTACTACCAATGTTAAAAATCTTTGACTTTCAATTTCATTTTTTACAGAAATTGTAGTAAACACGTTTTAGGCCAAAAATAAACTATTTACAACATTTGAAGGAAATTGTTGAAGCCGTTTACGAGATCTTTGTGCAAGTATACATAAAAGCATACATACAAGCAAACATTGCTCATATAAGAGTATAGGATATTTATTTGTCATTAATTTTCTTCTTGAAGATATCTTCCTTCAGAAAATAGCAGTGTTATGTTACATGATCTGCATTGTGCATATTTAAGCCCCTTGACCATAATTATCTCAGATTTTGCCACATAAATTCTTTTCTTGTTACTTTTACTTTTTCAAGTAGGGTTAATTAATACTTTTATCATTGTTGTGAATGCATTGTTGTAAAAAAAATCTAACTGACAGATGCAACTGAATATTTAACATTTATTAAATTGTTTTTGTTATAGAAATCTTTAGAATTGGCATCGCTCCACCTGAGAGAAATCAAAGAATTTATCAATTTCTTCTTTCCAAGTAGTAAGTATGTTTTAACTCACAATTAAAATATGATTTCAACTACAAACTATGTTTGAAAAGTTAGTTCATCACAGCCTTTCTAAATTTGGTGACATTTTACATAGATTGTTTCTAATCAGCTGTTGTTCTTGTGAGTGGTTTGTAGTGTATTATGGCTATGGGTTATTATTGCAATATCAGGATAGCAGTCAATCTACACATGTGTTTCTATAGTTGAAGTTCGCTAATCCATTGTGCATATCTTTATTTATATGTTATAGGTAATTTAATTTTTTTTTTGCTGGTTTGATTCTTAGTTTAAACATTGACTAATGGATACCATCCTGAAGTTATATCAATAGTCAAATGATAGTATAGGACCGATGTTATGACAGCTGGTCTTTAAAATGAGAATATCCATCGGTAGCCTACGTATTAGGGTACACTTTGGTAATGGTAAGTTTTATTTCAGGAGTTATCGCAAAAATTTCCATCATATTAGTGAATTACTATTTTTTCATTCTAGGATCTAACCTCTTCCTCAATTGAAAAAAAAAAAAAAAAAAAAAAAAAAACAGTTAGTGCACAAACCCAAAGTCTTTCCAGTGGATGCCATTTCCATTTTGTGTTTGGCTACCCTCTAGGCTATTTTTACTAATTGTTTCCTTTCATTTTGATTCTTGTTTTGACTTCTATACAGTTCTCTGTGTGGTTTTTATTTAGTCATTTCACAGCTTTAGCTGAGTACTAATTTTGCTATGTTGTAGTTGTAGGGAATTCTTACTTACAAAATGTGGTATAAGCGGTGATTGATTTTGATTGGGCCCTAATTATCATTGTTATAGGGACTTTCTTACCTGAAGACAGGATCAGATTCCAGAGGTAGGAAAATATTTTTTTACTTTAAGTAATGTTTTATATTTCTTAGTTCCAGAAGCCAGAGATTGAAGACAAGTGTACCTCATAGAAGACAAAGTTTTGTGAAAAATTAGAAGACTGAGGGAAATTTATACAAGGGTCTTTGAAACTTAGGCCAGCTCTACAAGTATGCCAAACTGTTATTTTTATAATTTTATAACTCACACTCACAGTGGGCTTATTGTACATTCCCAAACTTGGAAATAGGGTTATCAAAGTCAAATGTGGGTTTCTGTATATTCTTATCCAAAAATGCATATTATTTATTTTGTATATACGATATTTCCATTTTGTTTCTTACTCTATGTATAACTTTTATCGTAAGATTATTTTGTCCAATTCAATATACCAATCTCTCATGTAATTAGGATTCTTTTTTAAGCTCAAACTAATTTTTATGTTGATTAAAAAATTTATCTTTTCTCAATTGTTTATCTAAAACACCCAATCTCCATGTCTTTCAAAACGCTACAACACTTGGAACTAGGATTGATCATTGTGTTTATTGTTTTAGACTTTTAAAGTCTGATCAAAGGCTGGGTGATCTAAAGGTTGTCTCTGTTTTCTCGCTGATATGTTGGTTAAGGAGTCTCTGTCAGTGTTGACTTGCATTTGTTGTTTGTAAAGATTGAGCCCTACTGTCCACTCATCTTTGTGTAGATTAATGATTTTTATTAATTTCATTTTGCCACGATCTTTAAAATTGTTTAAATAACAACAGACAAATAGTAAACAAACAAAAATGTGAACCGGACATAACTAACATTTAGATTGTCTTGCAAATACATAAGGATAATGAATCTATAAGGACTAAGGAGTATGTTTAATATAGTTTAAGTTGCTGCCATGAAAGTTGAAACAATATTACGTCACGAAAGACAATTTTTGAGACCTGAACAATATCTAGATAAAGCAGCTCTTCATATAATATCATTCCTGGTTTTGCTGTGATTACCAATACTGTAATGCAATGTACAGCATTGCTTTACGGATGCAAGTTCTAGGGTAAGGATGTTAGGATTGAAAGGTTTTAAGTAAACATTTGAGTAAGCAAAGAAGAGTTTTCACAGGGAATCGGCCTGGCAAATAAGTCCCAGACTTCAGCCAGAGGTGGTGGTGGGAAGAGGGGGTTTCCTAGAAAGAAAAAAGATTTATCATGGGACCTGACAAATAAGTCCCACACTTCAGCCAAAGGTGTTGGTGGGAACGAAAGGGTTTGGTTTATCATTTAGGTTATCATCGATTAGTCAAAAGAGAATCTTTTACTGACTTTCTCAAAAGAAACTGCAAAAACGGCAGGTAAACTGCGAACTCAATTAGGCCTTTTACCATCACCAGCTTTAGCAACAAAACCAAGAAACGAGAAAACACCAAATAAAAAAATCAATACAAATCCTTCTTCTCCTTTGCCTAAATTGCGCACGATTTTGTGCGCCAGGTTCTCTAGTTTTAGGGTTAATTTAATGATTTTGTGCTGTACTGTTAAGCATTTACTAATCCTACTTAATAATAAAATGTTTACTATAAAATTAGAACAGAATGAAGATAATTAATCATTCTCACTAATTTATATATCTGGCCAGGGGGTAAAATCCGGGGGTAAAAATCCGGGGGGTAAAATTCCGGGGGGTAAAAATCCGGGTCGTACACTCTAGGTTTTTATAATTTGATGTGTTCTGATTAAATTCACAACCGTGAAAATATATGTTTAATACAGCGTTTAATCTATCGAGCTGATGTCGCGAAGTTTCGCAGCCGGAATTTTACCCCCTGGTTTGTGAGTCACGTTTGCCCAGGGGGTAAAATTCCAGGGGGATAAAAATCCACTACCCCAAAAATGGCAACCTATAATCACAAAAAAATCAAAAAAGTTAATTTTTTGGTCGAACGGTGAGTATAGGTCACCGGGCGCCATGGCAAACTAAACTCGCGGGAAAATGGGGAAAAATTTCGACCTCAAAGGAAGTAATTATAATCATGGCACGTACAGGCCGTGGCCTTCGAAGTGGCAATGCAATTAAGTAGAGTTCTAACAGCTGTTTTAATTGTTTTGAAGCAGCTAATGACATTGTCTGTGTATTTTTTTAAGAATATGAAAGCTTGGTTACTGGGCTATTAAAAAAACATTGACTCCACTTTAAATACAGAAATAAATTTTAAATTTATATTGTTTTGGTTTTCAATTCTATATGGTTAATTTTAATCTTTTGATTATGTTCATAAATTTAAATGAGTAATACGCGAACTAATGAGCTATGGTGTCACCTGTCTGTCATGTTATCTTATGGGACGTATGACACTAAACAACACTACTTGCTACGTTGACAATTCTACCAGGCCGCGGCCTGGGGCCTATTTCATAATAAACTGCAAGTTACAACTTAGTCTAGTCAATATATGACAAAAACCCCCTTAACCTTAAAAAAATTGCTCTAAAAGGTTTTTTGATGGTTTTCATTTCCAAAAAGTATGTTAAATTACATACTAAAAGTCTAATAAAATCGGAGTCTCGGAAATTGGGTTTTTCCAATATGGCGCCCAAAAATTAAAAAAAAAAAATAATAAACCTTACTATTTTCCCTGTAAATTTTTTTCTGAACCTCCAATTTAGACCGAATTTGGTACAAACCTTTGAAACTGTATTATCTATAAACTGTTCATGATTTAAGATACATAATATATACAGTAAACGTGTTGTATGGGGTTGAAAATAGGTAAAAATATGTCTTAAGTTGTTAGTAGTAAATAACTTATTTCAATATTGGTCACTATAGGGGACAAAACTTTTTATCTCTAGTCTGTGTTATACCCATGTTGTAAATCCTTAAAAAATATATGCAATTTAGTATTTTTAATCATTAAATTATTTTAAGTGGTGGTGGGATAATTATAAAAAAACGATGTAATTCTTATGGAAATTCTGAAAATGACCATACCGTATCTTAATTGTTAATTGGTACGCTTGGATAACAATTCATCGTGGCCTGTATCGTCTCCACAGATACAAACACACACATATTTGTCATAAGCGAATTCTGTGTTGAGTCAAGTAATAGAATTTGTTTCAATACTTTTTTTTACGCTCATTCAGTTCTTTTATTTTGTAATAGTTCACAAGTAGTTTATAAAAAAAAATATATGTATAATGTTTACAGGTTTATTTTGGCAATACTGCTGTTAATCAGATGTTTTTTTTGACTTCATATGATTCCAATCGTATTGTTGTTAATGTTTACAGTTATTTAGATCAAATTTAGTATAGTCAAGATATGAAATAAAACCCCTTAACCCTTAACCTTAAAAAAATTGCTTTAAAAGATTTTTTGATGGTTTTCATTTCCAATAAGTATGTGGAATAATGGTATTAAAAGTCTAATAAAATCGGAGTCTCGAAAATAGGGTTTTTTTTCAATATGGCCAAAATTTCCAAATTTCACTAAAATATTTCCATAGACAAGCAAGCTTTAACACTTTATTTATTCTCCATAAGAATAACATGGTCATTTTAAATGTACACTTTTTTATTTTCTCCGTAACCGTTTGGCATACAACAACGCTTCTGTATACTAAATTATTTGTTTTTATGATCTCTTCAAAATGGTTTGGAAATAAATTGCAACTTTTTACAGTGAAAAATGGGAAAATCCCATTTTACCCCGTAAAAATAGGAGATCTTAAGATACTCAATTTTTGGGCTTAACCTAGACACAAATCTTAAATATACACAAAACATAATACAAAAACTTTCTTCAGGGTTATATGTTTTTAGGCCAGTGTCACTAAATGTAACCTGGACATTCAAAAATAAAAATATTTTGTCTTATGGTCTGGCAATATATGAAGGAACGCCCAAAAAATTTAGATACAGTTCTGAAACTCTAAAAATGCTATAAGAATCATGCTATACTTAGACAAACAATGACTGTAAAAAAAATCAATTTTCAATACTACACATTTTGACTGTCTGGTCAATAAATATGTACTATAACTAGTGGCCTGTAGGGGCCATAGCCCCTAATTTAGACTATAATAAAAAACCATATATAAAAAGACAAATATTCGAAATATGTTTTTAAAATTATCAATTTTATGTTACTTAAAATTAACAGTGTTTCTTTTTTATATCTTGGTTTTCCTTCCGTTGGAGTCGTATATTAGTTGCTTCTAATGAGTCAATGAAATACAATTGTAAAATAATGATTAAATCAATAACACAACATAACAAATAGAAAAGTGCACACGGTTTGGCCTGAGCCCGGAGACCGACGAATCAGAGCTGAAATCATACTGCCAAACATTGCACTTCTTTTCTAGTTTAAAATTGAAGATTTGTTTTGTAATCTTACGAATTCTGTTATAGTTTCCATTTTGAGAACCAAATGTATGTAAAGGTTAAAATTATTATTAATTATTATGAAGGCAACTCCCCATTTCGCGGTAGTAAGTCAGAAATATATCTATGAATTTGTCCCTGAATTTTAAAACAAAATTTGGAAATTAGAAAAAATGTCCATCCATATGAAACTAGAAATAAAATTTATATAAATTTATCAATCTCAGCTTCTATGAAAAAACTAAAAAAAGGAAACCTTCATGGGATCAAAATTTTTAAATTATTTTCCTACCAAATTAAAAAGTAAAATAAACCAAAATTATTTCACAAATCTAGTGAATAAACTGCTAAAAAAAAGAAAAGAACTATTATTCATTTGAAGAGTTTTTTTTTTTTCAATTAATGTAAAGAAAATAATGTTGAGATGCTCTGCTGAAAAAAACCAATAAAAACGACTCGATGACCCAAAGTTCACTGCAACTACTCTACTGGCTGCAAGAATTTGCAATGCTCCTGCAACAAAGTATGGGTTACCTTGTACTACAGCTTGGAGAACAATGTGACAGTTCGTAAAGTGATCATAACAGTGTACAACTTGATGAAAATTTTGAATTATTATTTGTATAATGCTCTACTACCAACCACAAGAAAGTGTGACTATATTATACAAGCCTATCTCAAAAAATCCTTTCGGGCTAAAGATTTATAGATATTTATTTAAGTAAATAAAATATGTATGTTGAATTTTAGCAAGCTTGTGATCTTTATTTTAAGACCTATTATTGGATTTTTCAAGCAAAAAATAGTCATAAATTAAAATACCCCCTCCGCAGCAAACGTGCACCCTAAGCGAATTTCAAATTGCCTGATTGAATTTACACTAAAATTTCACATTAAAAATATCACATTTATTCCCTTTTTAAATAGCACTACTTTAACAAGTACTTCGGTTTGCTGCGACAGGGAGGGTAAAAAAGTGTTTTTAGTAAAATTTTAAATATTTTAGTATAAAACAAATGCATTTTCCAAATTTGATAAAAATATATTCATATGCAGGCTAACTACAACAAGTTTTCTTATTCTCCGTAAGAATATTATAGGCATTTTAAATTTTAATTTTTTTCGAATTTTCTCCGTAACTAGGTATTAGACCCATCACAACGCTTCAATGTACTAAATTGTTTTTTTCTGAGTCCTAAAATGGTTTAGAAATAAATTGCAAAATTTTACGTTTTTAGGGTCAAAAATGGGGAAAACCAATTTTTACCCCATAAAACCCCCCATAAACAACTGTTCCCATGGTCCGATCATGCTGGTTCACGAACTCGTTCAGAAAAATGTAGGTTTACATGTTTGTGCCAAATTTCATCGAATTCGGATCATTTTTGCTTGAGTTATTGTGCTAACGGACACATTTGACCAAAATCTTGGACGCCATCTTGAATTTTGGACTTCCGAGACTCCGATTTCATTAGACTTTTTTTCCTGGAAAATACACATAATTCTAAGTCAAAATAACCAATAAAACAATTTAAAGCAATTTTTTTAGGGTTATCGTATGGATTTACTCGACTAACTTGTAACTTGTAATTTCCATTAGATTTGCATTGGGCGATCAGCTGATTTACTAATAATATTAGTTTGTACTTTATTATGAAATGAGCCCCAGGAGTAAAAGGTGGCCGTGCCTGGTAGAATTGGGAACGTCGCAAGTAGTAGTGTTATTGTTTAGTGTCATACGTCCCATAAGATAACACGACAGACAGGTGACACCATAGCTCATTAGTGCGCGTATTACTCATTTAAATTTATGAACATAATCAAAAGATTAAAATTAAACATATACAACAGTCGCGTCGCAAGTAGGGTAGTTAAGTGTCAGAAGTCCCATAAGATAACATGGCAGACAGGTGACATATCATCTCATTAATTCGCATTTTATTAATTTAAATTTATGAACATCAATTTATTAAAATATTGAAAATAAATCATACGGAATTGAAAACCAAAACAATATGAATTGAAAATCTATATCTGTAAATTGAAATCGGAGTCAATATTTTCATAGTCCAATAACAGAGGCTTATGTAAACACACAAATGCCATTAGCTGCTTCCAAACAAAACAGCTGTTACAATCCTACTACTACGACGTTTCCACTTCGAAGGGCCCGGACTGGGGCCTGTTTCATAATAAACTACAAGTTGTAATTTCCATTAGATTTGCATTGGGCATAATCAGCTGATTTACTAATAATATTAGTTTGTAGCATGGTGGAAGGGAAAACCATTGTAGATTATTATGAAATAGGCCCCTGGGGCCCATTTCATAATAAAGTAGGCCTACAAACTAATATTATTAGTAAATCAGCTGATCGCCCAATGCAAATCTAATGGAAATTACAAGTTACAACTTGTAACTTGTAGTTTATTATGAAATGGGCCCCTGGAGGTGAAGTCAAAGTCCTTTATTCAGCCAGATTAACAATACATTGCTTGGCCAAGTCAAGAGATTACATTTATTATGAAATTAATTAACTATTAAATACATTATATACAAATTGTTTTCTTTTATGTTTAATAAGGTTAAAGACTACCAGCAAATTCCCGGACGCTGTAGCAGACCTTATTTATCAACATGGACTTAACTAGTATCCTGAATTTTCCGATGTCCTGTTCGGCTTTCAAAGGGAGAGGGAGGTCATTAAAAAGTTTTACTGCATTGAAGTATTGACTTTATATCTCTATACGTGTAGAGATATAAAGTCAATGATTGAAGTGAAATTTTTTCTGAAAGAAAGTGGTTGAGTGTCGTGGTACTGAAAGATTGAAATTGTTGCGGAGACGATAACTATAGATACTTGGAGAGCTATATGATGATTGGTTTTTCTTGATATATGATAATGTTAATGTGTGACTTTTAGTTTTCTCACAAGTTCATGGGGGTTTTAGGATTTATATGGATTTCTAAAATGAAAACAATATTTTTTCTCTAATCTAGTAAAATCACAGCTTCATGGGAAAAATCATAGCCACCAAGCTTCAATACTTCAATATGAAAAATAAGCATTGGGTGATTGGGTGGGATTGGATTGCGGTCTGTTACTTTACTTCTGTCTGTTGTTTGTGTTTTCGTTTTGTTATTTCATTTCAGGTAAACAAAACAAATGTATGATACGATTTCGTTTATCGACAGCGTATATTTCATCCAACTGATGTAGTCTGATTCAATAATAATTTAATTTTCTTACTTAATTGATGTTTTTATAATCAAGATTAGTAAAGTAAGATTAGTTTTACATTGTGTGCGTTATTTTGAGGTTAGGTCATGCTAGCTTGAGTGAGACAGAGCTGCAAGCTGCAACTAACGTTACGGGTTACACAGTATTGGAAGTTTCTTGGCATTGGCAATTTTCAATTTCAAAGGTGAAAAACCATGTAAAGTTAACTTAGGCTTATTTGTAACAAGTAAGTTAAGTTAAACCACGGTTGAAATGGACCAAAGAGAAATATCTGTATAACGTGAAATTTACTTTTACACTAAACTTACATTAAATTGCTGCACAAACATAAAATATGGCATGCTCGGGAAACTTACCGTAAATTACGGCACGGCGTACCTATAAATTATGTCAGCAGTAAGTTACTGTAACTTAAGTTAGTAGACTTGTGTGAACCTGGCATTCTTTAAGTTAGTAGCCTAACTTAAGTAGGCTAAGTAAACTAGGATTTTTTTTCATAGCAATGAAAGCCAAGTTGAGCGGAGCAATCATGTAAAACAATAAATTAAAATTGTTTATAGATATATTACAAAATACAAATGTTCCCACACTCTGCACTGCTAGCCTTTACTACTTCCTTCACCACTTCCTACGTCGTGTAGCGGACCTGTTTCCCTTCCTTCCCATAGCATTAGTATTGCAGATACATTAATGTAACTGGCACAAACGGTTCCCACACTCCACACTGCCAGTCTTTACTACTTCCTTCACCGGGGAGCGAGCTGGTCTAGTGGTTAGAGCGCGGGACTCCAAATCACCAATGGATTTTTATCTAAGTGATAATGCTGTAACCCCTAGGTCTAGCCTGAAGTAATGTGAAAAACAATTCCAGGCTCGTGCCTAGCGTCCTAGGACAAAAAAATACTACTTACTTTACCACTTTCTACGTGGAACTGTTTCCCCCCTTCCCATAACATTTTTGTGTTGCAGATAGGTTAATGTAACGGCGACAAACGGTTCCCACACTCCGCACTGCCAGCCTTTACTACTTCCTTCACCACCTCCAATGTTGTGGACCTGTTTCCCTCCCTTCCCATAGCATTTTAGGATTGCAGATGGATTAATATTACGGCTGCACTTTACTTTAGGTCCTACACTCATTCGAATGAAAATATCGTTTGTTCGATTGTTTCATTCGATATATCGTTTGGTTAGTTAGGTTAGGTTAACCTTACCTATCTAACCAAACGATATATCGAATGAAACAATCGATTAATCGATATATCGATCGATATTTTTATTCGAATGAGTGTAGGACCTAAAGTAAAGTGCAGCCAATATTACTGCCACAGACGGTGTGATATGCAGAATTCGATATGCGATTTCTTCGTAATCGTTCTCAACCTCGTGCTCGCACTCGTCCTTGCTCTGGTTTTCGTAAACAACTTCCCTATTTAAATTTTCATTTGATAGCTGTTCTTGAATAAAACTAACTCTCCTATTCCACTTACTTATATCCTCATAAAATGATACACCTTCTTGCTTATGCTTATCATCTAATTTCATTAACCTAAGACTAGATCGTAAAAACTCTAAGTCAGCTCCCTTAGGTATAGGTAATTCTAATTTATGAAACAATTCTTTCGCTTGCTCCTTGTTTAAATTTTTTATGTCAGTTAAACTTAGACCACATCCATTCTCTTCGTAAAATAAACAATTCATTTTCTATTGTAACTGTAACTCTAAACTTCTAAAGTAGGTTAAGAGAATGCTTTGATCGAATATATTGCCTCACTGTATACCTTACTAGACACAATTAGACTGGATTGCTTAATCCCTACTGAACAAAGTACAACAGAATCTATGTAGCAATACTGCTAACTATGCCGAGCTAGCACAAACCTAGCACGTCCTAACAGCAACCCAACTCGCTTTGTATCGCAAACAAAAATTGATTTACAAACAAAAAATTTGAGAGCCAATTTAAATGAGGTACCAGAATCGAAAATTTTGTACAAGTTTACAAAATTCCGGCGCCTACATCACTTGTGATATGCAGAAAACCCCCTCGCTCTTCATAGGCTATTCTGCATACGCACATGGGAGCGTAGCTTTATAGCAAACCCGAATCTTTAAACTTATTCTACTTTATGCCATGAGCTGGGTAGCTGTTCAATAAGAGAATCAGATCGTGTTCATCAAATAGGATTTTTAATTGTCTTAAGTAATCAAGTTTAATACAGTGACAGTTACTCTCAGGTATAGCCTACTAACAAATGCCTGGTAGGAACCGCTCTGGAGGTAGCTTGAATCTTAGATTTATAATACCCAAAAACGAAGTGAAACTATTCCCTTGTAATCTAATCAAATCAAAGTATAAATCCCCAAAATAATTCCTTCAAAACAAAACACAAAACCCCAACTAACTTACAGTCCCCTTAAATCAAAACTTCCCGTACAAAACTCCCGACTACAGGGCCTAACCCCAAGATAGAGAAACCAGTACTCACCCAACTCTCCTGGGCACCTTGCCCCGGGCAACTGACCCCTTTCTCTACCTCAGGTGGCCTATTTATTGATCTGACAGCTACTGAGTGCAAAGCCCTCAGTGTTTACCAAAACACCTCCAGCACGCTTCCTAGTTGGCAAGGTCACTATCTACAATTCAACCTCTACAACCTCTAGTTTACAAATATCTACAAATATAAAACCTACATCTCCCTTACAACGGTTCCCACACTCCGGACTGTTTGTCTTTACTTACTTACTTCCTTCACCAATTCCTACGTCTTGGACCTGTTTCCCTCCCTTCCCATAACATTTTAGGCCTAGGCCTATATTGCAGATACATTATTTAACTGCCACAAATGTTTCCCACACTCCGCATCACCAGCCTTTACTACTTCCTTCACCACTTCCTACGTTGTGGACCTGTTTAAGTTTGCCATTTATGAGTTGGATCCATGAATATGTAATTCACCGACGAATTGTTTAAGATAAAATATTATTTGTTATAACCTTATTTAGCAACGTAAATCAAATCTGTTAATGTACCTGAAAGTATGTTTTATCTATGACTGTACATATTCGATCAGTGGTCGTTTCCAAATTGCGACTTAAATGTAGGCCTTAAATCAAAGACTTTCTCTGTGGTATTTGATCAGTAGTTGTCATCATCTGAATTTTTTTCTTTTGTACTGTGTTTAGTTCGTGGTTTGATTTTAACATATGGTATGATTCTTTGTTTTGTTTACATTTACGTCGTTATTTTGTAACCATCATGGCAACCCATAAGACCAATGTTAAAATTTTAAAACTTTGAGTTTGGTACTTTAAAATTATATAGGCATTATCAAAAATTGAAATTGGTTATGTCCAAACCATCCAAACATTTGACTAAACAACCTTGGTAAGTTTGGCTAAAATATGTTCAGCCCGTTATTGAGATTAAGTGTTATAACAATTGCATTGAAGTTGATCCCAAAGAGCTTCGCTTCGCTCCGCTAAAAAAGTTAGTAGATTTCTCAGTCTATAATATAACATTTGGGCTACAATAACTGTAATTTAAATAGTGATATTCTTTAATGGTAGCTGAGTGAGCTTGATAAAGTGTTTTTCTGTTTTAGAATGGCTTCTGTAGAAATCGCAGATTCTACCAATAATGAGGATGAGGTAAGCTTAAATCAAAGACTCAAATATAGGCTATCTGTATTGTCTAAAAACTAATTATAATAAACCTATAAGCTTATATGCCATAACTTATTACTAAAAACAATAACAAAGATACAAAAGATACAGGCTACAATATTTTACTAGCACAGTATTTTATAAAAATGCTAGCTTAGGCCTAAGTTAGTTGAGAAATGACAATGACATGAAAATTACCAAAAGGGACAAAAAAATATAAAATACGGATGTAAAAATCAGTAAATATATTTAACCCTCCATTATATATATAGCTATGTTATATAACATAGCTTCTCTGAAACCTTTCCAACCTTTGTTATTATTATTAAGTTTACATGTATTTTTATTAATTATTTTATCCATGCAATAGCAAGTAAGGTGTCTGTTTCACTGGAAGTTTATGTTTATATTTTATTCTGCAATATTTTTGGAAATAAAGTATATTTTGATTTGATTTGACACTCGCTGCTAATAGTTACAACAGTACACACGCGCGGACTGACAGTCCGCATATACTTCTTACTGGAAACACTCTTTTATATTGGTAGGCCTACCTAATAAACTTCATATAGCATCAAAATTTCAAATACCCCTAATCCAAATATAGGTTAATGGATATAGATGAATTTCAAAACAATAAAAAATATTTCAAATTGAATATGTCGTGTTGAAAACAAATCATTCAATCACTGGCCTGTTCTTCATCCTCTTGAAACATGACGCGCCTAACTTTACACCCTCGTAGCTCAGGGCCAACTGACGATAAGACGGTTACAACACCTCCATTGGTCTTGTAAAGGTAGTGGGAGAAGGTATATGGGGCGTCATGTCATTCACTTGCAAATTCACTTTTTTCGGCACGCTTTTTAAAATTTGCGGATTCTTAGTCCGCGGCGCGTGTACTGGAGGGTTTTAAGTGATTCTGAGAGAGCCAATATGTTATTAAGTTAAACCAACATCTTTGAGTTGCAATATAGTCTAGGTCTGCCTCTAAAATTAACTGTCTTCCAACTATAGTTAGGCCTAATGAGTTAATATGAAAAATATTCTATTTGAATGATATTTAAGTACTTATAGTATGACTCAAACTAAAATAGGCTACTTAAAGTAGCTGAAACACTTATATTTTTCCTGTACAGCATAGGTCATAGTAGTTAGAATTCCTGAAATTGGTAGCCTACCTATTGCAAATAAACACACTATTCAAGAAACCAGATATTTCTAAAAGCTTAATTAAATTTATAGAAATATTTTTTATTTGCCAGTATTTACGTTTTGTAGCACTCCGTTTGAGCATTTAGCAAAATGTTTAAAATGGTGCATTTCACAATAGGTTATACAATTATGTAATTTATCCTGTAGGCTAATAGATTTGTGTTGGGCACATAGCCTGTTTGGAAGAAGAGAAGAGAAGTATTAGAGTGTGGCTGTCTGTATAAATTTTCTACTTTTATTCCATTTTTTTATAATAATAATTTAAGTAACAGCTAGAGTAAGGCTCAGAAAGTCTGATGTAACCTAATGTCCATTCTTTTCAGGCTCAAGAAAATGTTGTCGAATTAGAAGAAGATTGGTAAGTTCTACATTAGTGAAGATTCGTTGTGATTATCGTTGGCTAAATGTCCAGTAATTTACACTTGAATTTATACAGTGGGAACAGTACAACGGCGCTGAAGGGCCACCAACTGATAAAAAAAATAAATATTTTTCTTCATCTCTGAGAAAAAACTTAGAATTCTAAGATTAAAGTCAGAGCACGGGAAGTAGGCTTCCTCTCTGAGAAAAAAGTCAGAATTCCGAGTTTAAAATCAGAATTATAACTAGAACTAGTGGGCGTTCCCCTCTGAGATTTAAGTCAGATTTTAACTCTTTGCTCTCTCGCTACCCGTCCCTTTAGCGCTAGGCTGGTCTCTAGAGTTTGAGTTGAGTATTGACTGAGTGAGTGAGTAGAGTAAGTTAGTCTCTTCAAACTCAGTGCATACAACCATGGACACTATATGCCATATGGCTTTGACTTATCATATGCATCTAAATGCCAAAGAGAGTTTGGACCTTTGTTCTTGCACCATATTTGTCGACGTAAATGTTTGCGGGTCCTGAAGTCGCAAGTCATACAGGGTCAAGTTCTTTAAGAATCGAACTAACTGTTTTTTGTTTTACTAAAAAGCCATTTTGGATACATATCAAATGCATCCTGTATCCATGTAACTGGCCTGAGTTGTTAAGCTCATTCCTAATGAAATGTTTCACCTCTTCAATTGAAGAATAATTAATCCTCCTACACAAACCTAACCTTTTTAAAATACGTTTTAACTGTATAATACTCAACACAGTGTTATATTTACAAGCAAGTAAAGATACAATTTCTGCCTGAGCCAAGCCTAATCTGAAATAATCACTAATAATGGCTTCTCTTTCATTAGGGTCCATTTCGGTGCTCAATTCGCGTCGTTGAGTATGAATGCAGTAGAAGAACGTTCAATTCAAGGAACGCCCACAAGTTAAATTCTGACTTTAATCTCAGAATTCTAACTTTTTCACAGAGAGGAACGCCCACTTGTTAAATTCTGACTTTAAACTGAGAATTCTGACTTTTTCACAGAGAGGAAGCCTACTTCCCGTGCTCTGTCTTTAATCTCAGAATTTTCTCAGAGACGGAAGACAAATATTTTTTTTATAGTTGGTGGCCCTTCAGCGCCGTCATAGAACAGGGAGGTTAGGTTTGTAACTGGAAATTTTTCATGGGAAAGTCTCTAAGAGATGTATACAAAATCAATGATTTTTCAATTTTTTTAGGTTACCTTGAAGTGCATAACTACTCCTTTAGATATACCGGTAGGTAATGAGTGAGATACAGGTAGTTCTCCGTACACATGATCTCAGTTTGCGTAAATGTTTGTCGTTTGTACTCACCATTCATATTTATGGGTTTTTATTGTTACATGTGATTACAGATTTTCTGTCCCTACTGAGTACAATAATCAAATAAAAGTTTAACACTGTTTTTCTTTACTGTATGAATATAAAATAGGCCTAGTCTAAGTAAAAAGTCGGAATTTGTTAAAAAAAAAGCTAGCCTACCAAATTTTTTTACACTGACGGCAGCAGTTTCCACGGTCCTCAGTTTATGCAGCTTTGTTTTGCCAGTACTTTGCTAAAATAAATCCATTGTATACAGTGTGTAAATTAAGTATTGAAACAAATCTGTATTTTTAAACAGAAAAATATAGAAATATTCTGTTTATGGCATTGGTTTTTAATAATGTGTCCACAATTTTTTACATCAAAAATATTTTTTAACCCCCTTAACAGGTTAGGGGTGACTTATTTCTTCCAAATAACAAGCCCTATTGAGTTACCCCACATTTTGAAGGGTTTGTCAAGACATAAGCAATGGTGCAAACAGAATATTTCTATCTATTTCGGTTTAAAAAATACAGATTTGTTTCAATACTTAATTTACACACTGTATAATGAGGACATTCTGTATTGTTTTTAAGGCTAAATATAAGATCCTCCCCAAATATGACAGCAACATCCAATACTGGAATGATTTAATCAGATTTAAATTATTCCAGGGGGGAGGAGTACAATGATGTTGTCATGTTCCTCTGCGGCTTACATCTAAATGAATACATTGAGATGTTCGTCAACCAGGGCATCACGTTGGACATTTTCCTGCACCTTAGTGAGGAGGATCTTTGTCACATTGGGATGACAGACTCAAAACACAGAGCGACTCTGCTTGAGGGAGTTGCCAAGTTGAAGCAAAATAAAACTAAAGCAGCTGAAGAAGTGCAGCTCGGAAATTTGAGGTTAGTTTTACGGTTCCAGCTAGAAAGATGTTTCTTAGTTGAATTTGAGCATGTCTGAAATATCAGCATCTTTTGTCAAATGAACATGTGGTGTTAGAATATCGCTATATGATGTATGTGTAGGGTTGCCATATTTTGGTTGAGTAAAACCAGAACACACACCTCCTTTGGAGGGTTCTACGGGGAATTGATTATACATTCAAGCTTACACATGGAATCTAATTTTTACATTGCCACTAATGCCACTTAAAAATAATTTGTTTAGGCCTAGGGAACACTTGCAATATCAGGTGATGTATGTTACCAACTGGGAAAACCGGGAATTGTACTTAATTTTGGGCTGGACATGAAATGTACGGGATTCGTCCTTAAATATCAGACTAGTCCTATCCTTTTAAATAAGTTTGTGTGGTCGATATATCCACAGTTTTGCCAAGAACACGGATGACGTTGATGACGTTTCCATAGTGTTAGTAGACGATGGTGATAACTACACGCCCACCTGAGATGTCCACCATTTTGCCGCGATCGTGGAAGACCATGATGACGTTTCCATGACTGCGGGAGATGATGATGATGACCACACAACCACAGGAAATATTCAGGATTTTTACACAATTGCGGATGGCGACGATTACTTTTCCGTGACCATGGGAGATTATGATGACTATACGACCACAGAAGATATACATGATTTTGCCGCTATTGCGGACGACGTTGATAATGTTTCTGTGACTAATCACTGACTTAGGCTTTGGTCGCTATCACAGGAGACAATGATTGTGTTTATGTTATACTATAAAGCTTTACCTTAAGTAAACTTAAATGTTTGTTTAATTTCATAAATGTCTATATTGAAACAAACTTAACTCTTGTCTATTACTACTTACTTTTTCCTCTCGTACAACTACAGTAAAGCACAAGATTGATATTGTTAATGTAATCAGGAAAATATATTTTGTAAAAAAAAAATTAGTAGTGAGTCGGTGGCTTAGTCGGTAGCGTCGCGGACTTCGGGCCCAAGGCAGCGATGTCGTGGGTTCGGATCCTGGTCACTGCCACTAAAATTTATCAGTACAGTTCACCTTTGTACTATACCGGCTCACTCCTTGCTTTGCTGTTAACGTTCCACGAACAGGTGGTTAGTCTATGTGGACGGGCAAATGCAAGGTTAAAAGAGGCCGCCAACCTCTTTAAAAAAAAACAAAACAAAGATAACGTCCTTACAAGACAAAGTGTCCTTAAATGTACCGGATTTGTCCATGAATCTTTTATCCAGAATGTAGTAGACGCCCTGTCAGATGAACCAGTGTACGTGCTTGGATTGTAGAGCTAGTTTTCTGTTTGTTTGAGAATTGACAAAAGCTACATGGAGATAGATATACTGGTACCATTAGCTAGGTACGTATGATTCCTGTCAATTAGTCTACAAAGTATTAGTAATATCACTATGATTACCTAACCTAAAATAACTGCTGGATTTATTTATATATACCCCCACTCTTTATAACCAACATGGAACAAACTTTCATCAACCTCTCACATTTGACTGTCAACAGGTCGGAGGAGGTAAACGCAATATTGGCCAGCACTGTGAAGCACCTGACAGTGATGCATGCAGCGTTGGCACACCTGCGCCTGAACCTGCGATCACCTGACGTTCACAACACCCTGGTCACTCTCACTCTCACTTCCGCAGAGTTACTGGAGACTTTGACTGCGGAGGCTGACATCCAGGCACAGCTGTTACTCAACCAGATCAATGCTGTACTGCTTAAGGTAAGCTACCCACTACAACAATTTCTCTACACTGTGTTCTGTCTTCTGTTGATTTGAGTGTAATGTCAAGACTATCAATAACACATTTCTAAACTTGGCACCTTATAGCTTTTTGCCTTTGCCACAAAGTAGTTCCTAGATGCTCTTATTATCATATAGAAAACTCTTTTTCTTGGGTCCATTGTAAGTATCCATTCCATTTTCACATTCCAATCCTAGAATATTAATGTGATATGGTTGTTAAAAAATTACTACTTATTTTCCTTTTTTATATAGCTATTTAGACTTGTGAATTTGTCAAAGGAGTACTGTACCTTAAAGCTATCGGTATGGCATACATAGTGTTTTGATGTTCCTCTACATTTCATTTTTCCTGAAAATAAGCTTATTTTTTCAGTTTGATATACTCAACATTTCTTGTTAATGTTTTATAATTTTTCAGAAGCTGTCGTTGTTTTTAGTGTTTTCTACAAAATGTTTCCCGAGCCAACCATAGCTGCATAAAGTTGTCCATGTTTATCTTCATCATTGATACTGTGTAGCTTGCATGGTACCTGGATTGTCGCCAGTATGTTCACAAAATGCAGTATTTTTTTTAAATTGCAATAAAAAAGGCTCAAATTGTTACCCAATTTCTTGCATAATCTGTCAGTCACAATTAATTTAATTTGCTTCAAATGACTTCTTTTGGTTAGTTGACTTTGAAATTTAAAATCACTTGACTTTTGTGGAAACAGAGATTAAAAATCCTTGAATTACCAGTTTGGTTTTCCTTCGCCTTAGAGGGGACTTTTTAACAAGTAAGACCTTATATGAATCTAGTGAATTAGGTCTTTCCAATGAGCCACAAACTAACGAAATTGGACGAGAAACCACGGAGGAGTTCTGCCGACAAAAATTGTGCTTGCCTATTTTATATATAGATAGATGGATAACTTATTTTGCATCATTTTTATTTTCAGAAACCTGGAGCTGTACAACCCGCTTCAAAACTTAAATGGAAAACATCACTTATGACTATGTCAAGTCTAGTAGTTGTTTTGGGGCTTACCGGTATATTCGTTGCTAAGAAGTTGTTTTGAGTCTTTTTTTTATGTTTTACAACTGTGATATTTTGTATTAAGTAATTTTTACCTTAAAATAAAGCATATAAAAATGTCAGTTCTCATTTCTTTTACCCAATGCCAACTCTCGTACATATTGAAGAATCTTCCTTGATCTTCAGTAATGTTACAGTATTGTTTTGTGGATGGCCGATTTTGAATCTTGTGAAACGCTCCTGTTTTGTTAAGATAGTGACAAAATGTTGTGTATCTTAACTTGAATGTGAGCGTAGGTTAGTAGAATGGAGAGAGAGGCCTTGAGTAATAGAGTTACTGACAAGGACCACCTGTTTCTTTAATTCATGATCATTAAAAAACCTGTTCAAGAGCAGCTTGGTAAATTTCCCAGTCTAGCTACTAATAAAAGATTAAAGCCCATTAACTGTATTAGCTACTAAAGCCTATAAACATACGTAACCTATATAGCCTATATAACATTGTCATAACTTTGCGATTAAGTGCAAGTGAAGTCTGCATCTAGAAAACAGTCATTGGAGATTGGGAAACAGTCACTAGGAAATAGAAACAGTCACAAGTATTAAAATAAAAAATAAATAAATACATTTTATTCCTAGACTGTAAGGATTTTTGTTTTGATAGAAGGCTATTGGAAGAGCCTATCCTGGTAATAAATACAAAAACTTTACACAATATGCAAAAATTATGGTATTTTACTGTTATTGACAGCTTTTTAAATCTAAAACAATTTGATTGGACACTAAAACTTAAAATTTTTGGATTGATCAAATTTGTATAACAGAATATGTATAATTCAATAAATAAAGCACAAAGTAGATGACAATTATCTAAAAAAAAACATTAAGAACCATAACTGGCCTTCAACAATCGGATTTGGTTAAACACCTGTTCAAACACTTCAACTGTCACTTTTTGTAGATTGTAAGTTCTATGGGCGATTAAATGTGTCAAAATACAAGCCAATGATAATTTTGATTCAAATAATAAATTATAGTACACAACTTAAAATTAGAAGAAAGCAATATTTAGTTTTGCCTTTGAACATGGAGTATTTTAATTTGATTAATTCTGGTAATATCAGAGGCTTCAAAAAATTTTAATTTTTGCTCAAAATGATTGAATTTTTCTTTTAATTAAAAAATATCTTTTAGTCAATGCCAAAACAGAAATCAAGTTTATTGATTTAGCCTTAAGAGCGATATAAGCGAGCTTATGTTTTCATAATTTCAATAATTGTTGAAAATGACGTGGTTTAACACGAAATGAATTTGGGCCTTTTAGTGTTAAACCCAAATAACATGCATTTGATATAGGAAAGTTAGGTTTTTTGTTATTTTCACTAAAACTAAAAGTGATACGAAATAAGTGTAAATTACAAAGATGTTAGGAATTAAAAATCCTATAAAATGATGTGCCATTGACATATGCTACTATTTCAAAGTTTTGAACAATGAGCATTTGCAAATTTTCAAAAATACATTTTTTTGGACTTTTTATTATTTCAAAAAACTTTTACTTTGTAGAATATCAAAGTAAAGCTAAATTCATAACGAGTAAGAAAATTCAACTGGAGAAGGGCTAAATGCATTAGTATAGGAAACACAGAGTATTAAAAAACTATAGATTTTTTGCCGCCATTTTGAAACGAAAAAAGATAATTAATTTCTGTTTTCGCCAAAATAGTTGTCCATTAAATTCCTTTAAAATGGTGTATAACATGACATATGTTTACATTTTAAAATTCCGAGATTCGAACTAGTGACCCTTTGGCACACCCTGTATTGGCAAAAAGTTAAAAATATTTTTACGTTATTCCTTAGGGTCGATTTAGCGGGAAATAATTTATTTCATCCTTGTACGTTAAGCTGTTTTTCCGTAATCAATTTGAGACACCTCTCTTGGGACACTCTGTATATGAATTTGAGCCTGGAATCGAACTGGAACGAGGCGAGGCTCCCGTCACAACACAAATCAAATTCCAATATTGTACAGAGATCGACTAATGATTCATTCATTGTAGCGTCAGATCACCAAGTTTGTCACACTATCGTGTATCTGATTACCGAGAGTCACATGTAATTGCCATGAGCAAATCCCAAAGTATGGGTAGTTGCATAAACATTAGAGATTACAACTAATCTTAGCATTTATCGTAACAATTAACTCCTGTCAATCCCAAATCTTAATTACATATTTAATAGAATTTATAATAATTAATGCTAAGTATCGATTGATCATATAATAATCAGGTTTAGCCAATCGCAAGTTTTGAATGATTGCCTATTTTTAAGTGTTGGTGTTTCTTTTTATTCATACTGTAAATTTTTATGGTATAGAAAAAACCTAAAGGTACATAAGCGAAAAAAAAGAGTACAAAAGGCCTACATAAGCGATTCTTAAATCTGTAAAAAAGTCAGGGTTTGTTTGACCTATCATCCAATACTATTAGGTTATTATTAGGTACAGTAGACCCCCTCTTAACCGACCCAAATGGGACCGGACCTAGGTCGGATGATTCAAAAGGTCGGATAAAACGGGCAATCCCTAAAATCATAACATAATAAAGTGCTATTCATTTGGAATTATATAATCATTATTTTGAAGTCATACTTGCATTATTTATAAAATAAACTACTCTTATCTCCTTTTTCATATTGATAGAAATGTCACAAATAAACACAAAACACGGTTAAGTCAAATAGGCCTACTTTCAGTAGAATATATTATAATACTAGGCAAGAGTCAATAAAATTCCTATTTCAATAACTTTACTACTGTAATGTAATAATTAATGCTTTCCAAATACATCGTAATACAGTACAGAACCTTTTGTCGTCATTAAAGATACAAGCGACCATTTTGTTACAAGGCAGGACGTTTATTTATAGCCTCTCACTGGAGGCTCGAGGCAAAAAAAACTATCTTGACCTTGGAGTTGTTAACACCCCTTCCCTGCCCTCCCTACAAGTTGCGTTGTTTGTTTACTCCAGCGATAAGATAATCAGTTCTCAAAATCGTAACGCACTTTATGATGTTATAAATTTGCCGCACAGATAACAAATCAGATCAGATGTGCTCGAGCTACGTACGATGATGAAAAACTGACAATAGGCTATGCTATATTTTTTGTGATCTTCACAAGATAACTTATTGTTAGTCATATCCTGTGGAGATAAGCGTATGGTTCAGTTCTCATTGTCCAGCGTGGGAGCGGAAATGCCGAGATTCCTAGAAAGCGGCGGTTAAACCGAGCTGCTCTCAAAGCAAGGTCGGTTAAAACAAACTGTATTATTTTACGATCAAAGGCGGATAATCCGATTATCGGTTAATACGAGGTCGGTTAAGAGGGGGTCTACTGTATGTTGACTTATTAGAATTATACTCGGATGAATGCATGTTGTAAAATTATTAAAGGTTACAAGAAAGGTAAAGGGATTTTAAAAAAAATCAATGATAGTCATTTTGAATTGCAAGATAAGGAGGATAGGAACGAAATATTGTGTATTCAAAAATTCAATGTCTCTTTTGTGTCTTCTATGGCCTACTTAAACTTCTTCAAACAAGCTAGCTGCTGTCCTTGTTATTTTACAATTCAAAATCCTGGCCTAGAGCCTTTCGTTGAACAAAACTAACATTGATAGTGATTGTTCAGCTAAAGTTAATATCTAAACAAAAAATGGGATTGTCGGTGAAAATAAAAACTGTGTCAAGGAATGACATTACACAATTGTGCACACAATCCTAAATCTACATTTTGACAGTTTTCACCACTAACCAACTCTGATATTAATAGAAAATGTTAAAAACATGAGCTATTTAGTTTCCATTAGTTAAATTATATGTGTGCGTTTCCTAGTATAGATTTGTGTTTGAACCATATACAAATTAGCAGTATTTTAGTCTTGCTTTTTGTGTAAAAATAAGGTCAAATGAAAGTGATCTAAGAGATTTAATAATTTGCCAAGAATTATTAGTTAAGTTTAAGAAGTTAACAAAATGATAAACATAATTGTATCTAGACTAAAATTGTGTTGTGCTATACTTTTAGTAGCATTGATAGCATGCATTTTGGTTACTGTTATATTTTTTGTAAGTCTTGTTTGGATACATTGTCATCATTCAAACATTCAAATCCTCTTCTGTCTCTTAACCTCACCCCCTACATCACTACATCCCTTCATGTTTTCTTGGCCTTCTCGATCACTTTTCCTTCATTATCGTAAACTACATTTTCCTTGTAATTCTCTCTCCTCCTTATTCATGTAAGCATTTAAATCTATAAACATAATTACACCTTTTAAGACTTTTTAAAGTCTTTTTGAGTGATTAAAGCACACGCCATAAAAAATTAGTCACTCATAGCTAAAGCTTATACATTGTATACGTTTTTTAATTTTTTTGGTTCACGCTGAACAAATTGTCTAGAAACATATTGTAAATTCACATTCACTCAAATTGAGTGATGTAAGTATTGCCAATGACATTTAATTATTTGTATTTTTTAATATTTTCCAGCAGAATCACTGCCATTCTATGCATTATCACAAAACTAAATTATTTTGTCTTTTAATATTTTATCCAAATTATTTCCTTCTTCTAATATATGAAAAAATTGTAAAAGAAATTTATAAGTAAGTTATAGAAGATAAATTACGTTTTAATACTGCAATTGGAAGTTGTAGTGTGAAATTGTACACATTTGCATTGGCATTCTATGCAATATATTTCAGTACCCTCGGACTACTCTCCGTTCACTTCCCCTCTCTACTGGTAGCTGTTGTGGGGGTCCCCTGGAAACCCCTTCCCTGATCTCCACGTGTGACTCACCCTTCATGGTCTACCTGGAGTCTCTGCTCATGAGGGAGTGCTCCCTACAGGATCCCATGCTCTGTTATACTCCAGACCTTGTAAGTTACGTGTAATAAAACACTTTAAAGTCAATCTACTGATTTGTGCTTCAAATAATTTAGTATGTACCATACAGGGCTAATCTCGTAAGGAGTCCCGTTTCAGACAGACAGGTCCTATAATGATGAAATAAAATGTTTTCCTACAAAACAAACCCAAAGGAATGACAAAAAGATATTTTAAAAGTTTTTTGAATACAGGTTGTTTCAAAACTGGGGTCCACTAATTCGAATCTCACAATTGTCAAATACAAATGTATACCTTATCATACATAATTTTAAATCTATATTTAATGCAAACATTTTGTTTTGGGATCAGAATTTGACTATTTATATTAGTTTCAAAATGGGAGATCTTTTTTGCAAAAAAAAATACTTTTTGAATACCCTGTATATTTGTTTGAATACAGGTATCACTAACTTGATTAGGATTTCACATTCCTTATGAGCAAAACAAAAAATATATCTTAAAAATAGTTAAATGCAAAAATTCAAAAAAAATTCTAATTAATCTATTAAAAACTATGACTGATTCCAATATTCGTATTCCATAGCAGTCGCAGTATGTAGACTTCATAGTAGTTGGCGCTGGTTCAGCAGGCAGCGTAGTCGCATCAAGACTTAGCGAAGTTCCTGGATGGAACGTAACTCTGCTAGAGGCGGGAGGTCCGGCGCCTGCGTCCACACAACCTTCCGGGTTCTACTTCAACTACCAACGCTCCCGGATAGACTGGAACTACCCACTGGAGAGGCAGGACAGATCTTGTCTAGGCAGACCTGGGGGTCGTTGTCACTATCCAAGAGGTAAATTAATCACTTTGTTAAAATTGTTTAAGGACGTTTTGTGGCCAACATCAAAAGATTAGATTGGGAAACGAGCCCCTTTGTCACACCTGTCTGTTGTTGGAAGATCTTAAGTATTAAATGATTTAGGTGCCTCTGATTGTTTTAGTGAGCGTCATTCCACACAGTTTGTCTCATTGTTACTCTTACATACCTCTTTGCTATCTATAATGTCTAAGCTAACACACTGTGAACAGAGACCTAGAAGCTGGGTGACCTAGTACCACTTCATCTTTCTTTCCCAGTAACAGCTGTTATGTTTTACCTTCACCATTATTTTTGGTTCAATTGGTGATAATTGCTGCTAAATAAAAAAGCTAGTGGTTTGAATTTGAAATAGACTGAAAGCCTTTTAGTTTTAATTGTTTGCAACATGTTTCCAATGAGTTTTTATCATTTTCTGTGTGATTCAACGATTCAACGCTTCCGATAATCCAATCTTGCCAGAACCAGTTTTAGGTCATATAATTGAGACTCTAATGTACTATACCTAGTTTGAAGCGTATCAGTCTCATTTTAAGAACACTGGCTATATTTATACTTGGTGTAACAATTCTTATGTTTGTATGTCTTAAAAGGAGGTTGCTCTTTATACTTCTTTAATGTAGAACACATAAACTCTCAGCAATGTGCAATATACTCACAATATTTCTACATATACTCTCTAATAGATACAAGCACTTGTAACATGCAAAACTACTTATTCATAATTGAAAAGTAAATATTATGATATGAACAATGTATTAATACGTTGAACATATGGATTAATATAAGAAGTACAGAAGGAAAGTACACTCTCCATCTCTCAATACTTTATTTAATTGTGTACCTTACCACTGTAGCAATCATTAAATCTAAGTGAAATTTATCTCTTTAACGCTTTGTCATCTAACACTATTAGGCAAAGTGATGGGAGGATCGGCAGCACTTAATGGCAACATGTACATGAGGGGGAATAAGCAAGACTACGTCGACTTCGAGAACATGGGGCTGAAGGAGTGGGGTTGGGATAAAGTGTTACCATATTTTAAAAAATCTGAAAACAACCTAGACTTTGGAATTAATTCAATTGTAAGTACAGTAGTAAAATTTGTGTATTGTTAAGTACCGGTACAATTTATTAAGTGTTTTTACAATATGCTGAATTTAATGGGTAAAGAATGAGTAAATTTATGTAAAATCCTTAATTTTTTTGTCGTTAGGAATTTGTTATCTAACAGATCCATTATTGAATTAAAGCTCCAAAGGTTTTTTGTGTATTTTTTGTTGACAAAATGAATTTACACATCAAACATTATTGAAAACTGTTAAGGTTTAAATAAAAAAAAATAATTTCAAATTGCAAGTAAAATCTGAATCTGTCATAAAATAGGTGTGTAGATGGTAAATTTCAAACTACATCATTATTGGAAAATAGGTACATTTAAAAATATTAATGGATGTGAAACATGAGGTTGGGTTCCTAAATAAAAGTTTTAAAAACATTAATACTTTCTGAGATACAATGATTGCCATGAGTGGTTCTGTTGACACTCATGAGATGTAGGATGACTTACGGTAACAAGACTTGAGTTTGGTGCATGAGAAAACAAACACAAAATTACTGGTACTAAAAGAGACAAATCAAATAAAATAAACATCAAATTCTTAAGATATTCAATTTTATTGCCTCCTGAACCGTTTCTAGCTGATTAATTTTGGTTACTAACCTTTTTTCTGTTTTTACACTTCAAACTCAAAACATTTGTCGTTGATGACTGTAATGTCAGGGTCATCAGGTCAGGATCCATAACTTCATTTGTCGGGTATAAATTCAAAAAAATATTTTGAAGGTATTAAAAATTAAAATCAAGTTTTGGATCCTCACCTGATGATGAACATATGCTTTGAAATGTACATAGCCACCAATGACTAATGTTGGACAATATGATTATCCCAGTTCCACGGCACTGGAGGACCTTTAACAGTCACCCGCTACCCGGAAGTCCCTTACGTTCATCGTTACATAATGGACGCCGCAGCCCAGCTTGGCTACAACGTGATGGGAGATCCCAACGCACACAACCAGACGATGTTCACAGTCGCCCAGATGACATCGAGGAACGGAGAACGTCTGTCGACGGCCAAGGCGTTCTTGTACGACCCTAAAGTGCTTCATCGACCTAACCTCAACATCATAACTGGAGCACATGTGAGTGATTCAACCTATGTCTGTCAACAGCAGACAGTCATGGTCAAGAATATTTATTCACTAGTTTAGACAATTGAACACGAATAGTGCAAACTAAAACTAATGCTTTAATATCTAACAATCTATCATTGAGGAGTCACTTGTTCAGTTGGTACCAAGATGGATTGAACCAAGGCTAGGAAGATGGATTGAACTATTGGTTCACATCTTAATTACCGTCCCATAAAATTAATCAGTTCTCCTATCATCACTCATTTGTCACTCTTGTCTGAAACTCATGTGGATAATTTAAGGCTAAGGATATTTTTGTTGAAAAAATGTAATCTTAAGATCATAAGGACAAGAATATTATGTTCAGCATTGACAGTGTTTAGTACTATTTCGTAATTGTTTACTAGAAAAATCTAATTTAGATCTAATTTAGATTTTTTTATACTTCTTTTTCTTGATGTCTACCTCGGAGTCATTTTTACAAGAGGAATTGCAGCAGAGGAAGTAATTAAAGGCTTTTAGGGAAAGCGGTCCAAACTTGTAAGTAAGCATGAATCTATGGTTTGTAGAATGGAGTGATTTACCTTTGTAGCTGTATTTAATCATGACTGAAAACTGTTTCAGGTTGTTAAGGTATTGTTCAACAAGGAAAACAGAGCGATTGGAGTCCAATACCAAAGAGAGGGTATTTCCTACAATTTGTACGCCAGAAAAGAGGTGATTCTCAGTGGTGGAGCAATAGGTTCTCCTCATTTGCTGCTATTGTCCGGTGTGGGACCCAGGAGTAACCTTGTAGGAAATGGTAAAGTCAACTTTAGATACTTACTGATGTGGCATAGTGGCATTTTTAGGTCTTACAACTGTGGCAGGGGCAAGGTTTACGACAGAGTCCCAATTTTTAGACAGAGTTTAGACAGAGTAAAAATTAATTTTATATTCAAAATTTTTTTACAAACTTGTTTTAATCAGACATCTCTCAGTTTTCTCGTCATTCTTAGAGATTTCTTGCGCTCAGAGAAATTAGGTAACAAATATTATAGTTTGTAGTTTATTTTTAGTCAGTTAATATCTATTATTGGAAGGGTAAAACAATTACAAGAATTAGAATAGCCTACTATTCCATAAATATATTTGGTAAATACAGTTACCAAGTATAGATTATGCTAAAATAAAAATATAAGAACATAAAGTTACAATGAAAATAAAATGACGTGCAAGTAGCTTATTAATTGTTATAGCACTGAACATTCTATCAAAAAGCTTTAGGCATACTATTTCATCATTCAAAGTTAGTACAAACATTAACCTTTCAAAACCATACACATGTGTGCAAAATCATATACTATTGTACAACATGAAAGGAAGACAGCAATGTCATCTGTACAAACTCACTAAACAAACAGCTTGTGATTTGTGTGTTTAAGTGGTTGTGGATAAAGCAGTGAGTGTGAGAGTATGTTGGTTGCATGCATGTGGCCAACCAAACAAAATGTATTCATTGAGGTGGAGTCTGATGTACAGACACTCACCAAGTATGTTGGTCACCATTGAGGAAGTAAAAACAAAAATCTCAGATTTGAGAAATAAATTTTTGTTTGTTTTGATTAATTTAATTCACATGTTTCAGCTGATCAAATAACATAAATAAACATTTAAAGTTTAAATTACTTGCAGAATGAAAATAGATCGTTTCTACGAAAAACTACTGAAAAATGAGTGATTTGTATATTTTCTCCGGGTAGTAAGTAAAAACAGCTTTAAAATGACACCTCATTTATGAAAATTGGTGAAGAAATCAGGAAATTATGGTCTACCGAAAAAAGTACTCTAAAAATTGTAATAACTAGTGTACCTACATGTTGCTCGAAATAGAGCAATCGCAAAGAAGTAAAAGAGTTATTTAAAAACAAATAACTGATTTATAAATAAATATAAGTCATGAATTCAGATGAGTTTAAATAAAAGAGTCAACTCAAAGATTACGTAACTAATGATAATCCCGTACTCACAATGTACTTAACAGTTCAATATAATCAACATTTCTTGTAAAATTTTATCATTTTTCAAAAGCTGATATGGCTTTTAGTGTATTGTACAAATGTTTCCCACTTATAGCCGCAATAGGTTTTCCATGTTGGTCTTTGTCAATGATAATGATAATGTAGTATGCATGGTATCACCCATTGTCGCCAGTACGTTTACAAATTTCAGTCTTTATTTTAATAGCACCAAATAACCATTAACTACCTGATTTTCTGCATAACCTCTCTGTCATAATTTTACAATTAACATATGCTCTTCTTCTCACTTTTAATTTCTGACAACAGCTGGAGTTACATAACAATGTTTGTTTCCCATGTTAATCTTATGGAGAAATACGAAACTTTAAAGGGCCCCAGGGCCTCACTCTCTAATTATTTCCCTAAAATGCAAGTTTCCTGCACAACTTCACGTTACGCTCTTTCCAATGACACCAAAAAGATGTCAATCGGTTCAGTAGTTTCGGAGGAGTAATTGTCACAAAAAACCTGCTTGCGTATTAAATAAGTACTTGTGTACCTGTTGCTCAAATTCGAGCAATTGCTAAGTATTCCAGGCGTTATTTTAAAACGAATAACAGTCATAATTTATGATGACTTTTAAAGATTCGACTCATGTACATAATACATCGTTATAACTAACATTTCTTGTAAATATCTTATCATTTTCCAAAAGCTGATCTTGTTTTTTAGTGTTTTCTACAAATAACCTTACTCATAGCCACATTAGGTTGTCCATAATAACGATTATAAAATATAAAAAAACATTATTTCTATTTCTTTTACTTGGTGGTGTTCTACGACTTTCCTATGTTTCATAGTTTGCTAATCGGCTCTTTCAATGATTACTAAGAAATGCAGCACAGTATTAATTCAGTTTTGTTTTCTTTATAGTATATCATACTATCCAGGCTCTCTCGCTTTTTCCCATTGTAATATTTACGCCAACCCAAATTCAAATAGTAAATATTTCATTTCGACCAAGTCAGTAAATGTTTGCAGCAAACTGTTAAATTTAGCAAACTTATTGACAGTTTACAATGTTAATATATGTTCTTCTTTTCACTTTTAATTTCTGACAACATCTTATGGAGAAATACGAAACTTTAAAGGGCCCCAGGGCCTCACTCTCTAATTATTTCCCTAAAAAGAAAGTTTCCTGCACAACTTCACGTTACGCTCTTTCCAACGACACCAAAAACATGTCAATCGGTTCAGTAGTTTCGGAGGAGTAATTGTCACAAAAAACCTGCTTGCGTATTAAATAAGTAGTACCTGGGGACCGAGCTTTGCTCGGGGAAAATCATTAGTTCACTCTGAAAGCAGTCTTAGTATTGGAGATACATAAATCCATTCCCAAACTCCACACGGCTCGCCTTTACTGCGTCCTACACCATTTCCTACGTCATGGACCTGTTTCTCCGCATTCCCATAGAACTTTAGGATTGTAGATACCTTAATCTAATCGTCATAAACAGTTCCCACACTCCGGACTACTCGCCTTGACTACTTCCTTCACCACTTCCTACGTCGCGGACCTGTTTCCCTCCCTTCCCATAGCATTTTAGGATTGCAAATACCTTAATCTAATCGTCATAAACAGTTCCCACACTCAGGACAGCTCGCCTTGACTACTTCCTTCACCACTTCCTACGTCATGGACCTGTTTTCCTCCCTTCCCATAGCATTTTAGGATTGCAAATACCTTAATCTAATCATCATAAACAGTTCCCACGCTCCAGACAGCTCGCCTTAACTACTTCCTTCACCACTTCCTACGTCACTGACCTGTTTCCCTCCCTTCCCATAGCATTTCAGAATCGCCCATACCCGTATCTAATCGTCATAAACAGTTCCCACACTCCGGACAGCTCGCCTTGACTACTTCCTTCACCACTTCCTACGTCACAGACCTGTTTCCCTCCCTTCCCATAGCATTTTAGGATTGCCATACCCTTATCTAATCGTCATAAACAGTTCCCACACTCCGGACAGCTCGCCTTGACTACTTCCTTCACCACTTCCTACGTCGTGGACCTGTTTTCCTTCCTTCCCATAGCATTTTAGGATTGCAGATACCTTAATCTAATCAACATAAACAGTTCCCACACTCCGGACTACTTGCCTTGACTACTTCCTTCACCACTTCCTACGTCGCGGACCTGTTTCCCTCCCTTCCCATAGCATTTTAGGATTGCAAATACCCTAATCTTATCGTCATAAACAGTCCCCACACTCCGGACAGCTCGCCTTAACTACTTCCTTCACCACTTCCTACGTCACTGACCTGTTTCCCTCCCTTCCCATAGCATTTCAGAATCGCCCATACCCGTATCTAATCGTCATAAACAGTTCCCACACTCCGGACAGCTCGCCTTGACTACTTCCTTCACCACTTCCTACCTCACGGACCTGTTTCCCTCCCTTCCCACAGCATTTTAGGATTGCCCATACCCTTATCTAATCGTCATAAACAGTTCCCACACTCCGGACAGCTCGCCTTGACTACTTCCTTCACCACTTCCTACATCGTGGACCTGTTTTCCTTCCTTCCCATAGCATTTTAGGATTGCAGATACCTTAATCTAATCAACATAAACAGTTCCCACACTCCGGACTACTTGCCTTGACTACTTCCTTCACCACTTCCTACGTCGCGGACCTGTTTCCCTCCCTTCCCATAGCATTTTAGGATTGCAAATGCATTAATCTTATCGTCATAAACAGTCCCCACACTCCGGACTGCTCGCCTTTACTACTTCCTTCATCACTTCCTACGTCACGGACCAGTTTCCCTTCATTGCCATATTATTTTATGATTGCCTTTACTACTTCCTTCACCACTTCCTACGTCGCGGACCTGTTTCTTTCCCTTCCCATAGCATTTTAGGATTGCATATACCTTAATCTAATCGTCATAAACAGATTCCAGACTTCGCACTGCTACCCTTGACTACAATCATAGATAAAACCTATGATAAAACATACTCCCTTCAATCATGCTACAATGTATCGAGTAATCTTCAGTATAATCTTTGCTAAATATTAACAAGTGATGTTTTTCCTTTTGTATTGTATTTGTAATTTGCTAGTATTCTGTGGGTAGTAGGCTTATTATGAACACATGCTAAACTTCAAATCTTTTGTTTACTTTTTCCTTGTTATTTAATTCAGCCAACATGGTTACCTAGCAACCCATAAGACCAATGTAAAAAAAATGTGATTTTCAGTTTCATTTTTCTACGTAATTAGATTTTTGTTGGCAGTTCTAACTGCAGTAAACTCGTTTTTAGGCCAGAAATAAACTATTTACAACATTTGAAGAAAATCGTCGGAGCCGTTTTCGAGATCTTGTTTGCAAGCAAGCAAGCATACATACATACATACAAGCAAACATTGCTCGTATTAGAGTATAGGATAGATATAGTTATAGATAATATTAACAGCTGTTTCTACCTATCTATAAGTGAAAATGGATGGAAACTATTTCGGGAAATTAGATGGGATAAACTATGTAAGAAATTTATGTTTGTGGGTTGATTAACCCTTTGAGTGCCAACGTCCGGGGAACCGGACGTTTTTAAAACGAGCCAAAAGTGCCGACGTCCGGCCGACCGGACGTTTTTAGAACGAGCCAAAAGTGCCAACGTCCGGCTGACCGGACGTTTCGTAATGATCGAACAGCTGTCATAACAACCGAATGGATACTCGGATTCTTTTAACCCATATATTAACATTGAGTCGAAAGTTACTAGATGCGATACATCGATTTTCGTTGGTCGAAATATCGAAAATTCAATTTTTACGAAATTTTAACCTAAAAATCGCCAGATCGCGCTCGGCATTTTTAGCGCAACCTTCGGGAAAAATCATCGGCATTTTTTTAGCGTTACTTTTATTTCTTGCCTGGCACTCTAAGGGTTAAATTAAATAATGTTGCAGTAGGACAAAAAATAAGGTCCATCGCAATAACAAGACTTTCTCTTTTAAGTGTATTCATTTTCCTTAAAAGATAAACCTAAGCCCTTGTGAAAAGAATCACTTGAGGCTCAGTGATGAATACCATTTTTAACCTTTAAAACACATGAGAAAATGCTTTTTGTAGGTATTCCAGTGGTTGCTGACAGCCCTAATGTAGGACGCTACCTACAAAATCACATATCCTTCAGTGTTCCGTTGCTATTCAAAGGCATGAAGAACCTGAACCGACTAAACCTCACAGCAACTTCGGAATATATTCTTCATCGTAAAGGTCCTCTCTCCTCTACGGCTATGTCTCAGGTATGAAGGGTAAATAAATAAGTTCTATATCATTTATGGTGGTTTAAAAAAAAATACCAATATTTTACATCCAGTGCTGAGTTGTAGAATTTGATGTACTCTAGGCCTACTGAATGAAGACTCCTCCTTCATTCAAATCTGAAGGTCTCTGGTTTAATTCCAAGTAGAACCGATTTTAGACTATGATGTCATTTGCCCATTGGGATATGAATTAAGCTTTGTAAAAAAAGGTTACCGTTAGGCAGTAACAGGACCAAGGTTTGGACCATTCCTTAACAAATAAAGTAAAAAAATCCAAAAGGCATGAAAACTAAAAAAAAAATAAAATTTCTAAAAAATGGGGATAGAGTTCAGCTAGCTTACCTGAGAAAGTTATAGTCTAGGGGCTAATAGATACACATTATAAGTCACAAAACAAAATTGATACAAAATTAGTCCTAATATTCAGAGAGTATGTTGAAGAGTTGAAGTGTCACTTCTCTTGAAGTAGTTGTCCTTATAAATATCAGTGCAGAAAAATTGGTGCATAGTCCAATATAACGTCAACCAGAAATAAAAGGTTCACTCAATTTGACATACAATTATGATGCTATTTGATGTCAATATGACGTCAACAGTTTGATCAGGATGTCAATTTTATGTCCTTCACTTAGTTTTTATGTCAAATTAATATTATTATGGGCTATTTAGTAACGGATTCCACAATAACTTACTAATTATAATGTTTTCAAGGAGTTCTTATTTCATTTATTTAATTCACATTTAATTTAATGTTTTTCCCATAGACAACAGGTTTTGTGCATGTTAATGAAAGCTCCAAGACTCCGGACTTCCAAGTTTTCTTTGAAGGTCTGAATGCAAACTGCTCCAAAACTGGAATCAGCCTTCTAGATCCTTTTTCCACATCAACTGTCACCATGTAAGAGTTTAGTAAAACCTTAAAATGATTGTTCGAATACATCAATCCAAGAAGTCATGATAGAACACTGGTAATGTAAATGACAGCCCTCTCTCATCTTTGTATTTTTATTTGACAGTCCATCTGGGAGGACTCATCTCCATTCATACTTGGCTTAAAATATTTACTTTGTATGGTCGCCATTTCAATGAAAAGTAAAGTATAAGCATATTGATATGAAGAATGTTTTATCATTGACTATTGGAGGTTTTAGTGCGTAAAAGAGCAGTGTTCTTTAGCAAGTAAAGGTTAAATGGTTTCTTTGTCAAATGTCACATTTTTGGAGGTGTTTGTAGATGCTACATTTTAAATCTCTGATGTTTAATTTTCCTAATTAAATAATTTTTCACCCTGTTAATTATTTGATTATCATACATAATTGAATAATTTCCAAATGAATATTTATTATTTATTTTATCTACATAACTACAATGATACTGTAGAATTGTTTAGAGCTGACTACAGTAGACTCCCTCTTATCCGGACTCCTCGGGACAAAAGCCAGTCTGGATAATGGGTTTTCCAGTTAAACCGACGTCCACAAAATCTCGTTAAAACAGACCGTTTAAATACATACTCTATACAGTATTTGACTTAAAATTAGGGGATCATTGTATTTAGACACGTAATCACTGGTCTCAAATCTTTTCCATGAGAACAGTCGTTTTAGGACCGCCCACTTCCTGCCAATTTAGTCTGGTGAAACCGATGTTCTGATAAAAATTATCAGGATAAAGAGATGTCACTTCTACCGAGTGTAGTCCGGTCAAACCGTTGTCCGGTTAAAAGGTGCCCGGATAAGAGGGAGTCTACTGTAATAAAATAAAATCATTTTGACTTATTCATCCATTACAATATTGCAAAATATGATTTTACTTGTTTTGAAAACTGAAACAAATCTATCTTTTCAGGATGATTCCAACATTATTGAAACCTAAAAGTAGAGGATTTATTGAGCTTGCCTCGTCAAACCCTTTTGACTACCCTAAGATTGTTTCTAATTACTTTTATGAAGATTATGATCTCACAATGCTACTAAAAGGTATAAGGTAGGTATGCAAGTCATTAATGCCGTTTTAAAGGGAATTGTAATTTTAACAACATTAATTTGATTAGTACAATGTAATTCTTCTTTAATACATATTTAAAGTAAATAATTAAGTAAGTAAAGTAAGTATGTGTGTAAATCATACCAGTTGTAGCCTACGGAAACAGCATGATTCAAGTTTCTTCGTTGAGTTTTTATTCAAACAAGTTCATTAAAGAAAAAAATTAACTGTTTCTCAGTTCATTAGTGACATTCAGATTTGAACACTATACATATGCCCAGACAATTTTGATTATTAACCAACAAATGAATACAGTATTGTGGTACTGGGTCGAGGTCTTATCATAAAGAAAACAACAACTAATTACTTCCTTATAGAGGAATTAGGTAAACATATTTTTGAACCACACAATTTTTTTTAGTTTGGATAGGTTTAATTTGAACGAAGTATCTAGTTGGTAGCTATTATAAAACAAAATAATCAAAATACCAAACGAGTGTGGAGAATATTAAAAAAATGTTACAATTAATTAAGTTATTTTTCTTGGTGATTGAGGATTGATGTCATGTAAAAATCTAACGTTTCAGATTCGTCCAAAAATTCATTAAAACAGAAGCAATGCAGAGACAAAATGTGGAAGTGTATTTTGACTACTTTAGTAAAACTGCACAACCCTGCATGAGACTGGACAAAGATACAGATGATTACTGGATATGCCTTATTAGACATTTGACCAACCCTGAGAATCATCAAGTATCCACTTGCAAAATGGGGACAACAGACGACGGTAATGTACTAAAACTAGTCAAATAATAACTCCGTTTCTATGCTTTATAGACGTCGTCACACACCACCCGATAATCTTAAAATTCATGCATTCTTCAAAAACTACTTGTGTTTGTTTGCAGATGGTAGTTTTTGTTAAAATGGTAATGAAATTAAATGAAATGAAAATCCATCTTTATTAAGGCGAACTTAGGACCTCATGGTCCTTTCTTACAGTTTACCTCTATGAGAGGTTAAAATGACAGTTAAGTACAATGAAAGCTCAGATGCAACAGAAAAAGAATCTACCAATCCTGTCAATATCCATTTGATCTAGCTTAGTTTAGATGGTCTTTCCCACCAAGCCCTTCCATAGACAGGTCAACTCCTTATGAATTGCACACCAGGCTTGACCAAGATAGAATTAGAACCCTGTATCTCTATAGTGTTGTCTCCTTTTGAACTGCTCTGCCATTTATCACTTCTATTGCACCAATAACTCTGTTTAAACTAAAGCCAATCGTGGTACCTAGTTTTCTAAACTTTGATTTCGAGGTTGCAGCATGTAACTTTTAGCCCTAATTCATTGTTCAGTGATGCCATTGACTATTGGATACTGAAGTAGACATCCCATCTATATGGACCTGCTGTCGCTAATTTTTTTATTTAAAAAGAACATAGTTGTGTGAGCCAGTCACAGAATGCGCTATAGTGCCTACAATTCTATTTTTTACCTTATTTTCTGTTGCAGACCAAGTTGATGGGTCATAAACAGTTGCAGTCATAATAAGTCATACCACTGGTTTGACTTGGTAAAAACGTTTGTGTATTCAACAGAAATTAGTAATTTACATTATCACAATCTATTGGTAGCTCACATAAAATACAACAATTTTCATTAGTAAAAAACTGGCGACAACTTTAACATAGGGATGGAATGTCTAGTTGTCAGTTAATTGTAAGAATAGTCAAAGGTTTGTACGTTTATGGATAGATTGTAAGTACAGGGTTAGTTATGTTATTTTTATATACCTACTTTTGAGTGTGGGAAGTATTCAATCCACCAGACCTCAGTATAATTGTGGCCTGTTTAGATTCATCAGTGGTGAACGAGAAGCTTGAGGTGAAACATGTTTCCGGACTTCGCGTCATAGACGCTTCTGTGTTTCCTAGTGTACCCTCTGGCAACCTGAACGCTCCGACAATCATGGTGGCTGAGAAAGGCTCAGATTTTATCAAGCAAGCGTGGCTAAACAACAGCTGACAGAACTTTTTGTGTTAACAACAAACTTTTCAGTCAATAAATGTAATATGTAAACCTACTAACAATAACAATGGGTTTTAGTGTGTTCAGGGTACAATCGCCCTGTCCCAATATTGTCCTCCCATCCCTATCCTCATATCGTCTAGCATTTAATGTTAGAGATCATGGTGGAAGGAAAAAACATAGGTGTGTTATTCCCATTGTAAAGTGAAATTGAAATTAATTGTAAAATAAAAGATAGAAAATATCTAGTACATGTTTATTGAAAGTAGCAGTGGACTGTAATAATTATAAGTTTGTTTTTAAAATATGTAAAAACAAACAAAACATATGATTTGAATCACACATTGATAAATATAGTCTTTTTGAGAAATAATTGTATATAGGCTATGTAAATTATGTGTTTTTACACATTCTGGCCCCTTGAAATATGAAATTTTGTTATTTCAATCCATTTCTTGACCTGGTAAAGGGCACAGTTTTGAAATAGATCTTTTTATCAGTCCATCCTTTGTTTGTAATGTAGCAACTCGCACAAAATTGTCTTTTCCTGGATGCACTGCGATCACTCGCCCAATTTTCCAAGTACAAGGTGGTAAATTGTCGTCTTGAATAAGCATTATATCATCAATTTTTATATTAGGTCTTGATGTATTCCACCTTGACATTTTCTGCAGTTGGTTCAGATATTCCTTGCACCAGCGGTTCCAAAAATGCTGCGAGAGTTGTTGAACATGTTGCCATCGAGAAAGTCTATTTAATTTCAGATCTTTAAGATTAGGTTCCGGAACACTGGTGAAAGAAGTTCCAATTAGGAAATGAGCAGGTGTTAAGGGAGTAAGATCATTTGGATCGCTAGATAAAGGTGTTAAAGGGCGTGAATTGACACAAGCTTCTATTTGTACTAATAAAGTGTACATTTCATTGAAAGTTAATGTTGTATTTTGAACTACTCGCTTAAGGTGGTATTTTACTAACCGCACTCCAGCTTCCCATAGCCCTCCGAAATTTGGTGAATGAGGGGGGATGAAACTCCAAGTGATCCCTTGTGTAGCTAAAGTTGACAGGACTTGGCTGTTGTGATCATCTGAACACCACAAATGTTTCAACTCTTGTAGTTCCTTGTCCGCACCAACAAATGTTTTAGCATTATCCGAGTAAATTTTGTATGGTTTCCCTCTGCGAGATAAAAACCGCCTTAAGGCAGCAAGGAACGAATTTGTCGTTAAATCCTCAACTAGTTCAAGGTGAATGGCCTTTGTAGTGAAACACACAAACAGAGAAACGTATGCTTTTGTAACCTTAGTCCTTTTGTTGTTGCTTGCATGTATATATACAGGTCCAAAATAATCTAATCCACAATAGGAGAATGGTCTTGAAGGTTGAACTCTGTTTTGAGGTAGTTGTCCCATTAGTTGATTGGTAGCCTTAGGTTTAGTCTTGAAGCATTTCAGGCATTTGTGAACCACACTTCTGACTAAACTTCTGCCATTTAATGGCCAATAAGTTTCTCGAAGGGAACTCAATAAAAGTTGTGGTCCTGCATGTAGTATTTGAACATGTAGATCTTCTGCAATTAACCGTGTTAGCCTATGTTTGTGATCAAGAATAATTGGATGTTTATTATCAACACTTAAAGTTGAATGTTTCAGTCGACCACCTACTCTGATCAGCCCTTGGTCATCAAGAAAAGGATTTAGCTGTAAGAGTTTGCTTGATTTATCAACAGAATTGTTTTCCTTCAATGTTTTCAGTTCATGGGAGAATGATTGAGATTGAGCTAGTTTTATAATAGAAAGTCTCGAATCATTTATTTCTGAACATGTAAGTGAACCTGTGAGACAATCCTTGGATTTTGTATTTTTATAAAACCTTAGACAATATGCTACAACTCGTACAAGTTTCTGCAATGATGAATACTTGCTAAATATATCATGACCATGAACATTTAAAGAGACGGCTGTTACAGTATTTGCCTTACGCAATTCTAAAAGTGAGTTGACACTTGTATCAAGTCGAAAGTTTGAGCCTTCCTTCCAAAATTGATGTTCTCCAGATAACCATTGTGGTCCATTCCACCAGAGAGATGACGATAAGAGGGGTTGAACCAAAGAGCCGCGAGATATTAGGTCTGCAGGATTTTCAGTGCCAACAACATGATTCCAATGGCTTATGTTTGTTAGGGATTGAATTGTTGAGATTCTGTTTGCAACAAATGTACTGTAATGAGACGATGGGGAATTGATCCAAGAAAGAACAACAGTAGAGCCAGAATAATAATAAACATTATTAGTATCAATGTTCAATGCTTTGATGAGAACTTGGGCTAATTGACTTAGTAGCAAAGCGCCACAAAGCTCCAATCTTGGAATTGAAGTCACCTTCAATGGAGCAACACGAGACTTTGATGAAATTAACGTCACATTTGTTTCTCCTTTTACATCTTGACACCTAAGATAAACACAAGCTCCATAAGCAGCCATGGATCCATCACAAAATCCATGAAGTTCTACAGTTGCAGGTTCATTGGATGACAATACATATCTGTTTATTGATAGTTTGTTCAAATTAGTTAATGATGCATGAAACTCAAGCCATCGATTATTCAAATGCGAGGGAATTTTGTCATTCCAATCTAAGTTTTCCTTCCACAGTTGTTGCATTATAAGTTTAGCTAAGAGAATGACAGGTCCAATTAATCCCAAAGGATCAAATATCTTGGCTATTTCCGACAGAACTTGGCGTTTTGTAATGTTTTGTGGTTGAGTATCTTGTGATAGTGAATATTTGAATACATCATGAGCGGTATCCCACATTAGACCCAGTGTTTTGACTATTGAGTTGTTTATGTCTAAATTGTGTTCAGGATGAGCTTCAATATCTGATTCAGGAACGTTCTTTAGTAAATCAACATGATTTGATGACCACTTTCTTAAATGAAAACCACCCTTGGATAGCAGTTCTATAAGATCACTTTGAAGACGTAGTGCTGATCCGATTGTATGTGCTCCACTTAGAACATCATCGACATAGAAATCACTGTGCAATGCTTTGCACGCGATTGGAAAAATTGAAACTTCATCTAGTGCAAGTTGTTGGAGTGTTCGGGTTGCTAGATATGGAGCGCTTTTGGTTCCATAAGTGACTGTCTTTAGTTGAAAGACCTTAATTGGTTCAGAAGTGTGTGATCTCCACAAAATGGATTGAAGGCTGTGTTGAGAGGGATCGATTTGTATCTGACGATACATTTTCTCAATGTCAGCTGTGAAGACGTATTTATGCATTCTGAATCGGGAAATAATAGAAAATAGTTCATCTTGTACTCTGGGGCCATTCATTGAAACATCATTAAGTGAAAGACCAGTTGAAGATTTGGCAGAAGCGTCAAACACAACACGTAATTTTGTTGTGGTAGATGATTCCTTAATAACAGCATGGTGTGGAATAAAATATGATTGTGATAAATTTTTATGAGGCATGCTAGCTGAACTGAGTTCCCCAATACATTGCATGTGACCTAGCCTTTCATATTCACTCATAAAATCCCTGTAGTCATTGTACAACTTAAAGTTTTTGGCAAGTCTGTTTTCAAGAGTAGCAAACCGTTTGAAAGCGATTTGTTTGTTATCACCTAGATCGGAAACAGTATCCTTTAAAGGAATCTTTACGACGTATCTACCGCTTGTGTCGCGCATGGTTGTAGATTCATAATGTTCTTCACAAAGAAGATCCTCCCCAGTTAAAGTGGATTGAGATTGATAATCTTCTAATTCCCAGAAACGTTGAATATTACTGTTTAACAAGTCTAGAGATGATACAAAGTATGTATGATTGTCGTCAGAAACGTGTTTTCTTACTTCTACATTCCCTGTGACTAACCATCCTAATTTAGTTTCCCTAAGAGATGGACCATTGACTGATAACTGTATTGTTTTGTCACCAAGAACGTCCCAAAACGCTTGAGCCCCTAGGATCATGTCTATTTTTGATGGGTTATAATAATAAGGATCTGCAAGAGCGACATCAGGGGGAATCTGAGTTGAATGATTGAATAAAACACTCCCTGGTAACTTTTCTGTAAGTTTGGGAAGAATTAGAAAGTCCATTTGTGTAGTGAATTCAGAATTTCTAGAATTGACTGTAACATTTACGACATGATTGACAGAAGTTGTATTACAATTAATGCCTGTTATTGAAACTGAAGCCTGTCTTTTGTTTACTTGTAATCGCTTACAGAGTGATTCTGAAATGAAGTTTGATTGTGATCCACAATCAAGTAATGCCTTACATGAAACAATCTTACCTCTAGGACTGATGACATCAACAATAGCTGTAGAAAGGATAGTCTGAGTTGGTCTGCTAGAGGATTGATCATTGGCTGATGCGCCTACAGAAATAACCTGTTTATTATCCCCAGTGAATAACTGTTTGTTATCTGAGTGTGGTTGACTGTTCTTACCACAACTGTCTTTAGGAATTGATACTGACTTAAGGCAAAGTAAAGTGTTGTGTCTTCTTCCACAAGATTTGCAAACACTCTTACTTTTACACTGATTAGTTTTGTGAAATTTCAGACAGTTGTTACACAAATTTAAGCTTCTTACCTTGTTTATTCTATCAGGTATTGCTAGGTTGTGAAATTGTTCACATTGAAATAAAAAATGTGAGGACTGGCACAGTTCACATTTAGGTTCTGAAGATGACAAGCATGGCTGTCGTGATGACCATGACTTGTTTTGAAACCCAGAAGCAGAAGTAGGTTTATGTTTGACAAAGTTAACATCATTATGTTTAGGCAGTGGAGCAACTAAAGGCTTACTGTTATTGTAATGAATAGAGTCAAGTATATGAAACCTATGATTTAAGAAACCATTTAGGTCTTGCATTGTTGGAAAGCTATTAGGCTTAAGATTATCTTGCCAATTCCTGAATGTGACAGGATCAAATTTGGAAGAAATCAAATGAATAAGTAGAGTATCCCATTTGTCAGTGGGTTCTCCAAGTGCATTCAATGCACGAATGTGCTTGTTGGAACTGTTGATCAGCTCTCTTAAAGATTGGACAGATTCTTTTTCTAACTTTGGTAGATTGAACAGAGAGTGAACATGTTTTTGAACTATTAATGTTTTGTTGTTATACCTCTCTTGAATGAGGTTCCAAGCTACTGCATAGTTAGTGGAAGTTAACTCCAAAGATGAAATTACGTCAAAAGCTTCCTTTTTCAAACAAGATTTAAGGTAGTGCAATTTTTCAACGTCTGTTAGAGATTCATTGTTATGGATCATCACCGAAAACATATCAGAAAACGGAAACCAATCGTCAAAAGATCCATCAAAGGATGGTAGATTTAATACCGGTAGGTTTAGTTTAGGCCCTGAAACCTTGTCTGAAGTTTTCATTTGAATTGAAGTATTCTGATTGTTCGTAGTGAATGATTTGGCCTTACCTATTATTTTGTAGTATGCCGATTCAAAGGTTTCCCTTTCTACCTGTTGGGCATCCTCGTCATCCTCCAGTTCGATCTCCTGTTGGATGAGGTCGAATTTGTCAAGAAGTGTCTCTGCCTTGGGAAGCCTGACGCATAGTTCGTTAAAAAATCCGGGAGAATCAATGGAATTTTCCAAGAAATGTTCAAATCTTGTTAATTGTGCCTTGATTGTGCTTCTTTTCTTTATTAATGCGTCCATTTTGTCTTGGAAAAGTGCTAGTTGCAAGCTCTGTAATTTTGTCAGTTTGTTGATTGAAAAATGAAAAAAAATACTTTACTGAAAATAATAAAAACTGTAATGAATCATACTGGATTAATATCCGGCTCGAAGGACCAAAATGTAAAGTGAAATTGAAATTAATTGTAAAATAAAAGATAGAAAATATCTAGTACATGTTTATTGAAAGTAGCAGTGGACTGTAATAATTATAAGTTTGTTTTTAAAATATGTAAAAACAAACAAAACATATGATTTGAATCACACATTGATAAATATAGTCTTTTTGAGAAATAATTGTATATAGGCTATGTAAATTATGTGTTTTTACACACCCATCATGGGCTGACGTCACTCAGATCGCAAACAGAAAATCACCCAATTGCTATATGAGTATATATTTTTTTTATTTGATTGTTATTGTTTTTATAACTTTTTCTAAAGAGTGAAATTTTGTAATGCAATCTGGGTGACGTCACCATATGGCGGGAATATCACTCCTGTGTTTTTTCCTTACACCATGGTTAGAGAGATAGAGTATCTATTAGGCTTATAGTTTATGGATGATCACTCTTCAGTTCTGAATTTATAATAGAACAATAGCTTTCACATATTACCCTCACTTAGCACAACAGCGACCCTTCTTTTGAACGAAGCAGTTCACAGTTGTACCGGAGAAGAAGTCGATCAGCGCACCAATCTGACTTCCCATTCGCTGCAATCTGCACAGGCCACTGTATAGTATAGTCAATGATAGTATTCAAAAAGTGTGTTAGTTATGATATTGTAGCTGGAAAGGAGTTCTGGAGCGTGTTCCTCTGTGCACAACAAGATCAATATTGCGGAGAAGTTCAGTGCAGTCAATAAGGGCATTAGTTTGAAAGGGGTAGCGGATTTTTATCCCCCTGGAATTTTACCCCCTGGGCGAATGCGACATCACAAACCAGGGGGTAAAATTCCGGCCGCGAACTTTTGAGTTTCACGACATCAGTTTGAAGGATTAAACGCAGAATTATAAACGTATATTTTCACGGTTGTGAATTTAATCAGAATACATCAAATTATAAAAACCTAGAGTGTACGGGCCGGAATTTTACCCCCTTCATGAGGTCAGCTCAAAATGTACGGCCCGGATTTTTACCCCCGGAATTTTACCCCCGGATTTTTACCCCCCAGAATTTTACCCCCTGGACAGATATATAAATAAGTGAGAATGGTTAATTATCTTCTTTCAGTTTTAATTTAATAGTAAACATTTTATTATTAAGTAGCCTGTCTTAATTTATTTGTAACATCAACTAATCGGACAGGTTTTTTATTTTAATTTTGAGATTCGAGTATCAGGATTCGATCTTTGAACCAACTGTTGGTTTATATGACGTATAAACAAACATCTGAATCCTGAAGGGTAATTGTTTTGAAGATTTCTTTAACGATTTATTATACAACCGTGGTAAAATAATGTTTTTGTTTTGTGTTATTGTACTGTACTACAGAAACGAAATACATTGTGTTTCACGGTGGTACGAAATCCTTTAAGAAATGTTCACTCAATTATCATTTAAATGAGCTACCTAACTTATTAACCAACAGTTGGCCCCAAAAACGCAAATCCTGAACATCAAAATTAAACAGCGAATTATGTTTACTTAATTGAGATTACAAAATAAATAAAGATAGGCTACTTAATAATAAAATTCTTACAATTAAATAAAAACAGAAAGGTAAATCATTCTTAATAATTTCTATATCCGGCCAGGGGGTAAAATTCCGAGGGGTAAAATCATGGGGGTAAAAATCCGGCCCGTACATCTTCAGTTATCTAAACGCTAGTTAGATGGACAGGGGATAAAATTCCGGTTTTTATTGCTAATCTAATTAATCACGCTCTGTCTATTTTCATTAGACTTCCAAATCCGCGGGGGTAAAATTCCGCCCGCGAACAAACTTTTGAGCGCTCAGGTTAACTTACGTCGTAGTGACGTCAGCTTTGCCCAGGGGGGTAAAATTCCGGCGACCCGTTTGAAAAGGAAATAGCATCAAAGGTCATACGTCTTACATTATGTATAGTGGTTCGATAAGAAGCTGCACCTCAAGCTTACGGATAGGTGCGTCCCGGTATCCGAAGCCTAGGTACAAGCATCCTAATGAAGCGTTCTTGTGTTCTTGCAAGCATCTGGTTATGACCAACTTGAACTTGATACGGAGACCATATAACAGACCCATATTCCAAGATGGGGCGAACCAACGACTTGCACAGGGACATGATGGGTAATTGGTGACTTGAAGTTCTTCGTCGTAGACCTGTATATAAATCCTGAGAGCTTAAACGGGCTATGATTTGGCGTCATAATGATGCCCAAGTCCTTCACTCTGTCTACTTTTGGGTAGAATAACGCGATTTAAACAGCAGTCAAAGCTGAGGTTTCTAGTCCCACGCTTGAAAGACATAACTTGACATTTTGCCGTGTTTAGATTCATGCCGTTATTCATGCACCAGTCACCAATGCTATTAAGGGATTTCTGAAGACTATCCTGATCTAACACAGAACGTACCTGCACAACAATTTTAAGTCATCAGCATCAGCAAACATAAAGTTGCGATGAATAATCTTGCCAATCTCATTTATTAACAGCTTAAAAAGAAACTAGGAATAGGAGCCAAATGTGAATCCTGTGGAACTCCAGATTTAAACAAGAAGAATGGCCCCGGTCCCAGACCCTAGTTCCATGAATAATGATGGGAGTGGAAAAAATCTAAAAAGTTTGAAGGAAGTCCTCAAACAAGTCAGTTTTTAGTCTTCTCAGCAGAACTATCAGGTTACTGCAATTAAAATATGTAGAGTTCCCTTGCCGTAAAGTATTCCATTTCTGTTATTTAACCTACGCTTCGATGACGACTGCAAAGCATGTGCATGATGTTTGCCGTAAGCTGTCCAATTGACCGGAACCAATATGTTTTCTTTCGTCTTTCTCTTACGAAAAAAATGAACGCCATATGGGCCATGGGCCATATGGCAATGATGAATAAAATGTGTGTTTTGTTGTGGTTGATCTTTCGATTTTGATTGTAATGTAATGAAAAGTTAAACGTCAATATTTCAATTCTAAAGAGCAATTCGATTCTTAAAATTAATAACAATTATGTTTAATGTAGAATCAGGTAAGTCATTTAATGTTGATTCAGGCATATAACACTCTGAATCATTTACTTACTCGTTCAGTGGCTCAGAGTACTGGTTGTGGTTGAATTGTTTCCCATTCTCGTCATTATTCATTAACCTCTTTTATCAATGAACGAATGAACTACTCAAGAGTTATGTACTTATAAGTTTGAAGTATTGGTCGTCTTTCGACTAACTGTTAGTAAATAGGTCTATACAAGCCACAGGCAATCAAATTAAATTCAGTAGGCCTACTTTAAATCTGCAGCCATGTCGAGAGTCTAGCCCACCAAAGCTTAGGCTAAAATGTCAATATAGACCACTTTGAAAGTTAAAATACACAAGTGACCAGTATTATTATGTTTTTGTCTTCTGTAGGCCTAATATGAAAATAGCCTACCTTAGCCATTTCCTAGTTAAGTTACTATTAAAGGCTTCACTTTAGTTTCCATCCTACATTTAACTAACTTACTTACCAGCTGATGAAACTGTTCTAAACTAAACCACCTTAACCAAACATGCAGTATATGTGAGTAAATAAATGTAGGACAGAAACTAAAGTGCAGCCCTATTAAGTTAATGTCCACTTTCTGTTAGAAAACGCTTAACTTAACTTGGGCTAAGTTATAAGGTCAATAACTTAGCCGGCAAAACTGTTAGGCTATCTGACATGATTCTGGCTGGTTTGTATTGAATACAAACTAGCTTAACTAACCATTAAAAGCCTCTTTCTGTGGTTGAGTCCAAATTTTACATGATTCATGGTTTGTTTATCATTAATTTCAATGAAACAGCCCTAGGCACTTAGATAGCGAGAGAAATAAATATTTTGAATCCAAGCCTAAATACCTATTTAATAAAAACCTAACCTAACTAACCAAACGATATATCGAATTAAAACATACATTAATTAAACATTTAAATAAACATTTGAATAATCAATATTACTCATTCTGTTGTTTGTGCCAACAGATATGGAAGTGTACCCTAGAAATGGGTGAGTTGAGGATAAATTTGTTCAAAATAGTTGCTTTTAACCTAAATATCATTACGGTATCTTTTAGCCTATCACATGAATTGGATGATTTAATAGGCCTAGTTTGTACTAAGTAGGCCTAGTCCACAATGTGCCCTGTATTAAGACCCGAGGCTAGTGGCCCCAATTTAACCGAGTTATTCTAGTCTGTCTAAATGATTTCAGATTTTGGTAGTGATATTTTTTGAAAACGAGATGGGCCTACAAGCAGCTGTACAAGCATTAAAGTGAGTATCCATGTACAATTTTTCTCTAACTCTCATCATTTGAAAGAATTTTTCATTAAGATAAGTTAAAATAATTTGATAATATCTATGCTTACAAGATAAAGTGTAATAATTTGAAGGAACTTCTCTTAACCCTTCCCTCAGAGCGTATATATACGGTGAATGCTATTCAGTTGCGAGCGTTGGACGTTTGTAATGCAACTCTTCAATCTGAATGTATCAAGTGTACGATGTATATATACGTCGAAACATGTTAACTTTATTTAAGTATGGTATTTTTAATTTGTTTCTTGGCTGTCAACAGTTAGGCCTACCTTAGGCCATTTAATCAATAGGCCTATTATTGTTGTGATAACTGTTTTTATTTTTTGTGGTAAATTTCTGATTGATGGGTTGGCATCACTGATCTCATAACATCTGTTGCTTACAAACCGGCCGCTAAGTCATCCTCATGTTATTGTTTCATGCAGACAGTCTGTTTACATGTTCTTGAGTGAATTAAATCTAGTAAGATAAAATTAGTGGAATTTTCAGTGCTTTAGAATGTGTTGTGTTGTTATTAAATGACGTTCAAGATTAAATTGTCCAAATCAATATTTTTATTTTATTATGGTTAGAAGTCTGTTTTGTCTTTTGGTAATAATAAAGACGTCATATTGTTCTTGTCAGTTAAAAAAAATTTTTCCTAAACAAAATTTACAAGCGTTAGGCCCCTAGATGTATACCGTGTGTCTCAAAAGTCACACCCTCCCCCCCTGTTTGCAGGCAGTTTCAAATCACAGGCTAAACCCTGTCCGAGGTGACGGGGCAAGGGTAGCGACCCTGCTTGACCTTCTTTGCTAGGCACTCCCTTCAAAATAACAGCTCTGTTAGTTATCTCCCGGCCACGACACTTTCCAAATTGTAATAAACTTAAAGCTTATTATCTAATATATAAAATTCTCGTGTCACAGTGTTTGTCTGCAAACTCCTCCGGAACGACTTCACCGATCGTTATGAAATTTGGTGTGTAAATTCTGTAGGTATGCGAATCGGACGTAAACTATTTCCCGTTTCGAAATTCTTAAAAGGGCTCCGCCCCAGTGGCTCTGGAGTTTCCCATGTTAACCTTATGAGAAATGGAATTAATGAATCTTAACAGCTGTTTCAATTAAGCAAGTTGGTTCTGTTCTATGATGTTCAATAGCATTAAAGTTACAAGGATTACCAACAGGGTGCAGCACTATTATTTCTTTTACATTTATGACAACAGCTCATTTTCAACCAAAAGGTGAGTGAGCGTAGCGAACGAACTTCAACCTGGAGGCGAGTGAGCGTAGCGAACGAGCTAACCTGAAGGCAAGTGAGCGCAGCGAACGAGCTCCAACCTAAAGGTGAGTGAGCGTAGCGAACGAGCTCCAACCCAAAGGTGAGTGAGCGTAGCGAACGAACTTCAACCAGGACGTGATTGAGCGATGCGAACGAGATCATCTTGAAAATTAAACGTAACGGTACTTTCTTTCCATCGGTCTGTCTTAGGGGAAACCTATAACTTAGGCGATACGAAGTTCGCCGGGTCAGCTAGTATACTTATAAGAGAAGCACTAAAGGTAGTTTGTGTGTTATTAATTATTTTTGGTATAAAAAAGTAATTTATTACCTACCCGAAAAAGGGTTCGATCAGATGAATATAAGGTAGGCCTAGAAATGATTTTGTTTTATAATGAGTCAAGAGAAATGTACATGAGGCTGAACGTTTTATTAAACAATGCACATTCAGATAGGCCAACTGACAGAACATACATTCGTCATATGCAATTAAAAAATGTTCAACCACACTTAGTATCAAAGATGCCCCAAGATCAGCCCTTCCGTCAGGTAATAAGTTATGCAAGTTGACGATTCAACCAATTTTGCAGCCTACCCACGTCCCTCATCGGACTCTTTGTTCAACTGCATATGAATTAGGAATTTCAAAAGATTCTGTTCATCGCATATTAAAACGACTTATCATCCTTATAAAGTTCAACTTCACAAGGAAATAAATTAGGACGATCCTGGCGGAAGAATTCAATTTTGTGAGACCATATTGCAAAACAGTGGATTGAGGAAAATGTTAATTTGATTTTTCTGCTATGCTTTAGTGACGAAGCTTCATTTTCGTTACATGGGACGGTTAATCGTCACGAGAACCATTACTGGACAAATGTAGGCCTTATTCCACACTGGGTAATTGAAGCCCACACACAACAGCCACAAAGAATTAATGTTTGGCCCGGGATTTAAGGGAACTCTTTTGTTAGTCCTTTTTATTGATGGCAAATTAAATTAATACAAATACTTGGAATTATTACAAAATTACATTATCCCAGCTACACCAAAAACATCCTTTATTGACTATATAACGATTCCCTGAATATTATAATTTTATCTATATTAATAACAAAAATAACAGGGGGTGGGACTTTTAAGACACACGGTATATCAATGTATCAATGCATTCCCTAGTGAGAGTTGGACGTATATACAGTTATGATCATAAATAAAACTTGTAAAAAAAATATTTTTGATAAAATGGGTGTCTTGTAATAAATTTTAAACATCAGATAGAAGTGGAAAAAACATCAAAATTTTAAAATAAATATTTTTACCCCAACCAAATTATTGATCACCTAGAGTCGGGACCACGTAAGTTTGCAGTTGAGGGAGGAGCCTATTTACCATATGGTGTAGAATGAACCAATGAGAACCGTTCGGTGTTGCCAAATCTAATAATACCAGCTGAGTTGAAAATAATGCTTAGTATATTTTAATTAGTGTTGTCAACGGGTGATGTGGCAACGTCACACTAGCCTTGTCTTGTGATTGGCTGCCACCAACTGCAAACTTACGTGGTCCCGACTCTAATGTGTAGAGCATTGTCCTGCAGCCACCGTTTAAGGAGGGTTAAAAGACAACAATGTCTCATTTTTGCTACCACTTACTAATTTTGAAGGGATAAAAAATATTTTGCATTATAAAACTGTTCTGATATTCTACCTTGACTTGGCTGGAATCAAGTTTTGGTTTATTTATTAATTATTTTACATATTCTTTATATTTATTTTTTCTAAGCTTTTTCACTGTAATTTTCTTTTTATGTTAAAATGTAGTTTTATGGTAGGCTGCTATGCATGTGTCAAAACAGTTTATGAATTGTTTGATGTAAGATACACAGCCTATTTTAGTAAATCTTTTAGCAAGCTTTGAATAATCTTATTTGTAATCGATTTTCGATTGATTGATCAAAAAGTGATAGGCCTACATAGTTGTTGGTAATGTTCATATGTTAAATAACATAGCCTATGTTCTTTAATTGTATTGTTTTTGTTGTTTATTTATGTTTTGATTCTGTTTTGTCTTGAATTGTGATGAAGAAAGTTTTATGATATTAAAGTACAATATTAAATTAGTTTTATGAAAACTGTGTTACTTTATATAAGTAAAGTTATCAACACGGTGTCAGGTATGCAACTTTGAGAATATGAATAATATACAACCTCCTGAACCATTTGATTTTACTGAAAAACGTGATGCAACAGAAAACTGGAAGTTATTCAAATGCCAATGGAAGAATTATGTTACTTTGGCAGAAGCTTTCAGCTCAAAGTCAACAAACTTGTCGAATAAGAAGATTCGGCTTGCGCTATTCCTTTCAGTAATAGGAGGTAAGGCTGTAAGATTAATAAACAAGCTATGCAATAAACCATCTGATGTGGATGAAATTATCTCAAGACTGGATGAATATTTTCAGGAAGCAAAGAATGTTACTTACGAACGATACAATTTCAATAGTGCCAAACAAGATGCTCAAGAATCTTGCAAGGATTACATTAACCGACTTCATGAACTTGTTGGTAAATGTGATTTTGAAGCCTTGGCTAATCTTTCAAAAAAGGAGATTGAGGAGCAGCTGATATGCGATCGTTTGGTCGCTGGGATTGCTAATGTTCAGTTACGGAAACGGTTATTGACTAAATCAGATTTGAGCCTAAACAAAGCCACACAGTTGTGTATTGCTGATGAGCACTCAGAGAGCTTAGCATTGAAAATTAATTCTAGGAACACAGAAGAAGGTTTAGAGGAGAATAAAGACAATAGTTTTAGAGTTGAAAAAGACACTAACATGCGGACTTGCAAATTTTGTGGCAAGAATCATATTTGGGGTGCCAAGAACTGTGCTGCATATGGAAAAGTATGTAGTAAGTGTAAACAAAAGAATCATTTTGCAAATGTGTGCAAGCAAAATATACGCAAGGTTTGTCATGTTGAAGCGGCTAGTAGACCTAAGGATGACACATCCGCATATGAAGATCGTTCGAACTCGGATGATGACATATACCATGTCAAAGAAGAAATACCGAAGAAACGCTTATTCATTGATCTCCCACTCTGCATGAAAGACAGTGAACCTTTTATCAAATGCCAACTAGACAGTGGATCATCATGCAACGTCATTGGCTACGAGACGCTAAAGAAGTTAGTGGGAATCCCAAGATTGAAGGAGAGCAGTACAAGACTTACTTTCTATGGCGGTGAATCTCAGTTTTCCCTTGGAAAAGTCCAGTTGAATGTTAAGTGGAAAAATAAGAAACACAAATTGATTTTTGAGGTCATCGAGACACCTCACAATCCACTACTTGGTGCGCAAGATTGTATTAACCTTGGTTTGATTTCATTTGATGAATTGGTCTATCAAATCCAAAGTTGTAAAGTCTCCGAGAAAATGCTATCTTCTTTTCCAGATATTGGAAATGGTTTAGGGTGTTTTGAAGGACACTGTGAATTTAAGCTAGATACATCAGTACGTCCGATTGTCGTTCCTCCACAGCGATATCCTGTGGCTCTAAAGAAAGAGATACAAGATGAAATAAAACGTTTGGAAGATCTGCAAGTGATAAAAAAAGTGACAGAGCCTACCGATTGGGTTAGTGCCATGGTAGTTGTGAAGAAACCAAACAAATTACGAATATGCATTGATCCTCATCAACTCAATAAAGCAATAAAACGCCCGAACTACCAAGCACTGACTATCGAAGAGATTGCTCCCCAGTTGAGTAAAGCCAAAATATTCAGCAAACTAGATCTCAAAGACGGATTTTGGCATGTCAAATTGACAGAAGATTCTAGTAAATTAACAACATTTTGGACACCGTATGGAAGATACCCATGGTTAAGGCTACCTTTTGGTATATGTTCCGCTCCAGAAGATTTCCAGGGGCGTGTGAATGAACAGTTTGAAGATCTGGAAGGGGTCATAGTAATAGCAGATGATGTTGTTGTGTTTGGCAGTGGAGATACTGAAGAAGAAGCTCGCATTGACCATAACAATAATTTAAAATCACTACTTCAAAGGGCTCATGAGAAAAATGTTAAGTTTAACTTATCAAAATGTATGATTGGTATGAAGGAAATTAAATATATGGGTCATGTAGTTAGTGCAGATGGATTGAAGCCTGACCCCGAAAAGATTTCAACAATAAGAAATATGAAAGCACGACAAAACAAAGAAGAACTGCAAAGATTTCTAGGATTCGTGAATTATTTGGGAAAATTTGTTCCTAAACTCTCAGATGTATCAGCACCATTACGATCACTGTTGAAGGAAGGTAATTTGTGGATATGGGAAAAAACTCATGATGAAACATTTAAAAAGCTAGTCCATTTGGTAACATCATCTCCAACCTTAAAATACTTTGACATAGAAAAGCCAGCAACTGTGCAGTGTGATGCTAGCCAATTTGGATTGGGAGCTTCCCTGATGCAAGATGGTAAGCCAGTGGCATACATTTCCAGGACTCTTAGTAAGGCAGAATCGTCATATGCACAAATTGAAAAAGAATGCTTGGCAGTAGTTTATGCTCTTGAACGATTTGAACAGTAATTGTTTGGAAAACATGATATAACAGTTGAAACTGATCATAAACCATTAGAGACCATCTTCAAAAAACCATTGAATTCGGCCCCAAAGCGGTTGCAGCGAATGCTTCTCAGACTGCAAAGATTTAATTTCAATATAATATATAGACCAGGAAGAACAATGTTCATCGCAGACTTTTTGTCTCGAACACCCATTACAGGAGATAAATCACATGAAGATAAAAGTATTCAAATCTTTTCAACAGACAGTCTAAAGTGTTTTGAAAACTCCAGTTCAAGAATGTACTTAAACGTGACAGACGAAAGACTAGACCTGATTAAGAATATCAACAAATCAGATCCAACTATGAAAAGACTAATTAACACGATTTACAATTGGTGGCCTATAAGTAGCAAGCAACTATCCGAGGATCTCAGACAATATTGGCCATTTCGTGATGAACTAAGTGTGGAGGATGGGATCGTTCTCAAAGGAGAAAGAATTGTGATTCCAGTTTCATTACGAAAAGAATTAATTCACATAATACATTCCTCTCATCAGGGATCAGATGCATGTATCAGACGTGCACGAGATGTGTTTTTCTGGCCCTGTTTGAGTAGAGACATAAAAAATGATATAAGTTCCTGCAAGATATGCAAAATGTATGCACCAGACCAACGAAGAGAACCTTTGATACTTGAGAAAACTCCGGAGAGACCCTGGCAAAAAGTAGCCATTGATTTTGCCCAGGAAGGTTCGATTCACTATTTGATTGTCTGTGACTATTTTTCGTCATTTTTTGAAGTGAAAAAGGTAACAAAATGCACAAGTGAAACCCTGATAACATTTTGCAAAGAACTGTTTGCAAGGTATGGAATACCAGAGGTGGTTGTTTCAGACAGTGGAACGCCCCTCATGGCTCAAAATTTTCACGGTTTTGCTAAAAATTGGAATTTTAAGATAGTTCTATCCCCACCGTACCATCACCAAGCAAACGGTAAAGCAGAGTCGGCAGTAAAAGTTTTCAAGAATCTTTTGAAGAAATCGCGTCAAGATGGAGTGGACTTCCAACAAGCGTTATTAGAACTTAGGAACACCCCATTGCAAGGAATTGGCTTTAGCCCCGCTCAACTCCTCATGAACCGAAGAAAACAAAAAAGCAAACTGCCAATAAATAAGAGCTTACTGAAGCCACAAGTTCCAAAAAATGTTCAGAATCTATGGGAACGTAAAAAGAGACAGTACAAAAGTCAGTATGACCATGGAACCACAGAGCTGCCTCCATTATCGATTGGCCAAAGCGTGTGGGAAGAACGCGACTGAAAGAACTGAAGAATGCGACATGGCTTGAGGGTAAAGTTGTTCAAAAGGAAGGGAGGAGAAAGTACATTGTGCGCGTAGAAGGAAAAGACTACATTCGAAATAGACAATATTTAAGAACTTAAAAACATTTTGGAAAAAGGAAGATGTTGGTAATGTTCATATGTTAAATAACATATGTTCTTTAATTGTATTGTTTTTGTTGTTTATTTATGTTTTGATTCTGTTTTGTCTTGAATTGTGATGAAGAAAGTTTTATGATATTAAAGTACAATATTAAATTAGTTTTATGAACTGTGTTACTTTATATAAGTAAAGTTATCAACAATAGTAGAATCAGAATCAGAATCAAAATACTTTATTCTTGAACATAGAGTACAGCATAGGCGTCAAACATTACAGAGATTTTATTATAAAATAGCATAAAGTTGTTGGGCTTTGAGGCGCTGTCAGTAGTGATGGTTATTACTATGAGGGTTGTTTAGTCCTCACTGGAACATCAGTGAAGTTCTCCAGTTCATGACCTCCTCAAATGTGTAGAATGGTCTCTCCACAAGCCTCACATAGTTATAAAAAAAAAAAAAACACTAACCTATGTGTGTTTTAGAAAAGCTGATCGACTGAAAGAGAAGGTCATAAATTGTGAAGACATACTAAACGACAACGAAGCTTGGCTTTGTCAGCAGCAGTTGCAGGTAGGTACCAAAATAATTTATTTTCAAACACTGAAAAGTTGGTTGTTATTTTACTTAACCTATCTAGAAACTAAAACCTCATCTATGTTTTTTGGCCTCATCAACACTACCATTCTTCGATCTTGCTTCTAGTTGATTATAGCTTGCATTCTGTGAGGTCTTTTATAATTTGGTCCTTTCAGAACAGTATTTTAGTCTTTCTCAAGATAAACTTATTTCATCTTTCAAGACCTTGTAAAGACTTGTAATCTGCATTTATCGTTATCCTAGTAGTGTTGTCTAATTTCAGTCAGCATCTTAATAAAACATTACTTGGTACTTTTAAGTTGTTATTCATATCTAAGTTGTTCATATGTTGGCCTATGACAGTCAATTCTGTGCTTTTTATATATGGCCTTACTTTTATTTTGCTGAGGTTAATTAAGAACAAAATCATCATCAGTACTCATTTATTAAGTTTGCCATTTTTTATGGTTAGCAAAAATGTAGCCTATGACTGTTTTCCAGGAAATTTATCAACAAGTGCTCATTCTAGACTTAGAATATGCTTTGGACAAAAAAGTTGAACAAGACCTGTGGAGTCATGGATTCAAGAAGTATATTGCAACTTTACAAGCTCTCGCTAAGGACAAAAAGGTAATGAACTGCATAAAGCCATTTATTTGGTTACTTTACAAATATTTTATTAGGAATAGTATAGAACCACAATCAATAATTACAGGATTTTCACAAACAGGAAAACCCTGCTAATATGGCATCCAATAATGAGATTCAATAATCTGGCATTATTTGAAGTTGTTCTAAAGTGAATAAGCTCCCAGGCGCGTTCAGGCTTGTGCGTTAAGAGTTTGCTGGCAAGTGTCTCAGTTCTAGCCTGCTCGGTAAAAATGGTGTGATACATATTTTTTTTAATTCTCTAATTATTTTATTGGTAAATGCCAAACGGCTATTATAAGATGACACACAGTAATTAGTACTGCCTGGTACTGCCAAAGTCCAAAATACTTTGTCCAGCGCCAAGTGTGTTAAAAAGACTGTAAAGGGAAGATATCTAAAACGATTGAATGTAGTAAAACTAAAAATATTGTTTTGCAAATGTGTTTAAAATGAAAAACTGTTCCTCCTCTGCGCGTATGTTACATTTTGTTATTTGGGCAGTAAAAAGTGTTTCGTAGGCAATCAATACCCTCCACCCTCTAAAAAAACCTATTTATTAAAAAAAATCACATCTTGCAAAAATTTGGTCCGAGAAATTTTTTGGGACAGAAATTGGTCAGGGAAATCAAATAAGAAAATGTTGGAATCCTGAACTGTGTCATACATGTAGGCTCTAATGCCTATATTATAATTAGTGTGTAAACAAGATAAATGCCTAAGTGAATGGCCAGCGATGCAGATATTCTGATGCATTATCTTGAGCAAGCACGAGTCATAAGATAACAAGACTGTTAGTGCAAGTGAATTGTCTAGCTTATTGTGCTTTACTAATATCTTTAACACTTGAAAGTCCCTTAGTCGTAGGTGACTAAATGTGAGTATATTTAAAATATATATATTTTTTTAGCTGCAGATTCTTGCTTTGTTATTCGGTTGTTTGGTAAATAATTCACATAATTAAATAGGCCTAGGCCTATTTAAATTTCTAAATGAATATAAAAATAGCCTAGTAAGAGACTGATATTTACTTTTAGCAACACAGATTTGTTTCAAATGTCATACTTAAACTCTTGAACTACCTGGAGTGCAAAAAGGTGTTGAACTCTCAAACTTGGGTTTTCTTGACAGAACCAAAAGCGTCGTGAGTCCCAAGCACTGCTGACGTCCTGCCTGGACACAGCCAGCGGGTTCTACCTGGCGCTACTACAAGAGCTGTGCACCACGTTTGACCTGGACTTGCCTTTCCGGCGCAAGGACGTGACCCCTGGTGTGTGCAGACGACCCGGCGCCAAGCCACAGTCTCAGCCGCATCGCAACTCCTGCTACTACATCTGTCAGCACTGTCTGGTGCATCTGGGGGACATTGCTAGGTACAGGAATAACAGTCGACAGGCCGAGGTCTTCTACAGGTAGGTAGTGATTGTACTTCTGTGACAGTCTTTAGTAATCACCTAGTGTTATTATTTTAGCTTGATTTGTAAAAAAAGCCGGCTGGGTTATTGAGGAGTCTTTTTGGGAAGAAATAGATTTCAACTAGCTTACCTAAAAAACTTAAAGTTAAGATGGGCTTAAAGATAGACAATACAATCGAGGGCATTGATGAGAAATTACTATTTTTCTTTTATACTAGGTTAGACTTGATTTTCAAGGAAAAATCATTGACTTTTGGACACTAAATGAGACAACCCATCTATATGGACCAGATGACAATTTATAGCTTAAAAAAGAACATAGGTAGTAGAATTTGCTACATATTTTGTCCTGTGATATAACTGATGAGACGTAAACTATGCTAAAATAAGTTGTCCTTTAAGATTGTCGTTATTAAAAATTAAAAGCGTATTTGACAGAAATCTGTAATTTTCATCAACACACTTTGTTGGTGGCTCCGTTGAGATTTTAATTTCGATAATATTTAAGGCCTAATTTGAATTTCATTGACTCTATAAAATAAAAACATTCATTTCAATTATTAAACTGGCAACAACTTTAATAAGTATATTATGGAATTTTTAGTTCTATCCATAGTCAAAGATAATATCTCCATTAAGCTTTTAAGGAAAGGATGGATTTCAATTAACATATGCCAATGGGCTCTTATAGATAGACTAAACAAAAGCAGATTGATGAGAAATAACATATAATTTCTCCTCAATACATTTTAGGCTTTGATTTGAAGGACAATGCAAGTCATGTTTTAAAGGATTTTTAGGAAAGGAAGAGTTTATCCAGCTTAACTAAAAAACCAGCTTCCGGGTGTTTTAGGCCGCATCCACATGAGGAGAGTTAGTAGGCAGGCAGGTTACCTGCCTCCGGTACATTGATTGAGGCAAGCAGGTTACCTGCCTCCGGTACATTGACTGAGGCAGGCGTCCTGCTCCTGCCTGCCTAACTTGCCTCGTGTAAACACGTCTTTAGAGATAAGGCTTACACTATAAATATACGAAACAACACTGATATTCTGTTTAGGCGCATCATTTTTCTCTAAAAGGTTAAATCTACATTGTCAAATCATATTTTGGAAGTTTATAAGCTATGTTGATTGCTGACTACGTGATCCGGCCATTCATATGATACAGCATTTTACTCAATGTTTACACTTCCCAAAGCTAATCCCAAGTGTCATCTTCAAATCAGAAGAAATGTATGAGCATTTCACAGATTGAACAGATTGAAAGTGGTTGCATACATTAAAACATACACATTGACTCGGCAAGCATTTTGTGTGATTATAACTATATGTTGATGGACAGACATGCAGTACAGTTGAGTCCGACTAGTGGTCAACCATACAACCAGTTGGCACTACTGGAGGCTAGCCGCGGAGACAGACTCAGCACAGTGTTCCACTACATGCGCAGCATTGCTGTCAGACACATGTTCCCTGCGGCCTCGTCCAACCTGGCTCTCACACTGGAGAAATGCGCCACACATCAGTGAGTTCCTGACATCTGTGGATAAGGGACATACTATTCTGAAACATCTTATTTTGTTACATTTTAAGGATTTTATGTCAGTTGTGTAATAAAAGTCTAACGACATGATGATTCAGGAAGAATTTCCATAGTTAAACTAGAGATGTGTCTGTATTTTTCAAGGTGGGTACCGGCCTTCATTTCTTGCCCTGATACACACTTCATTAACCAGTATTCTTAGTACATAACTAAGTAGTACTACTTCTTCAAAAGTCAAGTTTCTAACATTTTTCAAGATGCATTCATGTGGGAAAAAATATTGTCCAAGTCCAAATAGGTGTCCAATTTTTAAATTTTTATTTAAGAACAAATTTATGATTGCAATTCAAACAATTAGGACCAAGTAATTTCAAAAGTAAGAATTGGAAAATTTTGAAATGAGATTTTAAATTTGAATAATCACAACCAATAGTTTATGGTCAAGCATCCATTTAAATGGTGTTCCATAGGTTCTCTTCCCTTCTCATTGTGTGATGCAAGTAAATTTTTGCAAGGAATAGAAATGTAATTGTGATAAACAAAGACGATGTTTCCATGATAGCTGGGGATTGTACTTTGCTGCGATTGACTTAGGCGTCCCTGAGATCACAACGAATTCTGACTGATTTTGCTGCGATCACTGTTGTAATGTTTTTGCAGTAATAAATTTTGGTTTAGGCACTTGACTAATGTGATTAAATAAACAATAAAAGAAAGTTGAAAGATTTATAAATCAGTTCTCCCTCTTCTGATTACTGCACCCACAATTCTCTTGATACTGGAGCACAAGACGTGTTGTTGGTACTAATAACTGGTACCAACATTTTAACGATGGTTCTTAGTTCTTGGTACCAGTACTCCTTGGAACCGTTGGTACAATGAATCACTTTAAGTACTGACACATTACTTTTTAAAACTAGCAGTTGATTATTACCTTTGTTGTTTTTTAGGTGGAATAAAGACACAGTGGCTACAAAACTGACCACAGTAGAATATCTATCGCTGTACCTGAAGCTGCACGCCTTCTTCCACTCCTGTCGGGAACTGGAGGTTTGCGGATCTTACGTTAAGACACTCACTGACACTCTTACACCTCATATTGCCACTCAGAGCTTCAACTCATGGAAACTTGTCCAGGTTTGGGTTGTTCTGTCATTTCAATATTTCAATAAAAGCTATTTACTATTGAGGTTTTTTGGACTAGGAATAGAATAAAGAGTTTAACAGATTGAGTGGGGACGACCAACAAAAACGTGACAAACCCGGTTCTGTTCCTGTTTTTAGACCAATTCTTGCCTCATATTTTTCTTGGTGTGCGTTTTTTCTCATCTTCCAAACAAACAAAACTTCCACAAATAACCACGACAGCGTTAGCATCCACTTCGCACACACTGACACAACTAGACCGTCACAGTGCTGTGAGGCAAGAGTAGGCTAATGTGCTGCGACAGCGAGCTTGTTTGATTGTCTGTGTGCAAAGCTGAGCATGTTCAATCATTTTTAGGCTTTACAATGTCTCATAAAAAAAAAATAATTAAAGAAATAAAATTATTAGCATTTGTCCACAGATGTTTACCATCAATGTGTTTGCGTACTATCACCCCTGCAGAGACGGGGAGACAGCCGGTGAGTTGACTCAGGATGAAGTGAAGATGCGTAGTTACGTTGTCGACTTGATAGCGGGCTCGCTCAACGCTTACTTGCTGCCTGTCTACACACTCAAACAGGACGAGACGCTACTTGACTACTTTGCTCTGCCAGTCAGTAAGTTGCTTTGCCTTCATCTCTTGTTAAGAAAATGTTGTTACCTCTTTTACCAATGTAACTAATAATCACTACCGGTACCCATAACTTCTAAGACAGGTTATGTTTTCGTTTATAACCTCTCATTGCTGCTGACAGAGATGCAACGAGTGACAACGACTCATTGTACCAATCACTAAATGCACCAATCTTTAACAATTAAATTGGTAAACAGCTGATTAGTTGAAGTTCTAAGTATTACAATTTTACTACTTCTCTCTTAATCCCTGAACCTGATTGGTCCGTTACCCGCGTTGTTAAGTAAAACTATGCTGTTATGTAAGTAAACAACGCTGTTATGTGAAACTAATTTTAAGAACTGAACTGAAACGGCGACTTTAAAAAACAGTCGTAGGTAAAAATTCTAAAATATTTAGTTTTGAAATCTACATGCATTTAAACTTTTTGAGTTGTCGTGTTGTGATGATTCATAACTGTTCTATGTTTTACAGTAAAGTTGACACTGGAGTGGGTGAGACTACAGCCTCATGTGTTGACAGAGGAAGGATTCAGCAAGAGACTACAGATCTGGCCCAGTCTCAGTAGACTGCTCAATGTGCTGCACTCGTCTCTCACGGGCTTTTCCGCTGAATCTTGTAAGCTTTTACATTTAGGATTAAGTAATCTGTTGTATTTTATAACTTAAAAATATGGTTAGGAGTTCCTATTATGGGGCCTATTGTTTTACTCAAGTAGAATAAATTTCTATTGTTAATGAGAAGTAAAATATTCCAGTAAATGGGTTGAAGCCAATCTTGAAATATCCTAATTGAAATTCGGCTAATTTACTAGATCCAGGGATTGAATCCAGATATCTATATTTAGTTTAACTCTCCATTTTTCCATGTTATCACAACCTGTTCATTCAGGAAATTTGATAGCATCGGAATAGGAATGTTCAAGTCTTCAAATGCATGAGAAACTCATGGATGTTGCTGTATTTGCATTTGTATACTGGCACACTCGTGGCACAATGGCATGAGATACTCATGCATGTTTCTAAAGAAATATATAGGATGGAGAGCACACAGCCAACTCACCTGATGAAAGGCTGCAGGCGAGTCAAAGAACACGTAACATGTATTTACACACACAAAATACTTGACATTTCACCTCTTCCAGAGGCTTCTTTAGAAGTAGATGACAGTTGCCAAGAAGCGCCTGAAAGAAACTAAATATCAAGTATTTTGTGTGTGTATATATTTTATCTGTTCTTTGACTCATCTGCAACCTTTCATCAGGTGAGTTGGCTGTGTGCTCTCCATCCTATAAACGTCTTTCATCCAAGCTAAATGTTTTTTCCTAACAACATAACCTTCATGTATGTTTCTGCAATTACAATAGGTTCTCACAGGTGTTGCTGAGATCACAATACTAATGGGTTTTCTGCAATCGCAAGAGAAAAGATGTTGACAAAAAGCTACTCTTACAGATTAGTGCAATGTCAAATCTTCATTAACAACTTTTGATACCACATTGGCAATTTAATGTTCTAGTTTTTTTTCATTCAAAGATTAAATTAAATGTTTTTGTCACTAAATTATAAAAGAATCATCTGCTAGTTAAGTTATGGTTTTTGTTAGGTATCCTGTAGTTATTTATTGTCAATATGTTAATTTTTGGTGATTCTTTACAGATGACAAGGTGCCTCTACCAGAAGACAGTGATTTACAAGGGTTTATGCCACTTGAGAAGGCATTTGCTGATCTAAAGTAAGTTCAAAATAACTTTCTGATCTTCAAGTTAGTATTATTTCTCTTATATCTATAACATATCACATTTATAATATTAGTAAGAACATATTACACCTTTCAATATACCTATGTTCAATTGATTGTGGTTCCATGTTTGCACACCACTGGTTTGGTAAGAGTGTGACGCCTTTGTTGTATGGGTTTAAGAAAAATTTCACACTTTTTACTACGTGATAATGTATGATTTGATTCATATCCCATCTAGCTTTAAGGTAATCCATTGATGCGTTTGGTGGTTTTTCTATAGAAACCTCATGTTTATCTGAAGTTTTCCATGTTTCAAGTCGTTAATGTTTTTAACATGGAGCAGCATAGATTTATTTTTAAGCTAAGTGTTATACATAAAACTCCGCCGTAATGTGATTGGTCAGTTTCAGCCTGAAAGAAGGCAGCGCTGTGTCCAGCAAGTTGAGAGCCGCTCGTCTTCTTCAGCTCGGAGAATGGCTCACTCAAAACACCCCTAACCTCATACAGGCTAAGTGAGTTCACATCTTTTACATTTACAACAATATTTCAAATCAAGAATGTTTGTTGAAATATCAGGCTTAACTGAATTAGAAAGTTATCGTGGCACACGTAACACTCGCAAACAATAGAATTTAAAAATTTCATCAGTTGAAAATGTTGTACATTACATTGAAGTATTGAAATATTTAATATTTGTGTATATTGTGAAGTTGTGTGTCAGGATGAACTATTTCCCATTCAGCATTGGAGCCTGCCATCCAAAAACAATATTGTAATGTATGCGTATGCTATCTCTTTTATAGCAATACTAACTATTATTGACACTTAAAACCATCTCATCTTTACTTAATATGAGGATGACACTGACATTAGACAAAGGTTCTGAAATAAGATACATATCATACATCATCAGATATATCAGATACACATATATTACAAATATTAAAATTAGTGATGGGCGGATCCAAGAAAATTTTGGTACTGGATCCGGATCTTGAAATAATCGGATCCGAAGATCCGGATTTTCGGATCCAGATCCATTTAAGTTGTTTTCTAAGAGCGTGTTTTTTTAAATAACTCATATAGCTAGGCAATTTCACAGTATATTTTTATGTCAAAAATTCATATGGCTTTGCTCGGATTTGACTAAACATTAAATTGATTAGATAATTTATTTAGATAAATTAAGGATATTTATTATGTACGGTAATTAATGTGAACAAATTGTAGATGATACAAAGATACATTTTTATACACCTTTTATAAATTTATAAACTGTAATACAAATAACCTGTATCAGCTGTTTTCATTAACTGCAGCTACAAAAAAGTATTGACGATAACATTAACACTTTAAGGGCTGTAGGGTGGAAACTAGATGTTTCCCAGCCTTGTGACCAACTCCAATAGGTTTCTCGTGGCCAAATACCCCATGATAAACAAAATTATTGAAAATCCTTGGATGAAAGTAAAAGTTTGTCTGTTCACTCGCTTGATTTAGACTACAGGATATACATAAGACTTTAGTATGAATCTGATATGAAATTGAGAACATCTTCTGTGGTCATGGCGAAATTGTGAATATCCCTTTTAGTGCAGAGGCATCATCATTGGCACCCCGCAACCACGGAAAAATCATCTGCTAATGCAATCATCAATTTACAGAAATCCGCTTATTCCTAATTTTCAATCATCCGAAAAAGGCTCGGTCCCATTTAGTTTGGTATAGCAGGACTTGACTGTACTTTTTTTAACTGGATATTTTTGCCAATTTTGGACAAGTTGAAATTGGCATCTTCAGCTGAATTTTTAATCTTACAGCATTTACTCCTTTTATCAAATCATTCATTTCTTACACATAATTAATTTAAGGGTGTAGCATAGAGCACAAGGGCCTAGATTTTTTAGGATTTTTTGAGAGGATAGCAGGCTTACCTGAATGGGAAAGAGTCCAAACTGGCACAGGAAACACAAAACAAAACTTTACACTATATACACAAAACATTAGAATATTTTACTGTCACTGACAGCATTTTCAACTAAGGAAGAGGAAGAGATAGTTTTCTAGATGTCCAAAATGGTGGCCAGTGAGTTGTTGAGTCAGTGTTGCCAATTGGCATAATCGTACTTGCCCCTCTGGCCAATTGGCAACACTGACTCAACAACTCACTGGCCACTATTTTGGACATCTAGAAAACTATCTCTTCCTCTTCCTTAGTTGAAAATGCTGTCAGTGACAGTGAAATATTCTAATGTTTTGTGTATATAGTGTAAAGTTTTGTTTTGTGTTTCCTGTGCCAGTTTGGACTCTTTCCCATTCAGGTAAGCCTGCTATCCTCTCAAAAAATCCTACATAATTAATTTAGATAGTTCAATCTTTAATCTCTTTTGTTATTTAATTAATTTTCACCCTAATTTATTCACCACTATAAAAGCTTCATGGTTCTAATACGCTGCTATACAATTTTAAAATACTCACAGAATACTTCTCGTGTCTATGCATGGTTACAAAAATAGATTTTTATTTTCAACCATTATTTTTCATCAGGATGAATGACGGTAAAGTAGTGTACGAGGCGGTCTGCGGAGTGACAGTGCTGCCGTCTAGTGAACTGATTCGTGAACTAGAGGAGTTGAGCCTCAACAAAGTGTCATCTCCGTCGCCTGCGCCCTCGGAGACGGCCAGTAGTCGTACCAGCAACACCACGCCTGATCTGCAACTTCACAACCCCTCACTGGATATACTGTCAGCCCTCGACACCGTGCAGGGTATGTTGATAAGCTCTTACAAAATATGGGTAGGGCAGGGTTTTTTGCACACTGTAGTGGTGCCCATGGTTTGTAGGTAACAACGGGAGGTTTTTTTGGTTTGATTGCCATAATGCAGTGGACATTAGTTAATTTTATGATGACTTATTTTTCATCTCTCATCCAATAGCTGTGCAGCTTTTTTATTTGACCATTTGCAATTACTTGAGTGAGCATGTTCTTGGATCGCAATCCATTATAAATTGGGTCTGACATTTATCAATACTTACAAACATTTTAAGATAACTAGGAAAGCAATCTTTGACATTTCTCAACTGTAGCGATATGATGAGACTAAATTCCAAAACCAACCATTTTTTTGCTGATTTCAGAAAAACGAGCTGGTATTTTGAAGCCTCAAGCAATAATTTCAGACGAGGGAGGAAATGTGAGTAAGAGTCGGTCTCGTCAAAATGTGGCGATGCAGGCGATTCTTCGGCGGTCACAGGAACAGGAAATCAAACAGGTGTGTAAATATTTCTTTGGTATATTTTTTTAATATTATATATTTGAATAACCCCTAAATCTTACTAATTAAATTTAAATATGCACAGCTTTCAACCAGATATTAACTGTCCCTCATAGATATTAATCATCCTTAAGGATCAGAGGCATTTTTATTAGCGAATTTCCCTATAGGGAAGTAGCTATTACCGTAGGTCTCATGGTAAGACTTAGGCCCGGGACCGATTTACTTTTTCATTTTAATGTCCCCAGAGGCCAAAAACACCATTCGTTCAAATTTTTATATATGTGTATGTATATATATATATATATTTATATATATATATATATATGTGTCCGTGAACACGATAACTTGATTAATTTTTATCTGATTTTGATGAAATTTGGTTTGAAGGTGTATGGCGGGATAAACTTGAATGAGTTCGCGATCCAGCATGATCGGACCATGGGAACAGGGTTTTATGGGGGGTTTTATGGGGTAAAAATTGATTTTTCTCACTTCTTACCCTCAAAACACAAAATTTCCCAATTTTTCTCTAAACCTTCTTAAAGAGCTTAAAAAAACAAACAATTCAGTATATCAAAGTGTTTTTGTACGGTTATTGGTTACGGAGAAAACTGAAAAAATGGCAAATTTAAAATTCCCATGTTATTCTTATGGAGAATATTGTAAAATGTTGTAGTTTGCTTGTTTATGGACAGCCATATTTTGATCAAACTTGGCAAATTTATTTATTTTATAGTAAGCTACCAATATTTTACTAAAAACACACTACTTTATTAGTTTCCTTGTAGCAGCAAACCTAGGTACTCGTTAAACCTAATGTTATTTAAATAGGCCTAGATCAATTGAAAATCAATTCGGCCAAATGGAAATTCGCTTAGACGGCAGGTTTGCTGCGGCGGGGGTATATACTGTAGATGGTAAGTCCAGTATAGTGACAAACGTAGGAGACTACGAGGACGGTAAAGGCTCTCTGTCACTTTGTAGTGGGAAAATCAATCACTCCAGCTGATTACGGAGCAGCCTCAAAGGCACTTTGATTTATGAATACAGAAATACTTTCGTCGCAGAAAGTATCGTTATAAACAATTTTAATAAATTAGAATATTTATACATGGACTCAATTTCAGATGATGATGAGAATCATCAGGTCTATTATCCTATATTGTATCGCACGTGAAATCGTGTACCAATTTAATCTGAAAGATGCGAAATGAAGAAGTAAGTAGTAGGTATTTGTGTGGCACTTTGCTGCACGGCTTCGCACGATTGAAATGTTTACGCTCGAGCCATAGGCCAGTGTGGAAAGTTTCTTGAGTGCAGCAAAGTCAGTTTGCACTCGTGTTACGCATTATATTTTTCATACAGTTATTATAAATCATAGAAATGATTAGTCTTTCAAACACTGTACAGCAATTTTTTAGGTTAGGTTAAATCCAAACATTGAACGAAGTGGGAAACGCTGTACCAGCTGATCGTAGTCGTAGTATCAAGTTTTGCCAGCTTATTTCCAAGCGTACACGGATTACGTACATAATAAAAGCACGATGTTTTGTGTTGTTTGGTTAGAATACTGTTGTGCGACAAAGTAAAAACGTTTACGACAAAGTAAGTAAATGCAGCAATTAGCAGATTTCTGTACAATAATCAGTGCAAGGAAGCCCACTTTGTTGGGCGACTGTAGGAAATAAGTTACGTATTGACAATTTATAAATTGAAAAATATACTAAAGGAATTAATTTAAATTACTGTATACAGGTTTTAATTAATTCAGATTTAATTGGAGTTAATAAAAAATAATAGCCAGGTAAAAAAAATTAATATGCTTTAACAAAAAAAAGAAAAAAATACTTTAAAAAATAAACGTTACGTACAACTAGACAATCCTCAATTACTATGTTTACTAGTTTAACCTCGGCCATAGCAAATGTTATAGAACTTCAATTAAAACACCAAGTGGAACGTTTTGACATTTAATAAACTGCACTTTAATTTTGTTTTAAATATTGTTGGTTAAACACACCAAGCACCGTAGGCTGTATTAACACATAAACAGTTCCGAGTGATATTAGAGCAGTAAGTCGGAGTGTAAGGGAAGTAATATCAAGCCACAAGGTGGGTATCTCTACCTTTGGTTTCATAATATCAAACTACCTTTACAAAATAAATTCCACAAAGTGAATGGAAATTATTTGTTTTTTAATAAACCACTCATACGATATATTTTTTAACTTTGAAACATTTAGAACATTTAAAAAATAATTTTAACAGCTTGTTATTGGTTCAGCTATAATCTTTGTTATTTTGACAACGCGTAAAGATTTACAGCGTAAAATGGGTTTACTGTATTTCTGAAGAGTTTCTCCGAAATCTTAATAGAAACTCTTTCGATTTTCTTACTATACCGCTTCAGTATGCCCGACTAGGTCCTATTAAATGTGTTATTGGATTATATATTAAATCTTTTACCAATAGATTTAATAGGTATAGATTTGGATCAAAAATTAACTTACTCCTTTGGTTGATTTCATAAATTTCCGTCATAAATGAAGACAGTACTTCAAAATATTCACACGTATAATTGAATAATGAATAATGTCCCAACCCAAACATAGAGGGTTCAAACTCTAAGCTTAGTCGCCATATTGGAAAATGGGGGTCATTTTTTTAAAGTGAAATTTAAGGTTATAACATATTTTATGACTGTTTTAGGATGTGGATTTAATTTTTACGACTTATACATTAGTTGCATTATCCCTCCAAACCTAATTGGATGGTAGTAGGATGCAGAATGTACAAGCATTTTCTCAGGTGGAACCCGCTGTAACCCCCAAAAATGTAGCTTTAGAGGAAAAATTCGAATTAGTGCGGTGCGGGGTTGGTCACTTACTTTAATACTTTACTTTGGAACATATAATGGTTATTCCAAGTGTGAATGGAGAAGAGTGTAGAATGAATCTTGTAGTCTTGTTACTGACTAAAGCTGACATGTTCCATGGACAGGACTTTAAAATAATAGTCGATACAGCCAATGCCAACTAAGGAAAATACAGTCCTATAGTGGAATCCGAAACACATGTTTGCCTTGTAATTTATGAATTCGTCTAAATATCAGGATAGTAACGCAGATTGTACTCACTAGTGCGGACGTTATTCCACACCAGGGAGTATCGCGTCCACAAACCACGCCTATTAATAACAATTGGTGACCTCCAAGTAGCTGGATTACAGGATGATGCCACGGTCTCAGTCATACTAGTAATAGGAGTAAACTGAATAATACAGTGAGTATTGGCTATGTCACCTAAATAATCTGGTAATTAATGCCTACCTAACCTGATTAAATGTTGGACTACTTGATGGAGATACACAAAACCTATTACTGTTAAGAAATTCCACCATTTAGTCTTTTGGAGTATAACGTCATAAAATGCATTTGCCCATATAGACTACAGATCTGTTAGTGAAACTTATTCATCAAAGCAATTGGTGAGCCACTAAGGTTAACTGTACTGATATATTGGTGATATAAAAGTAATGGCAGATATCACGATCCAAACCCACGACATCGTTTCCCTGGGCCCGAAGTCCGTGGTGTTACCAACTGAGCCACCGACTCACTAACATGAGGCGTATTACTTAAGTAGATAAAATTACAAAACAACATGCACAAGAACAGACTCATACAAACTCTTAGAATGGATAACATTAAAATAAAACTCATAGGAAAGCAAAAATTGCATACGAAAAATCGATTTAAAACCATTTGGTTCTGGTCCACAATCTACTGTACAATTTCTAGTTCTGTTAAAGATATTGTAACCTATTTAGACAGAAAATTAAGTCTCCTTGATCTTAGGGACAACTTGAAATTACGTTTTCAGAACTTTGACCGATATCCTCACCAGGAAATATTGTCATAAATGAGCAGCTAAGGGACAAATCAAATAATTTATACCTTTTTTAAAAAGGTATATTTGCTGCAGGGTTAGGGAATGTTTTATTGTACTAAACCGAGTAACCTCGTAAATCGTGTTTCGAGAACCATTATTAACTTACTTATTAAAACCACGTACTAAACAAAAAAAGTCTTATAAAAAAGTCAACCACCATAAATGCTTTCATAAATTTTTATCACACTAGTCCCAAGCAAGTATTTTGTAATCGTATAGTTGGCCTGGCTACAATGTACATATTCACATATTTCATTACCCTGGAAACCATTTTATTGTTACACCTGAATTCAACTGAAAAGGTTTAACTTGTGTTCTGACAATTAATCAACCTTAGTTGAATAACAAGAACACTTAACTTCTGCATAGAATCCAAGAAGCTTCATTTAGAAGCGTCTACTTAGGAGCTTCCACAGAAGCTTCATTGAGAAGAGTTAGCCTTCAACAAACAGTTAGACAACAAAAAGTTAGAAGCGTTCCAAAGCAGCTTCAATTAGAAGAGTTAGCCTTCAACAAACAGTTAGACAACAAAAAGTTAGAAGCGTTCCACAGAAGCTTCATTTAGAAGAGTTAGCCTTCAACAAACAGTTAGACAACAAAAAGTTAGAAGCGTTCCACAGAAGCTTCATTTAGAAGAGTTAGCCTTCTTAGAAGCGTTCCAAAGCAGCTTCAATTAGAAGCCTTAGTCTACTTACAAGTCTTCCACAGAAGCTTAACTCAGAAGTGTGAAAAAGAAGCGTTCCGAAAAAGCGACATAAGAAGTTAGCCTACTCCGCTAGACAACCTTCCTATCCCTTAGACCAGCATCTCCACCTTTTGAAATGGACGCTCTAAGGAGGGCTTGGTAAGTACTATTTTCTGGCTCTATTATGCACAACATTAGTTGTAGATCTAGTACGGAGAGTTCTTAGTTTTTTTAATTATTGAAAAAATAGGTTTTATACCACGTTTACTTATTAAGCTAAAAAAACCTTACAGATTCTAACGTAATCCAATCAGTAGCCATTGACTGTAAAACAATGTACTAAACAATCTTTGTTTCCAAGTACGTTTGGTAAAACTGTATTACAATTAGAAAATTTGGTATGTTTCTTCAGGGAGGAGCATGGTGCCCTGTTGGCCGTAGGGGGGCTGGGGGCCGTTGTCACTGTGGTGTCGGTGGGTATCTGGCTGTGGGGTAGGTGGAACGACGACCCACCGGCACCATCCCCCCCGAGATACTCGAGCCGGTTGTTGATGACCCCACCACCTACCACTCCACAACGGGAAGTCACATTAGCTGTAATAGATATGGACTGAAATTCATCAATTTGGAAACAATTTGTTAATCAAAAAATCAATAAATTTTTGTGATTTTAAGGGAGTTTTTTTATAGCTTCTAAACAGTTTTTTTTACAAACACATCATTTGCCATAGGCTTAAACCACTGGCTTTCACATTCGTCAGGTATACCCTCTTCATAATTTTGGAATACGTAGAATATGGTAAGGCAGTGCTTTATATTATACTAGGCGTTTAAAAAAGTTAGGGACATAGTTCAAGTAGAGATGCTTTGGGTGAATATAATCAAAATGTTTATTTGGAAATATGTCATGATGCGTTTTGTTTAGCCTCTTTCTGTCCGTATACGTTTTTTTACCAAAACATTCATGAATCCTGATGGTTTGAACTACATTGTTGAGATTCTATAACATAATTTGACCGAATTTTTATTTTATCTTTGCGTCAAACTATGAGAATAAAACAATCTTAAACCACTTAAATATTGTGGTTATTTTAAATAGTTGATGCTGAATTTCACAAACTTCGGTCAAATTTAGTAAATTCTATGGATATAACAACAATATCTTAATAAGCTTAGTTAGGTAAAAAAAACCTCAAGAGGAGTTTTTAAACCTTTTTACCTTGTATTTTATCAACGGTTATTTTAGGGTTTTTTAATAGCCGTTTTATACTATTTTATGAAAATAATATATTAAAATATTGCATGTATTATAAATGAGCCATGACTAATTCCACCGGGCGAATGTCATGACTCATATTCAATGGTTCAAGTGTTTTTAGCGAATTTCCCATAAGGGAATAAGCTATTACCGTAGTACTCATGGTAAGACCTGGACCCGGGACCGATTTACTTTTTCGTTTTGAAGTCCCTAGAGGCCAAAAAAACCATCCGTTCAAATTCATATATATATATATATATTTATATATGTGTCCGTTAGCGCGATAACTCGAGCAAAAATCATCCGATTTTGATGAAATTTGGTACAAACGTGTAAAACTACGTTTATTCGAACGAGTTCGCGAACCAGCATGATCAGACTATGGGAACAGGGGTTTATGGGGGGTTTTATGGGGTAAAAATTGGTTTTTCCCATTTTTGAACCTAAAACCTTAAAATTTAGCAATTTCTTTTCAAACCATTTTGTAGAGCTTAAAAAAACAAATTATTTAGTATATTGAAGCGTTATTATGCACCTAATGGTTACGGAGAAAATTCCAAAAATCGGTCAATTTAAAATTCCCATGTTATTCTTATGGAGAATAAGTAAACTGTTGTAGTTTGCTTGTTTATGCACATATTTTGATCAAATTTGGAAAATGTATTCATTTCATACTAAACTATTAACATTTTACAAAAAAACACCTTTTTACCCTCCCTGTTGCAGCAAACCTAAGTACTTGTTAAACTAATGTTATTTAAATAGGGAATAAATGTGACATTTTTAAGGTGACATTTTAGTGTAAATCCGATCAGGCAAATGGAAATTCGCTTAGTCTGCAGGTTTGCTGCGGCGGGGGTATTTTAGTGTATGATGTACAGGTTATTTTACTGTTCATTATTTCTTTCCTACTATTAACCTAACTATTTGAAACTATTAACTACTACAACCTAATCTAGCCTATATAATTAATACGCTACATGAAACTTTGTCGGTTGAACTCCTCCGCCATTTCTTAACCGATTTTATCCATTGACGTCTCATTGGAAAGAGCGTGTCGCGTAAATTTGCAAACTGACCTTACATTTTTGAAAATGTCCCTTGGGCTCTGCTCCAGTGGCTGTTAAGTTCCCATGTTATCCTTATGAAGAACATAATTGTTTACATTTTGATCAGCTGCATAATTTAATTGCTATTATTTATTTTTCAATTCAAAGTCTTTTAAACTCAAAGGAAATTATTATGACTTTTATTTGTTATATAAATAACTACTTTACTTCTTTGCAATTGCTCGATTTCGAGCAACGTGTTTACTAGTAAAAGATCAATTTGTCAACTTTGTCATGTCTTCTTGTATCACAATGTAAGAATAAAACACTCACTGTAAAATTTACCTTAAAATAGGAGAGATACTTTTGATCTGCATCAGCTCATTTAAGCTTAAAATATGAATTACCTGTATAAAACATGCTTCAGATTCTACAATGGGATAAGAAGTCTACTTGCATTAGAAAATCAATGCTGAAATTAAACTAACAAAACAGTTCTGTTGTTCTGTTCCACCATTGGAATTGTTTAAAATGTTATGTTTCTGTTTTGTGTGTTTTCTTGTACCTACTAATTACCATATTTTTCATGCTGTCTTTTCTAATCTAAAACTTACAACCCCACAAGTCACAAATGTGTATTTCTGATTTTATAACATTTTTTGCCATACTGCATAAACTAAGGACTTTCTCTTTGAGGTTCCTCCATATAAGGTGAATTCCCATAGAATATTGCTACGACTCATGAGCTTAGAGCAGGCTCAATGCTTTAAACACTCATGTATCTAACACAACCTCCACACACAACTAAGCGCTTTCTAACACTGTTGCAGGTGACATTCAAGACTCCGTCACCGCCTCCCCAAGTCATGCCTGCTGCAATGCCCCGCCATTCGCTACCTCCCCCGCCTAGCTTCCCCTACCCTCCACCACCCTTGGCTCCACCTTCACGCCCCCCGTGGCCGGATGACCCGCGAACTCCGTCTTGGTGGTCAGCGCCTGAAAATACTCTGCCTCCGCCGCCCAGGTAACTTTTTCAGGGACTGTAAATTAATTGATGCACAGTTTTGTATGTAAAAGTTTAATAGGCCTAACTTAGGTTCATTTCAGCTGTAGGTAATTACTATAAAGCTTATGTCGAGAAGAGTGACATTTAGGACCCGGTCATGAAATGATGACTATATAACTATTAAATACCCAACAATTTTGGAATATGAAGTCGAGAGAAAAGTTAGTACACCATGTACACTCCTTACACCATTGAAAGCAAGAGTTGAGTTTTCTTTAGAGGCCGATCAAGGAAAGCTTTTCCATATGATGAGGCTTTATGAAAGAGACTATTGGAAATGTGCGCATGATCACAATCGTGGCCTCCAGCAATGCTGGTGTTAACAATCTTAAATTACCAACATCTATAGTGGTCATAGTTAAACACGTTAACTGTGATGGTGGATTCTTGAATTTCACTTTTCTTCCAGACTTTGTCAAATACGACTGTTGAAGATCCACATCTTTTGAAGTTTGAGATACAGTTGAGGGCTTAACTTCATCATTCTGAAGGACATAGGCCGGTTTAACTCTGTCAAGACTAACCTTAACATTAGCATTAGAACCATTCAGTTTTCTTGTGATATTTTTACTGTCTTTCTTGATCACTGGATGAGGTCCAGTGTATGGATGTTGTAAAGATTTTCTCATAGCCATCCACACTCAGAAAAACGTGCGAACATGTGTCCAAATTACAAAATGAAGTAGTTTTTTAAAGGGGAAAAAGCAACTTGGCTTTGGAATAATTATTATTGAGGAGAAAGGAAGGATACACAACTAACTCACCTGAATAAAGAGTCTCAGGAGGTTAATAGAACACATAGAAAGTTCACATTAAACTGATATTTCGCCACTTTCAGGGGCTTCAACAGAGGTAGAAGGTAGAATGGCAGTTACAGTTCTGGCACTGTTTTAAATGTCTGACAGGCTTGCCAACACTTAACTTGTTTACACTAAAACTTATAAATTATATACACATATATATTTACACCATTGATTTTACTCTACTACTGTAGTTAGTTGTGCGGGTAAGGAATATTTTGGAAGGAGTCCGAGTTTATCTTATGTTAAGTTGGTTGGAGCAGACAAATTTGTTACAAATTCACGAGCTCCACCCAACTTAAACATAAGATAAATTCCTCGAGACAATCTGGCAGACGACTAGCTTAGCTAATTTATGATTGAGCCAACAAGATATGGCTTCAGACATTAACAATGTCAATGTAATAACATTAATAAAGCCAAAGTGTTTGGTAATGTTCAGTTTTTTTAAACCTAATCTTTAATTGGATTTAAATAAATTTTTACTTCATTTTTAATTTTCAAACTGTTTTATGTTGTAATAAATTAGGAGATTGGATAACATTGTGTTTTTCATGGTATGTAAACTGAATTCGCTTCAAGTACCACTTATGGATATGGTTCTTGTGCGTTTTAAAAACACAATTACCTTGTAAAACCGCTCATAGAAACTCCTAAATGCCGTTTTGTTATGTACAATTACCTTAGTAACAGTGTTCGCCTGTGGCGCACATAAAAGTTTAAGCTATCACCGACTGTCCAACCGGTAATAATGGGGTTTCAAAAACTTGAAAAATTTAGAAATAATTTGTTGGAGCAAACGTGTAAAAAATGAGAATTTTCATTGTCTCTGTTTTCCGTTCTCCATGTGCACACAACTCATGTTACATTATTCAGGATCTTTTAAATTTGTTGTCAATAATTGTGTAATTTAAAGTTTAATTTGTTTTTAATTGTTAGTTTTTGCTAAGAATCAGTTTGCATATTACATGATATTTTGTTTGAAAAGAATCTTTGATGATAAGAACATGGTTTTTTTCAGGACGTTGTCGTTTAGTGGGCTGACACAGCCTGCGATGCAACAACCACCTTCCAATGATATTTTCAACAACAGTCTCAACTTCAAGAATCCCTTCCCCACTATGTTCTCCCAACCTCCCCCCTTTTCACCCCCTCACACGGAGCCTGCTAAGACTCAGGTAACTAATAACTAAAAAAAAAAAACTCTTTCAATACTGAAATTGTATACTGTAGGCCATTCTGTAGATTATAGTGGTTGCCTAATAAACAGATTATTAAATTAATTGTACTTTGTAATAGAGAAAAGTTCAATCCTAAGAAAAATCAACCTAATAATTTATTCAGAAAAGTACATAGGGTGGCCACAGTCTGGGGATTCTGAGGAAACTTGGAATTATGCGTTAATTTTGGTATTTTACTGGGAAAATCTTATTTCAGTGCTGTTGTGCTATAATATGGATGTTAGACAAATTTAGAAGGGTTTATATCCTATTCGCTTGTGAAAAAAAAGACAAAGCACTGTTAGCACACAAAAAAATAGCCAACTGTTAAAACATTATATCCAGTGTAAGTAAATGCAGAGTATTGCACAAGAGGAATCCAAAATGATCACAGTTTTGAGTTTTGATGGCTAAAGCCTAGTATGTGATTCCCTAAACGGTGGTGACAGGTAGGCCAGGCTGCGCCTGTGCACGTGTGTACAGTCGGGCGATAGTCACTCCTCTGGGGCTATCCATGGTTAGATGGATATACACTTACCAAAGACATTATATACATGGTAACGAGAAGGCCTTGGCCATATTTACCCAGTATCACCGCAATGTAAGGTCCTTTGATAGCCATTAAACGCTGGTGCATATTTTTTTTGGTCCAGTCAGAGGCAGCAGAAGGATTGTCTCTGATTTGTTACAATGTACACTCATACCACAAGGAATGTCGGATAATCTCTTCTGTACTTTAACACTAGGTTCTCCTACTAATACCAATGTTTGACTTTGTTCAGGTGGAACCGCCGCAGCCCAACAACATGATGACCCCGACTTACTCACTGTTCAGCCCTACTTGGACGGCCCCACAACACCCCCCGCCACCCGTAGTTGGCATCCTGGGACAACAGGTTTGTAACTTATTGTTGCAAATATTTAGCCACAGATACATTTATGTGCAAATTTTAATAAATTTTAAGTTTGATAGCTTTTCAAAATTACTTATTTGGTTATTTGAAAATCTTTTTCATTACAGAATCGAGAATTTTTATTCATCGTTTACAGGCAATAAGGCTAAATATAAAAATATATATTACAGAGGTTTTCCTATGCCTCCAATTGTGACTAAATTATAATAATATTTGTCAGGAAAGTTATTTTTCTGGTGTATTAGAAGGTGATGGTAACAGAACAAAGAACTGTCATTCGTTATGAAAGTGTATTAGTATGTTGTATCCTACTTTAAAGCAAAATCCTATACTGGGTTAACCATGTAAACAGAAAGGAGACGGACTCCACTCTGAGAATGGTGGTAGGAAATAAAACACAAGGTAGAAAACCACTGAGGTGGGATCATTAGCTGAGGGACATCAGAATTTGCAACTCTGGAGGGAATGCAGGATGGAGACTGATGGTGAACAGCTGTAGTGAGGCCAGAAACATTCTTGAGTTAAGAGTGGTTGCTTAGGTCAAGTATCTGAACTAAAATTAAGAAGCAACATTGCATCATGATTTATAGAATTTTTTATGTTCTGTTTTAGTCGCTGTGGTATGGGCCTGGTCCGTCACCATTGGAACGTTTACTGGAGCAACAAAAACAGCTAAGAGAAGGTCCCGGGCCACACCATGACAACACCTGAACACCGTAAATACCCTCGGACTTCTGGAGTAAACAAACAAGTAAACAATACGCGTTATCAGATATCAGCATTGTTTTCATGAAGAAAATCACTGATATTTGTGAGCCAAACTGTGTTTTTCTAATTGCAGTTTTTCTAATGGCTTGGTCAATGTTTGGTTCTTTTTATCTGTTCACTGGTCTAGCTTGTGTTAAATTATTTAATTGCTTCCAGTTTTAGTAGTATTTGAAATGACAACAGCCTAATTATTTAATAAGTTTTATGTTCTTTTATTAAATTACGACGGTTTGAAAATGTCATGGATTGTTTTTGTTAAGTATTGTTTAGATAATGATAGTTTATTTTAATACCATTAACGTAATAGCAGGAATATCTTGTGCTTTTAATGTCTTTTGGCAGAATTAATTATAAAATCCATTTTGAACTAATTATATTTTTATTTTATTTCTTAATAATCACTAAACTAAATTGTTTCATCACTACCATGGTCTTAACTTAAAAAAGATAACCTCTATTGTATTTTTATAGTTCCTAATAGCATTCCATTTATGATTATTAATTAATAAACCAAATTTAGTTTACGAAGAGACACACAGGTTAAAAGTCTACCTGAAAGTAAGCAGATTTTTAAAATATTTTAGGTTGTCCTTTTAGTAAGTACAGCAATGACCCGTGTGTTTTAATGGGTTCTATTAAAATTGTATAACCTGAATGTGCCAATCTAGTTAGCTAACATCAGTGCTTAATTTTGCACAGAATAAAATTTGAAATGGTAACTTTAATTATTTTATATCTAAAAAATGTATCTTTAATTGCCAAATGTATTCTGTTGAACATTGGTATAGTAAATCTTACAGAATATTCATCACCAAAGATCCTTGTCAGTATTCTCTAGGAGTGTGCGAGTAGTGAATTCAAGAGTAGAGTCAAGGTTATTTATGTGAAGTCAGGAGTGACTTGCGTTATTGATTCAAAATATCAAAATAAAGCTTCCCAAAACGATACTAATGGTTTGTACAGACACTGTACAACTTGGCCTAAATGTTCTAAAATTGAAAAAAAAAACATAAATAAAATAATTTTGTGTAACTACTAGTCTTTGACCTGTAAACTACACTCCATTGTAGTATAGTCTATATCCACTGATTTTACTGTTATGTTAATTAAAATCAGTGATGCCTGATTTTACTCTCGTCCACCTTCTTCATTCCAAAATAAAATTTTTTTATATTGTATGGATGGACAAAGAAACGTGATTTTTGTTTTCATAACCAACTTATTTGCTGTTGCTGTTAAAAGAAGTCAGTTAGATGGGCCTACTGTTTAGTAAACGAAATGGCGGCACATAAACTCTAGTCGATTTGAGTACTGAATTACTAACTTGAAAATACCATACCACTAGAGTACTCGCTCACCCCTAGGCACCCCCTAGCACCCCTAGGCATCTCGCTCCATATCATTCTAATTCATTAGGCTACTTTCCCAATTGTTATCCGATCCAGCTGATTAACCATGTTTGCTATAAACAAACAGCTGTTATGCAGTGCAATTAAAGTTAAATAATAGTTGCAATACTAATATTAGACATGTAAAAACAGACTGTATTCTTCTTCTCTTAGCATATTCTTAAACATTTGCAGAAACCTTTCTAGAATCTCCACCCAATTACTCTGAAAAAAAATATTAAAAATTCTTAAGGGGTTAAGTCACAAAACATGTTTAGTAACTAAGCAAGGTTGTAACACTACATAAAGTGGAAATAATGGTGCTATGCATTTGTAACCACTAAATTTGAAATATATGTTCATCTGTTATCAGTAACCTACTAAGATTAATTTAATTCATAAGAAAGAGAGGGTTCCCACTTGTCCAGGAAAACCTGGAATATTTCAAATATCCTGGCGATCCAGGAAAATCCTTAAATTTGTCTCTGAACTCCTGAAATTCTAATTCTGTTATGATCTGGGCATTTTGATTGAACAAATTTTTTCATATTCATATTTTCTTTGTAGGCCTATGTACCATAAAAATGCTCATAGATTTTTTTTTTAAATACCAGGAGTGTCTAAAAATATTTTGAATTGGAACAGCGTTTATGTGGGAACCCTGAAAGAGTAACCGACAAATCTTAATCTCCTACTCTAAATTGTATTATCACATTCGTTTATAACATTCTGTTTTAATCTTCCACAATGTTGGTGGAGTTGTTATAAAAAAACTAATAAACATCAAACGTTACAAAGCAATTCTCTGATTTTATTATGCAATCCTTTACTGTGCCTGCTACTGTCTATTCATTGACTATTGCGAATTGCAACCTTTGTGGCTGATTAAATAAATTGTATAAAAAAGTGTTGAATATACTATTGTATATTTCTTTTCTTTTTAATCATCCTGGCAGTGAAAGATTATCTAAATAAACATGGACACTAGGGAAGACAAGCAAATACAGATCAACAGTAATAAAGTACTTTATTAACACTAAGAATCATCTCCTCGTCGGATGATGGAGGAGGAGTGGGGGTATCGGGGGTGCCACCAGTCCAGCACGCAGACTTGTGTAACGGTCTTGATGCTGATGGCGACGGTGCCAGATGGGTCAAGCTTTCCGTTGCACACCCTCCCAGAGCCAAACATCAGCTGCACGTGCATGTGCGCCATGGTCATGTCTAGACTCATATTGATGCTGTGTAGCGTCAGTCCCATCACTGCAGGCAAGATTGGCATCCGTTCTGTAGCGACCACCTACGAAACAACATAGGTAAAGTTACTATCCACTTGGATAATACTTGTAGACTAGTCTAGAATTTCAACTGTTAAGTATCGAGTTACAAACAAGTAACAAACAAATCGACTCTATACCTATTGAACTAGACATCGTTAGTTTTTTAAAAATTTTTTATTATACCCGCTGCACAGAGGGTTTATGTGACGAATACCTACTCAAACAGTATTGTTATCGTTACTACAAGTCAACCACACATGCATCAGAGGCTGAGTATGTACGAGAACGAGTTGGAATAGTTCTCCAAGTCGCCACTACAAGTCATGAGCACCACAGATACAAAGTACATTGCTTGAGTCATGGTAGCATAATTGAGTATAATTTACTAGAGTTGCCTAAATACCCGACTCGTCGCATGACTATGATATCTGGTTTTATTACCACACTTGAATGCCCTAATACTGACAAAATATTTCTATAATAAGTATGTCCTCCAAACACAAAGACTTTGAGCACATTTAAATTTTTCTTGAACTTACCGCTACACTACTGCTTTGTCTTACAACCATCAATAAATTAACCTGATAACGAGTAAGTGCTATTTGCCTAATTTAGATCTACCATCAAGGTTTTACTAAATCATTTGCAAAATATACTAACCTGCAAGATTGTACAGCCTTCATCAGGATTAGCAAAAATATCTCCTAATATCTCAAGAAGATCTTGTTTGCTGGTGTTTGGTTGGCAGTCTTTCCTTCTCAGTTTGAAGCTCAACAGCCACTTTGTGGATTGCCGCTAGTAAAATAACAACTCAATTGAAAACAAAATTAGAAAAATAAAGCTTTTGTGATAAAATAATATACCAGGGTGTCCACATTCTGGAAAGTCAGGGATAGTCATGGAAAGTCATGGAAAAAAATTCTGGTCATTGAAAGTCATGGAAATAGGCAATAGGTCATGGAAAGTCATGGAAATCCCCAATGATGGATGGATTTCAGAGGTCCTTTCAATGATCTCGTGGGCCGTAACCCCGACTAATGTAGCATTTTTCCGAATTTTTCACAAATGTACGACAATTCAATTTATACAGTTGTCTTAGTTTATGGGTTTTGAGTTTGTATTTAGTTCATTGTTGTACCTGTTGTATGCCATTGTTATCTGTTAGTTAATGCATATTTTAGTATTTTCTATGTAGGCAGTATTCTTTGTGTGTTTACGGTATATTATAATTTTTTAGTAAAGTTTTTGAGTCATGGAAATCAATGGTTAATGGTCATGGATAGTCATGGAAAGTCAGGGAAATTAATTACAAAATTTCTGTGGACACCCTGTATACCCAAAAAGGTACAAGACATCACCAACCAACTGACCAGTTTCTTTGACGGTTCTCAAAATTCTCATATCTTTGGCTAACAATCTATTATCAAAATGAAAAGAAACCCAAGATAAAAACAAAGCTTTAAGATCCATCATTGTTACAATAATAGGTAACAGCAATTTATTTGGTTTGAAACTGGAAACATAATAGTTAGTTGTAAGGATGAGTCATCTGAACTTCCTCACCTCTAACATAATCTAAATACATTCTCACCCGCAATAAAACCTAACCTGTGAATTCTGACCTCTAATATAACCTTCCTAGCCTATGCATTCCGACCTCTAGAGGCATCACCTGACCCATAGGTTTGGGGAGGCACAACCAGGACACCATCCTACCTGGGGGTCTGAGGGGTATAAAATAACATCATATCACTTAGTATCCTTATAAATAACTTGCGAGTAAAGTAACCACTTCCTATGCCTCTAATATAACATCCTATGTCTGTGTATTCTAACCTTTAACATAACCTGACATGTACAATCTTACCTCCTGCCACAGAGATATGCACTGTCTGTTTTTGAGATCGTAGGGTGTACCCATGGAGGGGCCGTCCACCCGTGAAGCTAGTGGAGGATACATGTAGAACAGAGATCTAACGACACAAGCTTTGAGTCCGTAATGACGTACCATACACTCTGGTTGTAGTCTTACAGGTAGGTTAGGCACCTTTTTATAGAATCTGCACAGGAAAATATAAGCTTTGTAAACTATTGTATTTGTATTTGCTACAAATACAATTAAGACAAGATTGTGTGAAATTTGGTGTCAAATTAACAAAAGTGTTTAAATAAACCACAATATAAATTTAAAAAATGTTTACAAACATTAAATTACTTGTCCCTACTAGGCTCATCAAGTGTGAGTTGAGTAGCAGTTATAAGAGACCAGCTGACTCGGGCATGTGCCCAATACCTGGGTCTGCGTTAAATTCTCTACTTGGTTGTAAGGCTGAATACAGGGTACCAACTCAAACTTACAAATTCATTTCAAGGTTTTGCGGTCTCTTGGATATTTATTGTATAATTGACAAGGGTCAATTAGGGAGATATCCCCCCCTCCTGTATATCTTATGATATAGTCCCTTTGAACTCATAGGGTTAAAATGTTCTGGGTTGACTGACCTTCTGTAAAGCTTGAACCAAAACGTGGCAGTGTTGACTACGCTCCAAGAGTTTCTGCAGATGGCTGAGAACTTGGCTACATCCTCTGGTCTGATGTACTCGGAGATGAGGTGCCAGATGTCCAACGAGTAGACATTGCCACTAGCCTTGTCTGCCAATGACTCGCTCAAGGTCTTCTTGCGACGACTCGACCTCTTCATCACCATCACTGCAATGGGTTAGCAAAACGTCTCAAAGTCAGTTTTCAGCTGATTGACAATATCTTGATAGCGTATTACTTTATTTTGTAATCAGTTCAATTATTTGTAGGTATTGTTTTTTATTTTCTAAACTTTAAATAATGGAAGTAAGAAATTTGTTTTTTTTATTTTTATTTCTTTTAAAACAACACTATGATGAATATTTTGGTCCTATAATGGTCCTTTATTTGACGAATCTTTAACTTAACATCAACTAAACTGTTAAATTAATTTTTTAAATTATTACTTTATTTTTGAGGTACCGTATTCTATTTTAGGTAAATCCAATAGGTGGACTACTTAACGAAATTTAGGTCTACTTGCTCTTGCTCACAATTTAATTATTTATCCCCAAAACGGGATTTTTAGACCATAAGCGGGATTAAAACAGGATGCGGGATAAAACAGTCTTTTTTTATTTTTTCTACTAAATTTTAGGGAATAACTTACTCCAATTGATTAAATATCGTAGCAAAATATAATAGCAATTATGCGTCAATTATAACCCTCGGGATTGAACGTAAAAAATCATATGTGATAAAATAATCCTTATTAAAAATCCTGACATTGACACATCATGTTTAAATAGTTGATACAAATTGCTATTATATTTATTTTTACTACCGTATTATATTTAAAGGTTTTACAATATTTTAATCCACACGACCAGAAGGCATGCACAAGAAAAATAGCATCCTTGTAGGAGGCAATTGAACATCAAATACCTTCTTCTCCATCTTCATTTTCCTCTTTGACAAAGTCAAAATCCCCATCAAACTCTTCCAGTTTCTCATCCCATGCTTTATCTTCAATGTTTAAATGTTTCACTGAAACAATATAAAATAACTATACTAAAACAAGAACAATCACTTTGTAACAAAATGTTGACATAATAGAGTCCCTAGAATCTGGTACACTAAGCCAGACCAGGATTCCAGTGATCTTGAGTGTTTTAACCTTAACCGTGTTAAGTTCTATATTCAAACGAGACATGTAAGTGAAATTGATCAAACAAACAATTAGCGTAGACGCAGTAACTTAGTCGGATAGGCCTAGTATGAAAAATGTGAGGAAGGAAGTGTCTAAGACAATGACAATCTTATCATAATAGCAGTCTATGACCTTGATTAGAATTGAATAATGTGATGGAGAATAATGCCATACTGTAAAATGAAATGTAAGGTTTTTTTCCATTTTCACACTGTACTACAGTACAGAGTAGGCCTTTGAAAAATATATTTTGTTGGTAATGCAAATATTTACTGTTAAGTAATTTTTCACTATGACATTCCAGTGATTCGGTTCTTTTCACTCATCTGGCAGTGCTCTGAATCGATTTCTGTTTCATAGCAAGGCCTATCCCGGCCGATGCAAACAAAGCAAATTTCAATTTGCCTGATTGGATTGTTATTAAAATATTTCCATAAACAAGACATATTTATTTCCCATTTAAAGACTTGGGTATAACGAATGAAATTAAGCAATGCGTAGAATAGTCATTGACTATTGGATACTGAAGTTGTATTGATAGTCAAAGGTATAGTGTTATATGTCTCTTTATGTAATCTTTGTTATTTGTTTTTCTCTATTATCGAATTTCCCATATAGGAAAAGGAAATAACCTATTATGTACCGTAGTAGGTACTCATGGTAAGACCTGGACCCAGGACCTATTTACTTTATCGTTTTGAGGTCCCTAGAGGCCAAAAACACCAACCGTTCAAATTCACATACAGGGTAGTAAAAAAGTTTTAGGACAGTTAAATATTTAAAAAAATAATGCAGCTAAAGCTAAAATACTTGGTACAAAGTTACAGGGCATAAAACTCTATTTTAACACATATTCAGTGATCCAATAACTCTTCAGGGGAACGGCCCACAAGGAGTCAGAAGAAAATCTTAAATGGAAGCATAAGTCAATATGCACATCATATTAAAGGTCTTTTTTAGTAGAATACAATGCCGCAAACCACACTTCAAAAGGTTGACCCTGCGCAAAATGACAGTTGTTCAAAGATCCATTTAATTTACATTGCTATTATACGCTTACTCCTCAGGGGGCACAGCCCTAGGAATCGGAAGAAAATTGTTAATGTAAGCATAGGTCGATATGCACATCAAATTAAAGGTCTTCACTAATAGATTACGATGCCGTAAATCCAAGCTCAAAAGAATGCCTGAGTAAAAAATGGCAGTCGTTCAAAGATTCAAAATGGTGGATCCAAGAAATCTTTGAACATCTCCTATTTTGCGCAGGATCAACCTTTTGAAGTGCGGTTTGCGGCATTGTATTCTACTAATAAAGACCTTTAATTTGATGTGCATATTGACCTATGCTTCCATTTAAGATTTTCTTCCGACTCCTTGTGGGCCGTTCCCCTGAAGAGTTATTGGATCGCTGAATATGTGTTATAATAGAGTTTTATGCCCTGTAACTTTGTACCAAGTATTGTAGCTCTATCTACATTATTATTAAAAATATTTAACTGTCCTGGGACTTTTTTACTACCCTGTATATGCGTGTGTCCGTTAGCACGATAACTCGAGCAAAAATGAACCGATTTTGATGAAATTTGGTACAAACATGTAAACCTAAATTTATTCGAACAAGTTTGCGAACCAGCATGATCGGACTATGGAAAGGATGGTTTATGGGGGGTTTTATGGGATGAAAGTTGGTTTAATTCCCCATTTTTCACCCTAAAAACATAAAATTTTGCAATTTCTTTCCAAACAATTTTGTAGAGCTCAATAAAACAAATAATTTTGTATATTGAAGCGTTGTTATGCGCCTAATAGTTACAGAGAAAATTCCAAAAAATTGTAAATTTAAAATTCCCATTTACTTTTATGGAGAATAAGTAAACTGTTGTATTTTGCTCGTTTATGAAATATTTTGACCAGTTTCATACTAAACTGTTAACAGTTTACAACAAACCCTTTTTTACCCTCCCTGTTGCAGCAAACCTAAGTAGGCCTATGTACTTGTTAAACTACTGCTAGCCTATTTAATTAGGAAAAGGTATAGCCTTGTATAACCTTGTGCATAACCTTGTATATGAGAGACACCGTGCGGTCGGCATTACCTGAAGCTGGATGCACGTACCAAGAAGTGAGAAGTGAGTGAGTTTAAATAGGAAATGAATAAATGTGATATTTTTAAGGAGATATTTTAGAGTACAAATCCAATCAGGCAAATTAGTTTGCAGGTTTTCTGCGGCGGGGATATTATTGTTTCCAGTAACTTTGGCAGATGAATGACCTATAATTATTGACTTTAATAGGGGATAAGAGGTACCTAGAAAATGTTTTTTTTTATGTTTTAGACAAAAGTTATGTATTTTTTTTACACAGAATCCGATTCTGTGATCAAAATTGGTAGGTAGTTTACATTTTAAAAATGCAACTTCCAGTCTGAAAAAGCCACTTCCGGTGTGATTTGGATTTGAAATTATAACCATTTGATAGACCGTGCCCAATTTATCTATCTAGTATTTCTAGTATTTCTATCTCAGAATTTATCTAGTATTTCTGTATTATTTGTTGTTTGTAAGAAAAGGTTTCCCTCATTTTTAAAGGGGTGTACGGGTGGTTTTGGACACCCGGTATATATCATGTATATATGAATAAGAGTAAATCGGTCCTGGGTCCAGGTCTTCTGTGCCACCTATTAAATGAACATCCAATTAATCAAATGTTCAAAAGGAAGTAAAACCTACCTTCCCGAACCACATCAAATGCTGCTTTAGCTTTTCTTAGTCTTCCAGAGGCAACTGTTGCATTGGCAAAATCTGCCAATGTTACATCTGAAACAACAAATGAATAAAATGATTTACAGTAGGCCTCAGACAAAAGTTACAACTAAGCCTATGTAATTGTATGCCAAAATGTGGTCAACATTGAAAATTGAACATAGTCCATGCTTACTGCTATATTAAAAGGTATTCTCAGGAACCTACCTTAAAAGTCTGTGGTTTGTTTACTGGGCTTAGGTTAGTTAAAATGTAGATGATTTTTTTTTGTCTAAAAAAACTAAACTTCTTTTTCAGATAGGAGAATCTTGTCATCTATTTACTTGCACAGTAAGCTTAAGTTGCTTAAGGCTGTTAACCATTGGAAACTGAGGAGGACTATCCAGACAATAGTAGCACCGAGAATCCACTATAGATAGGCCTACTCCTGCCTTTAGTGGTAGGATTCAACCAACTAGCACAGGAGAGGAAACTGGTGTTAAAGACAAGTTAATTAAACTTGGTGTTAGAAGGCAACAGACTTGTACAAAAAGCCTCTATACGACAATGTGATGAAAGGTAGAACAATAAAATTGTTGAGTACTCAGCAGTGAAATTCACGATTCAATGAGTCATTGACGTAAGTAATCTAGTCTTACAATAATATCTACAGCTCAGGGGCTTACCAATGAAATTAAAAAAATAAATAAAAAAAAAACAAAGGCCGCTGATTGTTATCATGTCAAATATAGAAATTCCATTTCCATTTGTTTTGTTGATAGAGCCGAAGCCCATCACCTGTAAACCCGGTACCTATAATTAAACATACCCGGGCCCCATGGTGTAGGCCGGAGCTTACGCACCAACCTTGGCACACCATGGGCGGATGACTAAAGGTCATCAGGCTCACCGGCTGCCGAAGCAACCCTTCGGAAAGAGGGTTGCCCCTCAATCCTAACCAGGGATACCGGCTACTTGGTTAAGCGTGACTCCACCTGGAACCAGCAGGTACAAAACCTGAAGGCCCATAATGAAATGCCCTGACGCATTTAGTGCAAGCAACACTCGGGACCTATCCAATCCCTAACAGGCCAAAACCCACCATCAAAGCCAGGAAGAAGGGGACGGCCAGCAAGCTGACGGGGGAACCCCAACCCCCCATTCCCACCACTACCCGATCGAGGCCATCCCATTGCTGGGAAACCAGGGATACCCAGAGCGATAGATCCCCAGATAACCCCTAGCGGCAGTGATGTTTGCCCATCAAGCCCAACATCACTGCCAGGCCCTCAGGGTTTCCCAAAAGGAGGCGGGTTTAGAAGTGGGACCCACCCGGATGAACCTATCCACCAAAGGTGGCGACACCCTTAACTCAATTGAGGTTCCAGAGAAAACCCCCCACACTCTAGATAACCATACCTTCCGGGCTCAGAGACAGGGATTGGCTGATGGAGTGCGCCCAGCCGTTGCCCTCACACTGCGAAAAGTTAATCAAATATGGACAGTAGCACCCAAGTCAAAAATTATGTTCTTTCCATTTAAGATAACCCAACCTAACATAACCGCCGCAGCGTGCTGTATAAAGGTGGCCTCCGGGTAATACCAAAGTACCGGTACCGTAAGCAGGGCCGGACTGGGACACCTAAAAGGGCGCTGCCTGTTACCTGATGGAGGGCGCAAATCTGATGCTGTCATCCAGCCTTCCGGGGGGGTCTGGGGCGTAAATTTTTGAAAAATTAAGTCTTAAAAACGTGTTTTGAGCTATTCTCTCAATTTGCTTGTTCATTTATTGATGAATTTTTACATGTTTCGTTACTTACGTTACGTGTTGCCACATGTTCACTAAACACAAACTTAACTGATAACCATGTCTACCGTTCGTTTTATTTTACCATTTCTAAATATTACATGAATTATGGCACTTAACTTTATAACGTGGAGAGTGGGTAAAATATATATAAAATTTTACTTTAGAAATTTTTTATCACTTTCAAAATAACCTTTTTTATCTTTTGGCATATTGTCCGAGATGTATTACCTTAACAAAACTAGGGGCCTACAATTTATTTTTCAAATACCAAGTGATTCTAATTTAAATATCTAGGGCAATGTGAGATTAGAAATTGCCTTTTTAGCCTACAAAGGCAATTTCTAATCTCACATTGCCCTAGATATTTAAATTACGGTACAATCACTAGGTATTTGAAAAATAATATTTAGGAAGATAAAGCCTTCAGCAGCTGTTTGGAGTTAATCCAAGATAGCCGCTCTATTGCCACAGTTCTATAATTCTATGCTTTGTAGCTCGTATTGTACTGTAAATAACACACTGCTGACGTTGTATTTGGCAAAAAAGCTGGTCCGGGAAGCGTCAATCGTCTTATCAATTTTTGTTTGAAATTGAGACTCCTAGTGGGTCATCTTCAGTTCGGTTCGTTGTTTGATCAGACTTTAAACAGCATAAGTAAAACTAATTTCCATTTTCTTCATTAAATATGGTGCGACTCCATGAACGAAAAGTTCTTGCAGAAGTTTTAAGCGTAGATACTAAAACAAAACAAACTCACCAACTAAACACTATACTACAACCACTCAACACTCACGACTCAGGTTTCCAGGTTAGGCTCATTTTTCTTTGGCACGACTACGCCCTCGCCCCACTCCTCTACTACACTACCCTCGGCGCTCGGCAAATGGGAGGGGGTGCGGGAGTGTTAATGACCTTTTTAGCGATACTGCAGTGAAGCATCATGCGTCCACGTCAAGTGTTATTCTGACTGCAGTCGACGTTGCCTTGTGTAGTAGTTTGTACGTATTAAACTACGCATTTATATGACATATTTTATCACAGAGTTTTTACTCAGACTATTTGTAATTGTAATTGTTGGGTTTTAAATGTACTGAAACGTTTTTACGGAAAATATGTACCCGCCCCCCATATTTTCCGGAGGACGCACAGGGCCGATGGGCCGGCGGGCCAGACCGTAAGGCTACCCGACTTCGCCTTTTGAGGGTGAGATCTTAACAGATTATGCATTATGACAGCATTTCACACGCTTATTATGATCATTGTTAGATTAACCAGTACCACTTGAAGAAAATGTATGATTAGCAGATGAGTGCCTGAAGGTCACAAATATGCCATAAGTTAAGTTTTATAATTTCAATAGGCCTACACTTGTTCTACAATGTTAAAACTTATTAGCAAATCAAAAACTCACCTCCTAAGCTAGTCCCATGAGCTTTTTTTGATGATCCAGATTTCAGTCCCTTCCTCCTGTTTTGACCTGACATTTTAATAACTTCTTAGTTCTTATCAAAGAAAAGGTAAATTATTCTGTTGTACTGTAATTAATTATTATGAATCATATGAGGTGAATGATATAAGTATATCATGAACAAAACATTTTTGATTGGTTAAAGTTGACATTAGGGCTTGACATTAGCTTGTTTCACAAATAAATATCTAGTTACATTATTTGAAAATTACTTTATTACTCACAGCATGTTGAGGAGTTTTATTGGCATGGACCAAAGAAACTAACAATAAATTGATAAGTACAGAGATAATAAAAACGTTATCATCCACGGACTTTCGTCATTTTTTACTCATTTTCTTCTTTATCTTTGTTTGTTTGTAGTTTGTGTTTGTTTTTGTTTTGACCACTGAGCTATTTGACTTTTAAATGACAAAGAGTATCACATCACAGCACTTTGCAAAAACTCCATCCATAGATATATAAAAGTCTACATTTCTTCAGCTTTTTATATAATTTTGAATGTATAAATAAAACAAGTTCCCTTAAAGCTACGTATTCCTCATTCTTTCCCAGATATATAATTCGAGAGTAATTGATTAATATTTTCTTTTACTTTAGAAACTAAAATATTGTCAATATGAGGGGGGGCTGTGTGTGCGCTGTAAAATATATTTTTTTGCTTTTATGCACTTCAAAAATGCAAAAAATGTTAAGGGCACGCTTCCCCTAACGGCAAGTTCGTATGCGACGCCAGCGCGCTCCACAGCGGCGGTATCGGTTTGAACTAGAAAGCTGAGTCACAACACTAAAGTAGTTCCCTCCGCGTGGGCGAGTGGCGGGAACTTGGGATTCCTGCCCCTCATAGCAAAAATTAAAATATTTTTACCATTCTTAACATTTAAAATTTACCACGTGATCCTCGCCATAATCTTTGGATCGGGTAGTCGTCATATTTCTCCCCTTCGGTGTCTTGAAGTTGAAGAGGTTGTAGTGTATGTGTTTTTGTAGTATGGTCTAAGTATTCTTTGAGGTTTTGTTTAAACGGGTTGATTGTGGTTGTTTATTTTATGTGTTCTGGGAACAAATTATAAAAGTATGTACTTGCGTATATTGATGGGGGTATTTAACTGTCCAAGACCAAAAACGTTGAAACAAGTTTGAAGATTCCTCAACCCATCGCAAAATCTATTACGGTATCACAGAGAGTAGCTTAGCTGATATAGTGCTCGCCTGGTTATAGTAATCAGCGAAGGTCAAAAGCATTTGTATGGTTTGAAACTTGAACCAGTTGCTTTTTGAAAACCAGTTGACTAACTAAAATAAGAGAAGGGAGTAGAAAAAAAAACAGTGATTATAAAATAAACTAACCATTAACAAACACATTTAATACTATACCTACGCACTTATGATTATGCATACAGGTTATGATACATTTTCAGTAACAAAAAAAGGATCTTATTAATTATTTAACACTCATCGTTTATCTACATTCGGCTAGGCCCAAAATACGCATCTTGGTGTGTCGGCGTCATAAAAATACAAAATCTAATCTATATAGGTCTTTGGGTGTGTTTGTCATGTTTGGAGACGTTTGAGTTCACTTATGTGAAATGTTGTGTTTTTATTTTTTCGTAAGAATCGCAGCTAAGATAATCGTAGTTATCGTAAGAATCGCAGTAAGAATTTACACTTTGGTAGTATACCTATGGTAGTAGTGGGCTACAGATATATGTCTATCTGTGTTGTAGTAGTATCTTTATGACAATCAGTCACTTTGAAATATACCGTTCGATGATGGTAACATTTAAAAACTATTTTGGTCGTAATGAACTTCGTTATAGCCTATTTACATTTTTTTTGTAAATAAAGTGAACAAAATTGTCTGGGTAGCTGAGTGCCTATTATAGTTCTCCAATTGAAATCTGAATATTGTTGGTTTGAACCCTAGTAATGATGCTATTTATTTATTTGTACACGGCAATAACATTTTACATTTTAGTTTTACATGAGAAGCTTAAAAGATAGGTAGGTATTCAATAGAGTTCTACAAAGGACACAGTTAATTGAAAGATATACATTGAAAAGCTAAACAATAAACAACGACCAAGAGTAACAAAACTTGATAAAGATTTTATAGATTAACATGAATTATAAAATATTTCAAAACCCAATAACAGTGATGAATAGCCTACTTTAGAAAGAATAAAAACTTAAATTAACGGAATATAAATAAAGATTGGCACCTCGTATCACTTTATTATGTGGCCCTTTAGAGGCACCACCAAAAACAAGCTCACTTCACTGCACATATAGCACTGAAAGTGCTTTATAGGCACCACCAAAAGCACGACTAAAGCTAGACTGGTCAGCATCCCACGTAAAACACTAATCTCCTAAAGGAGTGCAAGGAAGACCCGGAGAACTCAAGTTGGAGTGAATTCCATCCAGACGATGTTAACGAGGGACTGTGTACTATGGTAAGCGTAGGCAGTTGGCTGGTGTGATGCTTGGAGAAGGGTTGAGATCTCAGGGTGGAGACTGGAACATATGGAAGTCAATCAGTTGAAGTAGTTCAGGACTGTCCACCAGACTATTGATGATCTTGAAGAGCAGTTAAAGGTCAAAAGTGGCTCTTCGTGATGTGAGTGAAAGCACACGGTGGTGCACTGCGATCTCGTGGACGTTGACATCAAGGTAGTTACCATATCGAACACCAAGCAGCCGGAGAAAGCGCATCTGGACCATGTTCAGGGAGTTACAGTGGCCAATCTGGTGAGGAGACCACACATGAGGAGCATACTCAAAAATGGGACTGGCAAGAGAGTTGTACGCAAGACCTTCACTGATTTTATAGATAGAGATTCTCTAGAAAACCGCGTTATCAACCCAAGAACAGAATTAGCTTTGGAACAAATTTTTGCAATATGAAGTATGAACTCCAAGATCCTTAATCGATAGGGTAAGGGTTCTAGTGGCGCGCCCTAGACAGTAGTTGAAGGACAGCGTTTTGGTTCTTCCAAAAGTCATCACCTGGCATTTTTTTGAATTCAGCTGCATGGTATTTTCGAAGCACCAATCATTAATTCTCCTTAGATCTTGTTGAAGCTCAATTTGTTTTTGAGTGGATATGACCTCGGTGAAGATTTTAACATCGTCAGCAAAAAGGAGGAATTTGCATGCAAGAGGCTTCGCAATAAAGATACATAACAGGAACGGTCCTAACAAGGAACCCTGAGGCACACCCGATGTCACTTGTACCGTAGACCTCGAGCAACAGCTGTAGATAGCAGTAGCAAATTTCACATGTAAGGTTCTTCCAGTGCTTCCAGACACAGATCATATTTTGTCATTGGTTTTTTGTTGCCATCCAACAAAAGATTTACGTTAAATTATAATAATAAGACTATTCCCTTTTACTTACAAAAAATAAAATTAAAATGCTGGTAGCGTTAATGACGCACACTGGAAAATCAGCGGTAGCCTGATCCAAAAATTGTTTTTAGGATAAGACATTTTAAATGGACGGCTTTTAACGGATGCTTTAGTAGCTAGTGACAAAGTTAAGACAAAGCCAAATTTTTAAAGGTGATCATTTAATTCTGTTGTTACAGTATGATTATCGATTGCAGCTTTTATTTAGTTAGCACTTGCGGACGACACTGGAACACACCCCCATTCCTGACGTCATATTTTAACATGGCTGCTTGGGCTGAGAGTAGTAGTAGGGCTGTCAGTGTAGGCCATCGTAGGTGTATCGGAAAATGTAGAGTTTATTATGACTGCTAAAGTCATATTATGTGATATTTTGTTAATTAGGTTTACGTTGGATTTAGTGTATATTCTTGTGCGGAAAACGGGCAATATAATGAGTCGCTAAGAGTGAAAATGTGCAGTGATTCAGTGAGCTAAAATTGTGATTGTAGGCTAACTTGCCTGCCTCTTATAGTAGAAAAATTGGTATTTTGTTTACACATTTTTAGTAAAAATCTTTCAAAATGTGGAACATGGTGTGTGATGTGATGCCTACCATATCAGAGGATAGTATAAGTCAGAGAAGTTCGCAATTTTCGGGGGAAGATGCAAACTTTGAACAGCTTATGGTATCTATGTTGGACGAGAGGGATAAACTTATGGAAAGTTTACGAGAGACACAAGAAAGACTTGGAGATACAGAAGCCAAACTCGTCGAAGTCGAGAAAGAAAGAGATTCCTTGCAGAGGCAGATTTCAGCCAACCTACCCCAGGTGTGTACTACGTGTGTTACTACTATCAGCCATTCAGTGCTACCCCCTTGCACCCGATTTGGAGCTTTATTGATTCCTTGTTGGCAAACCCTTACCGCCATATTCTGTCAATTAAAACTCATTAATAACGAAAATCTTAGAACAAATATGTAATGTTTTACACACATATATTTTTACTTGATTTTATTAATACAAATTTCCGAATAAGAGTGTTAAAAGTCAACCTAAAGTCATTTAATAGTGTTGAGGTTAGGGGGCTAGGCTATGCTTGATGATTACTCAAATTGAAGTTAGCCTATAATTCAAAGAAACCAACTAACTTATATTATGCTGTGGTTATTTTATGCTTAAAATACCCTTAATAATCTTGCCAACTTAGGACTGACTAAAACCAGCAATTTCGTAACCCAAAGAATTTGCTCATAACCCCAATTCATGGTCAGCCAGTTTCACTTTTGAACCCCATAGCTGATAACTTCTTTGGATTGGATAACACCATCAGTCCATCTTATTATGAGGCCAACATTAAAAAATACCTAGGCTATATAGATTCACAGAAGTAACTTACCTATCCTATTAAATAAATTATTAAAACTTGGCGTTAATTTAACATAGCATCATAACAATATATAGGCCTAACTTAATGATCACTTAGAATCAATGGCTAGCTACATTATGGATTAACGTTAACACACTAGGTAGTGAGTACTACGACTATGCAATATTATCCTGAGACCAATTTGTAGATTATAAGGTAAAAATCTGGTTCGGATTCCACTATAAACTAGGTCTCTTAACGTAGTTGCCATTGGCTGTGGGCTTTAACTTAACAGTCCTGTCTAAGGAGCATGTTGGTCTTAGTCGGTAACAAGACAAAGTTCAAGTAAATGGTAGCTTTTACCACATAGATTTAACATTCTACGTACGGTAATTGGTTTGTCATCCCTATTCAACAGATAAAGACAATTTTAAGATTATAGTTCAAATGTCCGGTACTTAACTTACACGTTTTTTGCAGTTTGTTTTTCTTGTTAGGCCCTAGCCTATTTTAACTTAGTTACTAAGAATCTAGTTTAACCAAGAACCAATCTAGGTAACTATAAGCTATAGCTCATCCTCTGGTTTTATAACCAATTAGTAACTAATGCCTACTGTAACCTTAAAGCACAAATTAGGCCTAACAATTACCGGTATGTCCTACCGGTACTGTAAAATGAGGGATACAAAATATTTTTGACCACTAGCACTCAAGTCTTTCTGTTAGTTAGTCTATACTTTAATTGCACAAGGGCTAACATTTAAACCTAGCTGGCACCTTTTCAGTAATCTCGGCAATAATCACATGTTTCAATAGAACCCCTGATATCCGGCATTGGTTTTACCGGTCCTCTGTTTATTCGGCCCCTTCCAGGAACCCAGTATTCAATTTTTTTCTCACAGCTTTCGATGAGATGAGCTTTAGAAGAGTGTTTTACAGACGTTTAAATGCAAGCACTAGTCTTTGCGTCTTGAGCGTTCTTACTGTTTATCTGTTTGCTTGTTTATACATTTTACTGTGTCACTACTCATTTCAGCTAGTAGGCCTAACCTCTTAACTGTTGGTTTCATTATATTTCCAAAGCGGGGTTAGTAGCCCACAGCACATTAGCCTAATTTATGTATTTCACAAAATGGATAGGAAAGTTGGGTAGAAATGTACCATTTAAGTCCTAATGATCTTCAAGGCCGATTTATTTTGTCAATTTTATTTACATTATTAGACTATTTAATAGTTCTTGTTAGGCTACCTGGAATCATATTTCATGTGTAGCCTACGTTTGTTACTTAACAACTTAAACCTAGACATATATTTTTTTTTTCTTTTTACAAACATTTGTATTCTTCTAAAAATAATCCCAGACTTGAATGATACGGTACCTACTTTTGACTGTTATATTGAATAGGCCTGGTATTATTATTAGGTATGAATTGTCATTTTCATAGTTTAGGAACGTTGTTTTATCCGGCCAGGGCCTTGGTCCCGTGGTGGCTGGATATGAGGGGTTCTTCTGTAATCTTTCAAAGTTAGGCTAATTTATAAAAATTGAAGTAAATTTAAGCCAACTTAAAATTAATCATATTCAAACCATCTACGACACTATTAATTCCCCGGGGAGAACAAACCCAGGAAACCGTTTTGATTTTAATTTAGCTATTTGTGTTTTAAGAGCGCAAAGTACGTCAATGTTGCTTGAGAACTGTTGTGGATGGCTGCACTAAGCTTTGGCTCAGTGTGGTCCTACATTTCGAGAGCGTCAATAACCGTTCGTGCTTGTAAATACACTTAACATTGTTCTTCCTACCATAACTTAACATATCAGAACACACAGATTACATTTTTACCTTCCTAATCTAATTTCACTTCAAAACACTTAATACAGTCACGAATCCGCATAAAACCCGACCTACCTTCCTCACATACCTAAATAAGAACTGATGCTTTGTTTGAAATTCATTGTTGGTGATGGTGAGTTAATGTTGTTCAAAGGTTTATTGCGGACATTTTCCATCACGACGATGGTAAAAAACAATACACAACGTTTTGGGATCTGGAATCTGATCCCGTCCTCAGGTGAAAAAACTTAACTAACACATTACAACTAACAATACACAAACGCCAAACCTAAGTTTGAATGTTACCTTCTGTAGTGTTTTCCAACTTAGGTTGGGCGTTTGTGTATTGTTAGTTGTAGTGTGTTAGTTAAGTTTTTTCACCTGAGGACGGGATCAGATTCCAGATCCCGAAACGTTGTGTATTGTTTTTTACCATCGTGGTGGAAAATGTTCGCAATAAACCTTTGAACAACAAGAACTGATTATTCAGTTTAAAAACAAATTGATTTCATTCCGCATTAAGTCGAGTATAAACAGCTGTCTCCTCCTCACTCAGTTCTCAGTCCACATACGGACCCGTCCAGACCACGCCATATTACCATCAGTAGGCTACCGCTCAATGAACCTTAGATTCGTAATTTTAACCTTTGATTTACGGCCACTTAGGAATCTCTCCGACAACAATCGATTACATTTTTGGATTCAGCGTGAAAAAAACTGTAAGTAGGCCTAGACATCTAACAATAACACGATATCGCACGTTGTAGACATATTGAATAATTGGCGTAATATTCATTACCGGTACATCAAACTGGTATGGACATCGTGACTATTTCCATTAGTTACATATTCTTTGAGGATATTCCTTTAAGCTCATGGGAAATTTTTACCTACTATTTGTTTTTTAATTACTCCTGTAGCCTAATACTTTGCAATTGCTGAAATTCGAGCAACATGTACACTAGCACAGTATTATTTCTTCGTAAAAATGTTTATTTGTGTTTGTGTTTTGAAGACTTTTTGACGACCTCCTAGGTGTGACAACCGTTAGGCTTGACAATGTCACTTTATGGTTGAAACCGTTATTAAGACTTCCAAGGAATAAGATATGTTGACAGTAATGTTTTTTAACCTCTAGAATAGTTAACTTATCGATATAATATCACTCAATACAATATTACATACTGTATAGACTACCTATTTATCGAACTAATATTTCAACAGATACCTAAATTTATTTTTGTGTCAATATTTTTCCAAATGCATTTTTGGACCTCAGTTTTTTTCATGCCTCAGATTCAGTAGGCTTATCTTAGGTACGGTAAAAATAACATTGATTAGTGTTTATCTGATGATGCTATAATACCGGTTTTGTATAAATACATCTCCAACACTGCTCAATATATACTTACATATACTTACAGGCTAATAACAACCTTTATTACATGACACTAAATAAGTATAGGCCTACAGTAAATCATGTTACAGTGGGTATCGATTTCAACCAGTTATTCCGGTCTACTCAGGCCCAATTGAATACTGTAAAGTCTCTGATTATGCTTCTTGAAAACCAGTGTGACTGGTATCAATATGAACCTGTAACATCTTAAATAGCCTACTCTAAAAGGTAAAATGTAAGGGTGAGTATTAGCGAATTTCCCTATAGGGAAGTAGCTATTACCGTAGGTGGTATGGTAGGACCTAGGCCCGGGACCAATTTACTTTTTTTCATTTTGATGTCCCCAGAGACCAAAAACACTATTCGTTCAAATTTTTATATACCTATGTATAAATACTAGCAGAGTACCTGTTATTCGTACGGGGTTGGCGTACAAGTATTTAAAATGCTTATTGAAGTTATACTCTAGCTCTGCGTTTGCAATGGGGGAGGATAAGGTTTGAGAGAATTTAGTTCTTTATATTTATGGAATGCTATAGTATTAGCCTAAAGATATAGTATACTATAAACAGTAGGATAGTATACACATCTACCATAGGAGCTCGCAAACCAGCATGATCAGACCATGGGAACTTTTATAGGATAAAAGTTTTTTTTCCACGTTTTTGACCATCAAAACACAATCTTTTCCAATTTCTTTCTAGACCTTTTTAAAGAACTTAAAAAAACCAAATAATTCAGTTCCATATATCAAAGTGTTATTGTACAGTTATTGTTTGCAGAGAAATTTCAAAGAATTGTAAGTTTAATTTTAAAATTCCCATGTTATTCTTATGGAGTTTTAGTTGTAGTGAAGGAAGGGATCTTTTTTATCAGAATATCTTAACTCTGTAAAAGTTGGATTCAGAGTGAATTGCCTGATTATTCTTCTGTTAAAATCTGTCTATTGGTTCAAAGAGTAAATTTAAAATTGCGGAAGGACAATTTTGTAAACTGTGACTGTATTTTTCTGTCTTACTGTGTAGGTTTTTTTTATTAGTCCATAGAATGTTTTATTGAATTATAACTTGTAATAGGCATAGATTAACTAGGCCTAATGTACTTCATTATATTATTTCATTATATTATAGACATACCAGAAACAAAAGAACCCTGGGCCATTTCGAGCCGCGCAGGTTTGAAGGGTACGCCACACCTACCGGCGCGAACCACATGATCTTTTTGTTTC